AGCGTCGCACGCATACTGCTGCCGAGAGACGTCGAGGCGCATTCGGTGTTCCCATACCGGCGTTTCAATGCTGGTGATGAGTCCAGCAGCCGGAGAAATCGGATGCTCGCAGACACGGCGCATTACACCACGTCGCTTGTCCAAGCCGAAGTAGCTTTCGACACGAACCTCCTCCCTCCCGAATGCGTGTCTCTGCAAGACCCAACGGCCGTCAAAAGCCAGCAGCCCACGACGGGCTTCTCGAGTCGGGCTTGATCGTTTGCATAAGCATTGGTCGTTCGTTATACGCTCGTGTATTCGCCACCCAAGCTGCGTCTCCCCGCTATGCGATGTGGTGCCGTCTGTGTCGCAAAGCGAGGGAAAAGCCCAGCGACGTTAATGGCATCTGAAAGTGCCTCGCTCCTACAAGCTACTTCGAGTATGCAGTGCAGGTAAGCAAGCGACAACCACATACTTGAAGAACGACGACCATCTCGCACACGTCCAAGCAACGAGTCTTAGAATGGGTTCATACGCAGAGGTAGAGAGTATTATTCATAGGGATCACATTTAGTTTAGACAATCAAGTTTCGTAAAGTACTACGGAAAGATACGCCTTTCTTGCGATAGCAAGCTGCTTCTTTATAGGAGTGTGTGGTACCCTTCATCAATGTCGACGGTCTTGGCCTTCTTGGCGGCCGCAACCTTCTTGGCAACGACGAGCGCAACCATGCCAAGGCCAAACGAGAGGAGAACGGCGGCCGCGGGCGAGAGCGAGCCGGCGCTAAAGATGCCGGCGGACGTGAGCAGCTGGCGCATGAGCGACGCGCGGTCGATCGCGTACTCGTCGCCAAAGAGCGAATAGACGTTCGGGCGCTGGCAGAGCACAAAGCCGCAGAGGATCGAGGCGGCTTGGCCAATGACTTTGGAGAGCGACGAGGCGTAGTGCGACGAGACCGAGTAGCACGAGAGGACAGCTTCCATGCAGTCGCACTTGAGCGAGAAGATCTTGTAGAGGCACGCGATCGTCTGGTACGACGACGAGTAGTCCGTGTGCTGCGTGCGGAGGTCGGCAATGTCGCAGTTGGCGTGGTCAAAGAGCTGGTACTCGAGGAACGACGCGTACTGATCGACGTTGCAGTACTCGAGGAGACCGTCCGTCGGGCAGTAGCGCACAGCCTTAATGGCGCCGTCGGTAATGGAGATACCAAGCTCCTCGCCGCCCTCGTCGCTGGCCAAAAAGAGGGGGACCGTGATGGGCGCAATGTCCTTGAAAAAGCCGTCGATCGTTGGTGTCGCCAGCCCGACGTTGTACGTGCACGTCGAGGGCCCATCTACGCCAGCTTCTACATAGTCGGACGGCAAACCACCTGTCACCGTGTAGTAGAGCAAGTCACGGCCGCTCACAAAGTCGTAGCGGATGCGCTTGGGCGTCTTGTTGTCTCCAGTACCCTCGTCAATTTCGTCGCACGGGCACGGGTCATAGCGTCGGCCTTGCTTCTTCGACACAGCGGTGGGCTTGATGAGTGGCGTCGTCAGCGTCTTGGTCTTGCCGTTGGCTTCGTACGTGGTCGCAACACAGACGTCGCCGCGGAAGGGTGTCGCGCGCGGGTTCGGGTGGGCGTCGTCGCAGCACGCGCCATCGGGAGCATCCGTGACGCACGACGGCGCCAGAATCAGATGCCCGAGGTTGCGTTGTAGCGCCTGCAAGTAAGTGGCCTTGGTCGTGTCGGCGCAGATGACTTTTTTGTCGAGCCATTCAAACTTGGTGCCAGAATCCGCCGACGTGCAAAAGCTAATGTAGTCGGCCGCCGACATCATGTAAGGCGTGGTCTCGTCGTCCGGGTTGGCGACGGGTGGTGCGGGGTACCGAGGATTGTACGAGTTGCCTTGATCCGCGTCCGCCTTCTTGAGTTTTGTCGCAACAGGGATCATGATGCGCTCCCATGACGCAAAGTAGCTGTTGGGGAGGCAGCACGACTCGCCAATGTGGACGCGCTCGCCAATCACGTCGAGGTCGCCGAGGCCCGAGAGGTACACGCGCGCCTGGCGCAGCTGGTCGTTCCCGATCTCGATCACGCTCTCGAGCAGCGTCCGAAAGTCCTCGACGGTTTCGAGCGCTTGGCCGGCCGCGCACGCCGTGACGCACGACGTGTAGCCCGCGATCGTCGAGATGCAGTCGTTGATGCCCGTCGCGCTGTAGTCGCTCGGGAGCACGTCGCACTTGGTCGCGACGCAGTTTTGGTACCCCGTGAAGATCGAGTTGTAGTAGTTGGGGTCAATGATCGCGTACGCCGGCGGAAACGTGATCGCCTTGCGGCCGTAGCCGTAGCCGCCCTTGCCTTGCGGAGCGTAGTTGTCACCGCCGTAGCCACTCTTGCCTTTCGGGGCGTAGCCAGCGTTGTCATCACCATAGCCACCCTTGGCTTTCGGGGCGTAGCCAGAGTTGTCGCCACCATAGCCACCTTTGGCTTGGGGGTTGTAGCCACCGCCGTAGCCGCCTTGGCCTTGGGGAGCGTACCCAGTGTTGCCTCCACCATAGCCGCCCTTGGCTTGGGGCGGGGGGTAGACGGCGTCCGTCGCAGCCACAGCGGTGACGGCGGCGGTACCAGCGAGAAGACGAAACATGCCCAGTTGGATTGCGAGTGAAGTTGGGGCAGCGACGAGCGTTCTACTGCAAAGCTCGCACTTCGCAGATCGAATCGAAAAGTAAGCTTGTCCCTCCACGCAAGATCGAGCCACCCAAAGGGCGCCGAAACCACCGGGATCGCTCCACTGAGCGCTCATTGGCTCCGAATATTTGGCTACGTTGTGATTGGTCGCCAACATTTCCAAAAAGTCGCGCTCCAATTGGCGCCCAACAATTGATGCCCCTTCAACAGCCAATCACTGACGAGGAGCGTGTAGGCAAAACGGCGCGATCTCTGGACCTCCTCCATGGAGACGACGTTTGGAGTCGGAGGATACTAGTGTTCGCCGAGATACCAGGGGAGCCAGTGCAGCGGCCAAGTGGCGTGCAATAGTCTACGGTCTCACTCTCAGCAGATAGCGAGCGTGACCCAGTTGGGAGTCGCAAGGAGAGGTTGCGCCGCACAAAGTTGTTGACATCTTGCGTAATTGGGCGAGTTATGGAGCGCACAAAAGATATTGGGTACAAGCGACTCCACGCGACGCTGCCAAATACGAGAGCGATACAGTTTTCTGAGGTTGAGTGCTGCGTAGTACTAGTACTTGGTACGAGTACAGCAGTGACTTAAAGCTCCAATGATCGTCTTTTGCATGCTCTTGTCTCTCTTGGCCAATGCAGTGTGGCACAACGCCTGAGATTACCAGGCTCTAGCTTATTGTAGCGCACTTACCAACGACGCTACTAGTACTAGTTGTTGTCTTGAGGTCAAGAGTTTGCTCAACGCATTTGCTCGCACCGAGAAACTCGAAAGCACGCAACGCGCATGTAGTGGTAGACTTGTCCGCATGAACATCAAGTCAGCCAAAGACTGCATACACATACTTCCTACCGCAATGCCTGAATGCATACGAGTTGACACCAGCACGTCAGGTCTTTGGCTGCGTACGGAGATCCGTACCACTTGCCGAGCGATGCACGAGGTTGTAGACAGGCTTTGGTACTCGTGCTGTGGAATGCCGAGGGTTCGGTGACGCTTCCACGGCGTCGGGGGACGCGTTTGTACATCGCACTACTGCAGTAACACTACCGTACATCCATGTTAGTGCTTAACTGCACACGAGGGAATTCATGCACTCGTGAGCAATAGTACGACACTACTAGTACTCGTTGCGGACTTCTATGATGAGGCTTTGATCTCAAACGACCGTCGTCGTGTACCCGCGCAAGCCAAAACGACTCCAACCCGTCTGCCCTCGAGCCATCAATGTCGCCAAGCCAGCAATATTACCTTCATAGTAGCTGCAGGAATGCAGTGGCGGAGGTACTGTTAGTACAGGTTCTATGAGTCCCAAGGGCCCAACGAGGAACGCTGTGTCTCCGGTTTGCGCGCCAAAACCAGCACATTGCACCGATGCCCGTGGCCAATGGCCAGGCATCCAGCGTAATACAATAGAAAACACGATTTTATCTGAATGTTTGTATGCACTCTCCAACCAATCGATGCTATCGCAGTCCCAGCATGGGATTGGTCAATAATATGCTTGTGTCGCATATACTAGCCAATGAACACGCGACCTGCCCCATGCGTCGATGCCATTGGGTATAATGCATATCTGCTGCAAGCCAGTCAATCGCCCATCGGCCGCGCGATCCCACCGCTGCTCTCATTTTGGTTTCTGCACCCGTCCCGAAAGAACATGCGTCAACTGCTTAGCACCCGTAACGTCAACATCCCGGAAGACGTCAAGTTCTCGCTCGAGGGCCGCAAGGTCACCGTGACGGGCAAGCGCGGCACGGTCTCGCGCGACTTCTCGCACGTCACGCTCGACATGCGCCGCATCAACAAGACGACGCTCCGTGTCGACTTGTGGTTCGGCAACCGCAAGCAGCTCGCTTGCGTGCGCACGGTCTGCTCGCACATCGAGAACATGATCACGGGTGTCACCGTCGGCTTCAAGTACAAGATGCGCTTCGTGTATGCCCATTTCCCCATCAACGTCACGTTCGAGAACAACACGGTCGAGATCCGCAACTTTTTGGGTGAGAAGCGCGTCCGCAAGGTCACCTTGTCGGAGGGCGTCACCTACGTCCGCTCGGCGGATGTCAAGGACCAGATCGAGCTTTCGGGCATCGACCTCGCCAAGGTCTCGCAGGACTGCGCCAACATCACGCAGTCGTGCCTCGTCAAGAACAAGGATATCCGTAAGTTCCTCGATGGTATCTACGTCTCGGAGAAGAGCAACATCGAAGAAGTCGAGGCTTAAATGCCGCACTGACGCAGTGTCAAGCAACGTCGTACTCTCTAACGTGGCGCGCACGAGCTTAAATACACTTTCGGGTCTACCTCCGTCACCGGGTTGATGGTCATTTGGGAAGACTTGCTCTTCTCATTGGCGTCTTCTGTCCGGGCGGGATTTATAGTGTTGCGATGTGCCGAGTCCTCTTGTACGGACTCGGTATGTTTCTGCAGTGTGAATTCCGTCTTCTAGCATCGCAGCTCATAGACCAATAGCAGCAACGCGTGCACCAAATGAAGTCGACCTCGGCGAGGTACCTCTGCGGTGCATGCCAGACAACGCTGCAAGCTCTGGATTTGCTGGATGACTGCGTAAGCGACCCAACATGAACGCTGACTCATTCACGAGCTCTAATACATTGCTGCGGTGATTACCGTTGATACTGGATGCCTCAAGGTTCCCTCTTGATCACCAGCTCGCTCTGTACACAAAGCCCGATGCAGGCGCGAGAAGAGTCACGGTATCGAGAGCTGGATTAAACGACGCTTACGGTGCCGTCTTGGCGGCTTCTCGCAGCTCCGCCAGGCGCGCTTCAATGCGGGCTTGGACTTCGTCCTCCGAGATGCGCACAAATGACGGGATGAGGTCCGGGAGGTCAAACTTGTGTCGATCGGCCACCGGTGTGTACGCCGTCTCGACGCGGCCGTTGAGGAGGATCGTCTCGTGGGCGTCAATGCCGTGCTTGGCCTGGTAGCGCTCGATGGACTTGGCGAGCCGCCACTCTTGAAACTTCTTGTCGGCAAAGTACGCCCCAAGCCCGACGACGGAGCCCGCAATGCTACCTTGGACCGCGCGCATGGGCGTGCCGAGTCCTAAGACAGCGTGCGTGAGACGCGATGCAGGTGATGATAACCATGGAGAGACCTGCGAGACCGAGGAGCGCACCGCCCGTGATCGTGCCCGGCAGCACGTACGTCGAGATGTTGTCCGTGGACCCACCGTTGTTGCGCTTTAGAATCTCAAAAACCGTCATGTACGACGCCGATGCGAGCGCCAAGTTGGCGCCAACCGAGGCCGCGTAGAAGCCAAGCGGCTGCGACCGGACCGTCGCGAGACAGACGCCCCAGGTTGCGCCGACGCTGCCTACGTCCGTGCACCATCATCGCATTGGTCGCTCGTGACACTTGGTGAGATGATCGACGTACCGCCGATCGCGCCGGCGAGCAGCATGTTCTGCGTCGACTGCTTGACCTCTTCGAGCGGGCTCGTCTTGCTCATCGCGCTTCTCCTATCGCGCGGTGCCAGCCGTATGAGATGTATACTATTTCTAGCTATTTTAAATAGTGTCATCCACCTTGCTAAATTCGGCATCAAAATATTTCTTCCCATCAAGGATGGGATGTCCGCACCGATCCAGAAATCAAAAATCAATTGAGTGTCTGCCTCTATGTTGTTGGTCGTGCGTCATAACTCTCACATCGACGATGCGGTCGTCGCCCCGTGACGGTGGCACGCGTCGTGACCTTCCGCCCTGAGAACGATATGGGATTGGACTAAGATCTTGGGTTCTGCACCTGGCGCAGAGCAACGCAGGTGCTTTCAGCATGTACGTGCAAGCATGTGGAGTGCACGTCGTGTGGACCAGTCTTCGCCCTTTGCTTTTCTCTGGGGCTGCATATCATTTCACGCTAGCCGTGTCTTTGGCACGGACGTTTACCTCGACAGGAGCGACGTGAGGAAGCAAAGGAGGGCGCTGGGCATGATCCGCGCCTCTTGCCGCCCGTGGCTACCTGCACGACCACGTTCTCTGTCCATGGTCGCAGTAGCTGGGATATTTCTTTTTGCAGATTCATTGCTCGATTGGCGCCTTGCGATTGGCTCACACTGGCATGCATCGCGATCGTCATGGCCGTGGGATGCCGAAAGTAAACTGCAACCTACACTATTACCTAGGTGGTGGCGTAAAAATGCCTAAAATAAGCGAAATAGTGTGTTTTTCCGCGTTCGGAACAAAAACATTGCGGTTGTGGCGTTGCCAGAGCCAAAATTCGCACACTCCGTCCTCGTCTTACTCCAGCATTACCTCGATGAACGACAACCAGTATGTGTACCTCGAGACGCCCAAGACCGGACCCGAGGTCGACGACGAGGCCCAGACGCTGCTCGAGATGGCTGCAATCAATGGCGCACTCCTCGCCCAAAAGTACTTTGAGCTCGAAGGCGACCTCGACGAGCTCCACGAAAAGCACACACAGTCGATGGCCCTTGTCGCGAACTACGATATGCTCGTTCGCGACCTCCGTGACGAAAAACAAGCCCTTATTCTGCGCTGCCAAGCATTCGAGGCTCAAGTCGACGGCCTCGTCGCGGCCAAGCGAGACGTCGATGGCCGCCACGGCAGGCTCCAAGCCACATGCCACAGCCTCCAGAATTCAGTGCAACAGCTTGCTGCTGAGCGTGCGGATGCTCTGGATGCCCTTTGCCACGCTCAGGACGAAGCCGCTGCGCTCGATGCGGTGCGACGCCGTCTAAAGGCCTCGGTCGAAACGCTCCAGCACGAGCGACGCGCCCTGCAGAGCTACGTGGCCGAGAAGGACGCGCAGATTGCGCACTTGCTGCAGCAAGAGAGGGTCTGGCGCATGACGTCGGACGTCCAGCACCAGAAGATCCAGCGGCTCGAGCGCACCGTGAACGACCTTGGCGCCCATGCATCGGAGCTGGCCTCGGCGCTGCAAGCGGCGCACGACCAAGTCGCCTCGCTGCGCACCGACGTGCAAGCCAAGGAGCAGGAGCTACGGGATGTAAAAGCGACAAAGGCAGCATTGCCGATCGAAATCATATCCGTGCCAGCGCCTGCCGCACCGACAACGTCGGCCACGGGCATGCTCATGCTGCTCATGTGGCTCAGCTACCGGCGGGTCCTGTCTCGGCAACCGCGCTGGATGAGCGTGCTCTCGGCGACCGTCGCCAAGCCGCAGGTGTGGGCCCCCATGGTTCACCAAGCATGGGTCCACCGAGCGTTTTGACTCGCTTATTTATCCCCTTTTGACCCCTTTATTTAAGACACTTGGACTTTACTTGGTGATTCTCAAGTCGTTGCCGTGCATTACGCCCAGCACGGCTGCTTGTGGCTAAGGACGTAAAGGAGGTCGTTGCCAGTCATGATCTCGTGCGGAAGCGGGTTGAGGTACACGAACCCAAACGGCACGGCGCGGTCCATTTCGCTCCGCTCAATCCGGGCTTTCGACTTGATGGGCGACGTGGGCGGGGACGCCATGGCGCCGACGGTCGGGATCATGTCGAGCGGGAGGCACCGGTAGACACCGAGCGTCAGAATCGCGTCCGACGTCAGCAGGTACTCGAAGCAGTAGGCAAAGCTCTTCCCGACAAAGTCGAGTGGGAGCTCGCACGTAAAGAGCGACGAGCGCTGCAAGCCCGTCGACGCCAAGTTGCGCTCAAAAGCCGAAAATTTGCTTTTTCCCGGAAACAACTTGCTCTAGCCATCCATAAATCGAATGAATAAGGCACGGGACAAGGGTTCGAAGCGTATACCCCACGGAGCGGCGAGAAGACGAGTTCGCGCACAATGTCTTGGATCATCGGGTTGAAAAAGTGGTTGACGATCAAATTGTCGCAGAGCTCGGTCGAGTACGTCAAGCCCGACGCAAACGACGGCGAGCACAGGAACTTCACCGTGTCCCTATATCCATACGCCATTGTGCTACTCGTCTTTTGAGCTCAAATTCGATGTACGTGAGCGTGGCCGTGTGTTTTTGCTGGTCAAACCACCCCGACTGCTTGAGGTTGTGCGAAATGAAGTTGACGTTAGACCTATAAACGTCACGTTTAGCATGAATCGAAAGAGAGGGTTTGGACCGGTTCACGAGCTTTGTGACGACCATGGGCGCTTTGCGCGGACCCAGCATCGATGTGATGCTCTTATGCACCGCAATGGATGTCTACTTGTGTATAGAGACGCTAGTGGACATTGGCGGAGCGTACCGCATCGGCCAAGAGCTGGTTCGAAGCGGTGCCAAAGTCCTCCTCACTGCAGAGAATGACGACCTTGAACGCCATCTCAATGCCCGCGCGCTTGAGAACACCGAGGCGCGTCGGTTCTCCGACGACCACAAACACGTCCACAAAGCCTTTGAGGGGCGCAAATGTCTCGTCGGTCGGCGGTGCCGGCGACAGCAACACGATCGGATGGTGGTCCCTACAAGACGACACGATATTACCGATACATTGATACATTGATACAACACGTACTTGACGGTCGGCGCGCGCAAAGGCGCAATGAAAAATTCGAGGTTTTCGGGAAACACAGACGCGAGCGAGACGACAACGACGGGCTTGAGCGTAAACTTGAGTTTGTTGACGTCGTCCACGATGAACTCTTCGACCTTCTTGTGCTTGCGCTCGCTCGACTCTGCGAGTTTGGACGCTGCCCACATGATGGTGCGGGCCGTGCGCTTCTTCTTTGGGCCTGCGTTGTGTCGCTTGGGCAGCGATGGCGTGAAGAGGAGCTTCGCTTTCTCTTTGGTCATGCCCGCGACGGCCGTCGTCGGCGACAGCACGAGCTTCTCGGCCGCGGCCTGCGTCTGCAGCGACGTCTTGGGCCCGCCGAGGTCGCTCGCACTCGACGACCCGTTGTAGCTGTCCTTTTGCATGCGGCTCACGCGCTCGGCTTGCTTGCGGTCCCGTGCGATCACATACCTATGTGATCCAAAATGTATCGTAAAATGGCGGGAAAGAGCTATGGAGTACGCTGTCTCGCCGCCGACGCACGTGTACGTGTTGCCAGGGTTGAGAATGATGCACGAGTTGCTGTCGTTCTCGTCGTTGGGGTTGTACTCGGGCGACGTGACGAGCACGGCAAGGAGAATCGCACTCTGGCACTGTGCGTGGACGAGGACCGCAACCTCGGCAAATGAGAGACCGTAAATGACCTACTCCAAGCCGTACATCAGAACGACATATCCTTTGTCGAAGGCACAGACGCTCGCAGGTGGCAACGTGACCGAGTACAGCTCGTGGCTCGCGCCGTGAAGGAAGCGCGACTCCCACGTGTGGTCGACCTTGACGTCGCTACATGTCGCATAAGAACACCATGTTGGCGTCAAATACGAGGACGGACCTGAGCGCCGCGGTGAGGTTGAACATGAGCGTTGAAAAGCCCGGGCAAAAGCAGTTTTGTGCCAAGAGGGCGTGCATGACCTCGCTGAGACAGAGCACGTTGTCGATGCCGGACGCTTCAAGGAGGTGGCGGTTGGCCGACAAGTGAATTTGCGTGTAAATACTCGCACTTGGCGAGATCTGCTGCACTTCGATGGCCCGCATGATGGTGCGGTGGTCCGAGCTGTTGAGGTCTTCGTGGCCCGTCTTGCGCGTAAGCACAAAGATCGCGGCCGCCGAGTCGCACGCCGCGCGCATTGCTGCGTCCGAGTCCAAGACCGAGCCTTGGATGTACACGGCCCGCTTGGCAAAGAACGGGTCCATGAGCAGCGCCACCTAATGACATGTAAGCAATCATGTGATCTTGGAGAAGACAAGCCGACCATGGACGACGGCGGCGGCTCGTCACACATAGCGACGACGCGGATGTCGACGAGGTCGTGGTCGTCGTGGAAGATCTCCCAGAAGCACTGCTCGATGCGCTGGGGCGTGAGGTCGCCGCAGATGACAATGTGCTTGGAGCGCTTCGACGGCCGGTAGCTGTCGTGCTCGTACGACGAGTAGAGCGAGTTGATATCAAAGAGCTTCGAGAGCTCGTACGGGATGATGATCAAGAGGAAGACGAGGAGCGTGCCGACAATGAGCTTCGAGATCGGGTTCTCGGCCGGCGGGTAGTCGACGTACACGAACGTCAAAATCGACTTGAAGAGCGAGTTGAAGAACGTCCAGTCGCCGTCGTCGGTCGCGTCCGTGTCCGAGTCGATCGACGTCTCGGTGATCTAGCGAACGTTGACGTTATGGCACTCGGTTTGGACAAAGTGTCGTCTCTAACCTGGATGACGCCGGCCGCGACAAAGATGACGGAGAGGAATTTGAAGTACGCGACGAGGCCAAAGAGCATGACGGGCGACATGTAGGCGCGGCAGCGGTTGAGCACCGCGCGAATCTACAGACAACTTGGCATTTCGATGACGATGCAAAATGAAGATGACCTCCATGGAGCACTTGAGGAAGCGGATCGGGTACACGAGCCGGTAGTAGCCCGTGCCATGCCAGAACGTACTGTTTGCACATGATATGCACGAGCAATATACACATAACGTACTGGGTCGCTACGAACATGGCCCCGGGGAAGACGGGCAGAATCACAACGAGGTTGATGAGCGTGTTCCAGCGAAAGATGTGCTTCCACACCTCGGCGAGGAGGATGCCACGGAAGAGAAAGTCGGTGAGGAAGAAGAGCGCGCACCCGAGCTCAATGTTCCGGAGCACGGGCGGTAGCTAAGGGACAAGCTTACATGCATATGTCGACAGGTATGCGTACTCCAGGCTCGGCGCTGTACGAGTGGATGACGTAAGTAGTGGCAAACGTGATCGACACGATCGACTGCAGCACGTCCAAGATGAGCCCCGCCGGGCCATTGTCCAAGAAGCTAAGACGAAGATGCTCGGGAGGTGTCCATGGCGATGAGGCCATTCGTACCGATTGATGCGAATGCGCGTGTGCTCGTCTTTGACCATGTACCGCGTTTTGCGCTCAAACTTGCTCACGAGCGGCGCCAGCTCTACGACCGACGACCATGAGCAGCAGCCTCACGTCGCCGCCTACGCGTGTGCTGCTCGGGCTCGACCGCCATGTCTCGCAGCTTAGAAGCTTCCATGGCGAGCTACATGCATCGTCGCCATGAGGTCGATCGGCGTCGCCCGTAGTCCTCGTCATACCGTCACCTTGTTGCGCAGCATCGTTTAAGTCCACGGGTTTGCACCGCAAATCTGGAAATGGCGCTCGTGGATTGGTAGTAAAGACCGGATATCTTTTTGATTTCAACCAATCATGTGCGGCGAATTGCCTCGGCACATCAAATGGGATCTTGCAGTGAAAACCATCGTGGTCAACGGACAGCTAGAGCATGTATTTCCTCAAGCAGCTCCGTCGCCAGCAGTAGCGCTGCACGCAGCCAAAACCGGTGCTAGTCGAGTGACTAAACGACCTCGATGGTGTGGCATCAAGTGCAAGGTCGACCAGCTGGTCCTCGTGTGACCTGCTTTTGGCACCTTGATTGGATAAAAAGATTGTATTCTGCTGATACCATTGGTCTAATGAAAAAAGGAAGATTGGGGCTCCTTGGAGCTTTCCACCGCAAAATCCACGGCTCCTCAATAGTGTAGTCGCGATGCTGAAGCACCAAGTGCACGCGCTTTAGTGTTCTAGCTCGAGGAATGCGTGGTGGCCACCATTGCCTCGGTTTCTCGAATAGCCCATCGCTATGTGTAATTGGATAAATTACACTGTAATAAGGCATTACAATTGGTCAGCTACAAGATTTCGAGGCCGGGCAGCGATTGGTTAAAACTCTTGCATTTTCATGCAGCACCTTCGAGGTCGAGCGCTCGGCGCGGCTGCGCTCCTCACGCTGCAGACGTCGCAGTCTGTGTGCGAGCCTGCGCCCTTGCCCAAGTTTGTCGACAAAAAAGATATTGCAGTCCACGTGGCCGCGCCCAAGGCGTCGGGCTGGCTACCATCTTTCTCGGGTCTCTGGAGTTACTACTGGCCCAGCGCCGACGATGCCCACTTTGCAAAGTACGGGCCATCCAGCGACCAAGTTGGCTTGATGTCGTGGCCGACGCTGCAAGACGGTTTGAAAAAGCGTGCGGACGACGAGGTCGCCCTCCGCGCCTTGACCAACGAAGCGATCGCCGCCGCCAAGGCCAACGACGTGGCGAAGATGAATGCGCTCCGTGCGCGAATCACGGTGATTGCGTACGGCGACGGCGTTACGCCCGAGGCCCGCCAGGCGCACTTGGAAAAGTATGGCTGCGTCATGTACACGGATGCAGCGCTAGATGCGATCGCGACGGCGGCGCGTCACACGCGCGGCATCCTCGAGCTCGGGGCCGGCAATGGCCAGTGGGCCAAGCAGCTCCGCGCCGGGAGAGGCCTCGACGTCCTCGCTTTTGACAACATGGCCGCGCTGCCGTTGAACCCCGCGTTCTTCCGCAACACGACGCTCAACATGGAGTTTTGCGCCGCCGACGTCATGAAGGGCGACGCCAGCATCTTCACTTCGGCGCTGGCACCCAAGCTTGCCGGCCGCGCGCTCCTCATTGTGTTTCCGGACCCGGGGCCCATGGCGCGGCGGTGCGTCGAGGCGTACACCAAGAGCAGCGACGAGAACACCGTGTTTATCTACGTGGGCGAAGGCCGGGGCGGCGCCAATGGCGACGACGCCTTCTTTGACGTGCTCGAGCGGGACTGGGTGCTGCAGCAGTCGATGGGTCTCCCGTCCTTCTCCAAGAAAGGCTACGAGCGTCTCTTTGTCTTTACAAAGCGAGCGCCCAAATAGCTTGCTTTGTACTCGGAGCCTAACACAATATCTTCTCTCTCATCGCCATGGCACTCGGACGCGCGATCCAGCTGCGACGAGCCTTAACCCTTGAACAAGACCCAATATGTCTTTTGCAAGAGAATTAGAAATGGCGCTCGTACAACAAGTACTTGTCCTTGGAGATCGCACCGCCAGCCGCATGGAGCCATGTTGTGATACGCTCCGTCGTCTCGTTCATGGTGAACTCGATCACGCGCGCCCGACGAAGAAGGCCTCGTGAGCCATACGCCTCCCCTAGCCGTCGATCAGGCCCAACGGAAACGAGCGCTGCACTCAATACCGTAGCCGACACAACCGCCGTAGCAATGCTGAATGCCTTGACGAGCAACGCAGTAGTCGTTGAGATGGTCATGGCCCACAAACGTTGCCTTGACATCGCCCACTACCACATGCAATATGCGTCATCCACGCCATCAACATCCGTGGATGCGGCTTCGTACTTGCCACCAGCGTCTCGAGGAGGCCAGACGGAGGACCATGCGAGACGCCCTCGCCTTGGTGGCCGTGGGGCACAACCTCGCCCGCGTGCAGGACGTAGTCGGGCGACGGAATGTGGTAAAACAAAAGACCTGGCGCGTTGTCGGCGGCAATGTCGGCCGACATGTTGCGCAAAAGCGACTTTTGGCCGGCGGAAATGGCACCCGAGACGCCCGTATCGAGAAAGTAGAGCGCCAAATCGATCTTTTTGGTCGCGGCATTGATGGCCACGATCTGGTAGTTGCCGACGCCGCCCACGTCGTCCGGTCCCGCCATTGAAAGCGCGTGCGGTTTGGCCATGATGTACTCGATCATGGCCTTGCGCGAGAAGGACGCCTACGCAGCGTCGCCATGACGAGACGACTAGCAACGCGAGTGGCGTACGCCTTCGTCGTGGTTGCCAAACACCATGGACCACGGCAGGCGACGCGAGATGGCGGCGTCCACGTACGTGTCGATGGCCTTCTTGGCCTCGTCCGCCGTCTATGTTGCATGAGAAGACACATCATGACCTATCGAAGGTCGTACGCGCTTGACGGCAAGGGCTTCGATTTGGTCGCCTGTAAAGATGACGAGGTGCGGCTTCTCGGCGTCAATGAGCTCGCCAATGAAGGCCGTCATGTTGCTTTCCGAACATGGCTCGTGCGGCGGGTCCCGGCAATGGTAGTCGGGTCGGCCAATGTAGTGCATATCGGGTACTTGAAGGATCTTGATGGCCAAGCCGCCGCCGTTTGCGCTTGGCACCGAGAGCACCGCGCGCGGGACAGTCGCCGTGGCTGGCTGTACCACCACGTCGTACGAGAGACTCATCTTGACCTCGTCAACGGAGAACGCGAGCCGGTCCTGGACGGTGGCGACCATCGCCACGACGACGAGGCAGAGCGCACCAAACGCGAGCCGCCAGCGCGGCTGGACCTCGCGATCTACTTCTTCATAAGCTTCGTTGGGCATGCACATATAGGGCTACCAAGGTGCGAGTCGCCGGGCATGTCGGTCATGGGCGCATACGCATGCAGCATCCTCAGATCTTCGTCGTCAGCGCTGCAGGATCGCAAATTGGATCGAAGAGTCTGACATCCGCTCGCGAAGTGACGTGCTGTGATTGGCCATAATGTATTTGGGGAGCGATGCTGATTGGTTCGTTTTAGAAAGGCGGCGTGAGATCTTCTTCAACGCAAGACCTCCAACTCTTCCGGGCAAGGAGCCGCGCCCCGCAGCTGCAAAGGCTCTTGGCTTCAAGGAAACTGGCTCGTAGCTTATAATAGTATGCGTTATAACACTCGGCGGCGATGGGGATTCTTATGGCTGCGCGTGCAGGTGCTGGAGGTACTTCTGGAGGTGGGCAATATACTCGGCACGGCATTCCCGGGTCTCGCCAATGTCGTTGTGGCCGCGGTGCGGCACCCAATGCGGCTCATACTTGCAGTGGTCTGGCAGCGCTTCGTACAGACCTTTCCCGTGCGAGACGCTAATCTCGACGTCGTCTTCGCCGTGGATGATGAGCGTCGAGCACTGCACCCGCTTGATGCGGTCAATGTTGGGAAACGTATCGAGGCATCCGAGCGCGCGGCTGCTCACCAGCCATGAAGCCATGCAAAACAGAGCGACCTTACCTCGGTGTGAGGACGCGCATGCCGCTGAGAAGCCCGCTGTGCACGACGAGGCCGCGGATCTTGAGCTCTTTCGCTGCCAAGTAGATGCTGGGACCGCTGCCGACTGCAAAACGCACGTCACAAACGAGACAAGAAACACGAAGACGCACCGCTCTGGCCGTACAAGACGATCTTGTGGGCTGGATACCCGAGGTGCGTGACGCAAAAGTCGAACACCGCTGTAATGTCCGTGTAGGTATTGGCCTCGGTGGGACGGCCCGTCGCCGCGCCGTAGCCCGAGTAGTCGTATGCAACAACGTTCACCGCGAGCTCCTACGCTCCGCGTCAGCTCAGTCGATGGTTGACAGAGAGGCTTCGCACCCGAGAGAGCGCAATGTAGCGCGAGTACATGGCGCCGCAGTCTGTCGCGTTGCCGTGGCTAAAGATGACCGTGAATTCGGCCTCGGGATACCGAAACACAAAGCCTAGTAGCGCATGACCCGTGCAGCAATTGATATACGCGCGCTACGTACATGGCACTTCGTTGCCGGGGCGCGTGGGCACCATGAAGACGCGGGCGGCCGCAACGAGGCGCGCGTGGGCGGCCACAAAGTGCGTGACGTTGTAGAGCGGGTAGGCCTCCTTGGCCGTCGCCGCGTCCTTCTCCAGCGTGTACGTCGGCAGCGGCGGGTAGAAGGTCAGCGCGGCCGCGACCGTCGCCGACGAGAACCCGCTGCGGACCCATAGCACAAAGAGCGTGCCTGCGACGCCGCCCATCGAGCACTAGATGGATAGATAGCAGTTGGCCAACTGCTTTCCGGATACGCGTCACGCCGGATACGGCATGTTCGATTTCAAACCAAATTGGCGGCGTGCCACGTCATTTGGCGGGAAGCGAGAGCACTCGTGCCTTGTCGCCGACGCTCGGCGCATCGAACAAGAGAGACCACGGTGTTGGATGGCTCGTCGCTGGACGCTGGATGCACAAGCCATTTCTATCTCAGTTCTTAGAGCTGGCACATCCTGTCATAGCACAATGCCCACTGTTGTGACAACGTCGTCCAGCGCTGAGAAGGACAAAACGAAGGCAAAGGATAAAGTCCCTTTATAGTATTTCTACGCTGAGAGCCGTCGGTCATCCCGCGTCTTTTTTAGGACGCATCGGTTTCAAATCACAACTTATTGCTCCTCGCGCCATTTCGCGCCATGAGCGGGATGTTTGCCAATCTCTTTGGCTCCATGTCGCTGCGGAAGCTCACGTCGGGCGCGTCCATGCGTTCGAAAAGCTCCATCGCTCCGGCAACCACGTCCCGTCGAAAGGTCTCGGTGCGCGAGCGCTTCTCGCCGGCGCCGAGTGCCCGCAGCAGCGTGGCTGACCCTCCCAAGCCCGCGTCGCTCGTCATCTACTATGGGTCGCAGACCGGGCGCGGCGAGGCGTTTGCGAACCGGCTCGTTGCCGCCGCGCGCCGTGTCGGGTATGCGGCCGACATGAAAGACTTGTATAAATTTGATCCGGACGACTTTGTGAACGAAGCCTACGTGATCTTCATCCTCTCGGCGTACATGGACGGCGGCGCGACCGACAACGCTGCGCACTTCAATTTTTGGATCAACCACCAAGTGGATGCGAAAGCCGCGCGCCTCTTGCCCGACCAGCAGTACGCAGTGTTTGCGAGCGGCGACAGCGTCTACGGCGACAACTTTAACCTCTTTGGTATCGCGATTGACGCCAAGCTCTCGCTGCTCGGGAGCCGGCGACTGCTCGAGTGCACGCTCGGTGACGCCAGCAACAACCTCGATACGACGTACGCCGACTGGGAAGTACGGCTATTTCGTATCCTCAGCGAGAGCGCGAGCATCTTGACGCCGCTCGACACCGTCACCTCGACGCGATCGAGCAAGCGCCACGCGCTCGCCTTGGAGCCGCTACGCTTTAGCACGATCGAAGTGCCGCCACCCCACGCCGTGGACTTTGCCATGCGTCTCCAAAAGCAAAACAAGCTCCCGAACCTCGTGGCTCAAAACAGCCACTTTTTCGATCCGCTGCCATTGGTCTTTGGCAGCGTGAGCGACGTCGTCGAGGCTTCGTTGCTGCATTTGGAGCTCAAGGTGAACCCGCTCTTGGACAAATGGACGTGCCGGACCGGCGACACTCTCGTGCTGTATATGGAAAACACGTATGAGACCGCCCAAGCGCTCGCCAACACGCTCAATTTCAAGCTGTTGCAGTGGATCCAAGCCGTGCCGGTGACCGGCGTGCCCTTCAAGCACCCGTTTCCGACGCCATGTACGGTTCTGGACGTGCTCACCAAGTATTACGAGTGCGCTACGGTACGACATGGGCCAAACCTGCGTTCGAATCGCACCCATGCGCATTAGGTCTCCCAGTGCGTGATCGCTGCGTTGGCGCCATATGTCGTCAATTTGACAGAGCGAGAGCTCTTTGAGGTGCTGGCCTCGGACAAGGAGGCATTTGAGGCCCGCGTCGTGTCGCCCAAGGTACGTTGAACGAGCGGCGATATTCACTAATGATGCGTCGTAGCTGAGCCTCTACGGCCTCTTGCTCCTGTGCCCTAGCATCGTCCTCTCACTCGACATCTTCTTGCACGTGATCCCGAGCATGCAGCCGCGGTACCTCACCGTCATGTCGTTCCACGAAGCGACGGTCGGGCTCTACCTCGACGTGCCGCCGACACCCGACGACATATCTTCGTTGGAGACACACAGTGGCGCGCTCCACGCGTACTTTAATGCACTTGCCGCCAAGAAGGAGCGCGCCGTGCGACTCGCCAAGGCCGCCAAGCACAGTCTCATGGCGACCGTCGATGCCTCGCAGTATCTGCTACAAGCTCTGATGCTGCCGGCGCGCTTCGCCGGCGGCGACCGAACACAGCCGCTGGTGCTGATTGCTGCCAACTCGGGACTGCAGCCCATTTTGACGCTGCTGCGCGAACGACTTGTACGTAGCACCGACTGGAGTCTTCATACTAAGCGATGGCTGTAGCGTCCGCCAGCCGCGACCGGCCACCACAGCCTCTTTTACAACTGCAAGAACCAGGACTTTCTGCCATACATCAACGAGGTCGAGGGCTGGACGGACGACATTGGCCTCACGCTCGTGGTGGCGAGCCCGCCAGAAATCAAGGCGACGTCATTCGAGACGCTTAGCGACGCGCTCCGCGCCCACATGTTGATGGTGCTCGAAAGCGTCGACCAACAGCAAGGACGCGTCTACGTCTGCGGCAAGACGAGCTTTCTCGATGACATTCGGCAAACGCTGCTCGTTGGGAAGCGCATGCAGCTCCAGCGCGACGACGGGTCGGCCGAGGCGTGGTTCGCCGAGCTGCTCGAGCAAGACCGATACGTCGAGAGCACGCGAGGCTGATCGTCTATTCAATATAGTGAATCGTCGTGTCTACAGCGCCGCATTGCTTTTCGCGGCCTCCTCTTGCTGCTTGCGCAGCCGGTCGCGGCGAATGTCGCGGAGGACCCCTTCGCGCATCTCCTAGCCCATCGATGAGGTGCTGGCATGCGAAGCGGCAGGAACGCTACCTTCTTCTCGCGGACCTGCACGTCGTGGACGTAGTAGATGGTACCGAGGACGCCGGCAACGACGGCTGTCGTGACCGCCACCGGCAGCGATGGGCGACGCATGGTTCTATCGTCGGGTTTTGGGCAAGTCCGAAAATGCATCGGATTTTCGACCAATCATCTCGCTGACTGCGCTTGGCGGGACCGTTCTCCAACGTCTCAATCAGGCCGGCTTGGGGAAGGAAAACTCACCGTCGACAAAGCCCGAGCAGCCATACTGGTACGCTTCGAGCGAGCGACGCTTGCGCTTGGACCTGGCGCCTTGTGCTAGGTGCCGAGCTTTTTGCTGGTCCATGCCGCAAGCAGCGACGAAAGCTGCCATGTCCATTGCGCTGGTAGGTCCGTTCGAAGGTCATGTGAAGAGTCGTCTCTAGCTCCTTGCTCGGGAATCCAATACTGTCGATGTAGTAGTAGTAGTAGTAGTAGTAAGTAGGTAGTAGTGTAGTATATTAGCTCGTACAGGGTGGGTGTCTAATTCTTGGGCTTGGTCGCGTGCTCGTTGTTGTGCACGACAGTGTTTTGCAAATGCATCTGAATGGCCGCAAACGGGTTGGACTGGAACGCCGGGTGCGTCTGGACGGCCTTGAGATGGCCGAGCTCCTGCATCGCCAGGCGCTTCTTCTGCTTCCCAGTCATCTGCGAGACTGTCTTTGGCGCGGCCTCGACGACTTTGACGGCGGCCGGCGCCTCCGAGAAGAGCGACTTTTGCAGCTCTTCGAGGTCACCAAACATGCCGTCCGTCTCCTTCTTGGCCGCCTTTTCCTTCTCGGCCACCGTGCGCTGCACCATGCCCATCTTCTTGAGGAACGCGTCACGGCGCTTCTGGCGCTTGCGCTGACCGCGGCTCAAGTGCGCTTCGCCGACCTCGGGCTCACCGGCGTCGGACGCAGCGTCATCGTCCTTGGTGGCGGCGACAGCTGCCGGCTGATGCACGCGGTACGTCTTGGTGCGGCGAACCTTGCCCATGCTCGAGATGTGAAATGATCCGAGTTTTGTCCTTTGGCCACCAACCAGATCCAAGTCCGGATACGGAGACTGGCCGAGCTTGACACGCAAACAATTCGCTTATTCAAGTTCAGTCCCACCTCGGTGCGGCATCCTCGCCTTGCCGTCAACGCGTCGACTTGTTGAAGCCGCGGCTTCAATCCGCCATACACTAGCATCTACCCAACCATCATAAAGGGCCCATGACGCTTCATTTTGCATCGAGATGAGTCCTGAAGCTCGTCGAGGCATAAAGAAGCCGACGTAGTGGATGACGCCACTGGACCGATGGCTCTCGAACAACACGCCATCGTCGATGGCGTCGACATCCCTTGTGCTACACCGTCGTCGACGTCGCTTACTCGACCTGTCCAATCTCGTGGCAGAGTGGGATGCAAAGTCTTCCTCGAAACCACGCGGCCTTCGTCGTAAGAAGGGACCGCCGTGCAGACACTCGACACCGAGCGCTTATAACAGTCCACTTAGATCTGGTCCCGCTTGTCACATGCCCGTAGCGCGACCCTCCTCAGGCGAGGGCGGTATTTTTGCAACAACCACTCGAAGCGTACCGTATTTCGGGCAGTGGCGCCAGCCGCGACACGTCAGCGACTCTCTCTCATCAGCACCACGATCGACGCCTGGAGCCTTCGTAATACACAGCCTTCTTGTCTTGCAGGACGCTTCAAAGCGCCAACCAACCGCCCATCTTGGTCGAGCCGGCTGCGAGATCTTATTGCATGATCGGCGCGGGTGGCATGTGGTCAGCAGTGACAGGATCGGCAGAGGGCGCGCATTACTTCTTAAGGTAGTTACGCTGCCACCTCAGCGACGCCAGCGATTATCCGGATACGGACGGCAGCCGCGGTGTTTTTTTATTCCAAGTATATAGTGTCTTTGTATGGAGAATAAAAAGGTGGCATTAAATTTCATTGTATACCTGCGGGCTGAAACAGCTGCGAGAAGCACGCTACCTGCTGCATTTGCCTTCGTGCCCACGTGAGCGCAGTTTGCTGCTGGCCTCGACGAAGCGTCTGCAGAGGTGATGGCCAAGAAGAACGCGTCCAAGGAAGGGATCCGCCTCGCCGAGGAAGGCGACTGGGCGCAGCTGCTCACGTGCCTCCTGGCCAAGCCCGCGATCGCCCAGCAGCGCGACCACTATGGCATGCTGCCGCTGCACTGGGCGTGCACCGAGAACGATGTGCCCATCAACGTCCTCCTCGCGCTCATTGAAGCGTACCCGGACGCCGCCATGGCCAAGAACGACGCGCAGATGCTGCCGCTGCACGTCGCAATTCGCTCGAACGTCGGCCCATCCGCGCTGTCGATTCTATGCGCTGCGTCGCCCGACTCGATCTGGACCAAGCTGCCCGATGGCCTTCGCCCGCTCGCGATGGCCACGATGAGCGGCCTCGACCAAGAGTCGCTTGGCGTCCTTCAAAAGGCCGAGGAGCAGTACCGCTGGACGCACCCCGACGTCGAAGACGATGACGACGACGCGGCGCAGTACGAAGAGACGAAGCGGGACCTCCTTCGCCAGTCGCAGCTCATGCGCGACAGCTTACGCGATAGCCAGCTCTTCAACTCGATCGTGCTGGACCACAAGCACAGCTGCGAGAGCAGTCCCATGGGCATCGAAGAAGTCGAGGAAGAATCCTCGTCCAACGAACTCGCCGACGTGACCAAGCGCACGTCGTCGGCGTCGTCGGCGTCGTCCGCTCGCCACAGCAGCGGCGGCTGCCACGTGTGCCACAAGTCCTTCTCGGTCTTCCGCAAAAAGTATGTGTGCTGCAGCTGCCACGTCTGCGTCTGCAAGCACCACATTGCGGGTCGCCGCTTCGGGTCCGAGTCGAGCAAGGCGGTCCTCTGCGCCGACTGCGTCGGGAAGGACCAGCCGCAGGCCGAGCCGACGCCCGAGCGCCGGCTCCAAACCCAGCGCAGTAGCACCTTTCTCTCGTCACCAGAAGCCGCTTCGACTCCGCCCAAGCCGCGCAACTACTCGTCCGAGGCGCCGACGCCGCCACCGTCCATGCGGCGTCGCAGCGCCAGCTCCCGTGGCGAGATGGAAGCGATGGACAAGGACATTCTGATGCGGCGCATCATTGGCGCACGCGGGAGTGGCAGCGACACGGCCAGCTGTACCGGCAGCGAGCAAGAACCGTCGGACGTCTCGGCGCTCTCGCTCCAAGTGCGGCTTTTGGAAGCCCGGAACGCGTCGCTCGAGCTGCGCGTGTTTGAACAAGAGAAGCAGCACAACGAAGCCATGTTGCTTCTGACACAAACCATGACGCGCCTCGCGGAGCTCGAGATGAAGCTGAGCATGCAGCCGTCGTCCGGCAACAGCTTTAGCTCGGTCGAGAACGGGGTCCTGGACTTCCACAACCCATTCACGGAGCACTTTTCGAGCTCGTAGGAGTAATTTATTAGCCGTCATCGTCATCGTCCTCGAGTAATCTACCATGCCATTCTTCTGTCCACCGTGTTTGCCTTCGAGCTAAAGACAACATCTCCAACAAGGACACCAATCTCTAGCTCGTTCAGTCGTCATCCATACGCGTCCCGTTGAATCAGAGGACAACTTGACCATATACCCTGATATACTACACTACCCTTTCATGTCCTCGGCGACGTCCGACATTGGATATATGCAAGTCGAGTTCAATCAAGATGCTGTTGTTGCCAGGCAAGGACTCTCGCAGGTCCGTGACGTGGTGTGCTCGCCAGCGAGAGCTTTGAGAGTGAGCTCCGACCACCTGAGGTGCGCTCTGACCACCTAGAGTGAGCTCCAACCAATTGAAGTGAGCTCCAGCGCATGCAGTTTATATATACAAATGAGGTTACAACTACTCGGTGTTGCAGAGGAGCGCGACACCGCGGAGGCCCCAATGACGTGGCGGCCGGTTCGAAGGGCACTTCATCGTGACCATAAAGATGATGTACCGGTCTGTTCGCATCGGGTACTTGTAGCATGGGCACTCGAACGGTCCAATCGAGCCGTAGAGCTCCTTGCGCGACTTGTTTTCGAGCTCTTTCGACATGCTATTGACGTGCAGCACCGGCAGCGACGTAAAGAGCTTCTTGGGCTCCGACTCGACGAGCGTGCCGTCCTGCTTGCTCCACGTCGCGCCGTCGAGGAAGAGACCGTAGATAAGGATACCCTCCGCGGGCGGCTGCCGCACCTGCTCGGCGCGCTCAAAGGTCGTGACTTCGGTGTGGTAGACGACGTCATCCAGCGCCCACTTATCGGTCTTGGAGTGCTTGCGCGTCACCTCTTGCTTCATCGCCGTGAGCATGCCTTGCGGGTTGAAGAAGCCCGTGAGCCAAAAGCAGTTGGGGCGGCGCGTGTTGAGCCAATTCCGGCTCTGCTCGTCGCGCGAGAGGAGCGATGAAAACCAAAGCCCAAGGGTTGGCAGAATCCAAGAGAACTCGTCACCGACCGACGTGCGCAGCCAGGACGGCGGCACCTTGGCGTCAAAGATCGCGTTGAGCGTCCAGCTGAGCTCCTCGGTCATGACGACTTCACCGCGAATCGCCATTTGCAGCTGCGAGAGCATCGTGCGCACCTTGGAGATGACGCGCTGGAGACGCTGAATCTCTTGGTACAAGAAGATGTTGAGCGGGATCGTGAGGCCGCCGAGGCGCTGGATCTTGGCCTTATAATCGTCTTCAATGTAGTCTTCGGGGAGACGGTCGGCGAGCTCCTTGGCTTTTTCACAAACCACGTCTTCGCGCGAGACGCCAGAGGACCCGCCACCGCCTTTCGGCTGCGTCTCGCCAAGCGTACCCAAGAGCAGGTTGACTTCCTTCACGCGGTACGTCAAGTCGGCGTTCGGGTGGAGCCCAAAGATCTCGGGCGAGTCGACGTCCGGGAGGCTGTGGCAAAAGTTGCGGTAGTCGTCAATGTTCTCGGCGACCGGGATCCGGTAGTTGAAGTCGTTCGGAATCCGCAAGATCGGCTCGCCCGGGTTGTAACTAAAGCTGGGCGAGCACGCTTCGGGCTGGATGCACCACTCGCAGTAGTAGTTGAACATGCGCCGGTCCAAGTTGTCGGTGATCTTGCCGCCATACTGCACCTCGGAGACCATGTACTGCAGCGTCGGCCACGAGATCGGCCCGTTGTACAAATGCTTCTCCAAGAAGATCGTGCACGCCGAGAGGTCGCCGTTGTTGTATTCGTATGGGATGCACCACCCAAGCGGCCCAAACTTCTTGCGCTCAATCACGACCGAATGCAAAAAACACAAGTCAAAGAGCAGTTGGCGCCACTGGACCGTCTCGACGCGCTCGAGCTTTTCTTGGTCGACCATGACGGTAAACGACCGGAGAATGCCCGCGTGCAAGCCCTGCGGCGGCTCGTTGGTCACCTTGGTCGACATTTGCAGTAGTCCGAGCGGGAACTGCTCGCTCGGAAGCGCGGTCAAGAAGAGCCGAAAGTTGGCGTCCATCGTCTCGGAGAGCTTGAAGATGACGTCTTCCATTTGCTCCATGAGCTCGAGGCCGAGTTCGCAGTTTTGAAGCAGCACCCACGTGCCGTTGACGACGCCGGCGTTGATCGCTTTCAAAGCGACGGGCTCCTGGCCTTCGCCCATGGACACGACCGCGGGCGACGGGAACTTGCGCTTGCGTGCGAGCTGCTCGATGCTCTCGGTGGGGTCGGCGCCGATCGAGAGGAGAAAGATGACTGGCGTGTCGGCCTTCATCTCGGCAAAGATGCTCTCGATCGTGTCGGTGACCGGCTCGACATAGCGCGGCCCCATCTGCGCCGTGTTGCGAATGAACTCCTTGGTGCAAAGGATCGTCCGGTCCATCCGCAGCGCGCGCACGAGGAGCAGCTTCAAGTACGGCCCCACCGACTCGTTTTCAGCAATGCGATTTTCGTAATCCGGGATCATTGTGTTCTCTGGCTCGTTGTCCTCGTACCACCGACGCCACATGGCCTCGTTCGAGGTCATATCGTGGGGCAGCGACGTGTAAAACTTGCACGACTGCGAGAGCTCAATGATGTTGAGCCACGCTTCGTTCGAGATCCACGAGAAGGGCTTGCGACGGACCGTGTTGATGTCGAGGGCCGCGCCACCGCGAATGAGCAGCGTCACCTCCTCGCGCGTCAAGAGCCCGTCGGTCACGAGAATCTTCATCGTCAAGAGCAGAATGAACGTGAGCTTGTCGCATTCGTACAAGCCGCGGTTGATGTAGCGGTAGCTGATGTACGTCATGGTCTCGATGATGTTGGCAACGCGCTTGGAGGCGAGCGCGGCCTTGTCGGCCACGTCCATCGACTTCATGAAGAGCGCCAAGAACTGGTTGAGCGACGTCTGGTACATGCAGTTGACGAGCGACATTTCCACGACGGAAAAGTACAAGACCGAGCCGCGCGTCGCCACGGGCCGGAACTGCTCGCGCTTCTCGTTGATGCTTTTGCGCGTATCGGCGGCCGCAATGAGCTTGTCTTTGACTTCAGCGGCTTTTTCCTTGGTGTTGGCTAGGACTCCGATGAGCTCTTCGTCCTCGAGCAGGTTGCCCGTGTTGGACGTGAGACGCTCCAAGAGCGACGCATCGAGGGCGAGGAGCGACTTGGTGTTGAGGTTGACGTCTTCGAGCACTTGGGCGAGCTGCTCCTCGAGGGCCTTTTGCTCCTTCCCAATGACACGCCCCAAAAGCTGCTCTTCGAGACCCTTGATCGTGACAGTAAAGTCGATCACGGTTGTCTTGGCTTGGAGCTCTGGTCCAAAATGCGGGTTGGGCAAGCGAGTGATAAAGTACATGGAGAACGCCGGGTTGAACTCCATGTTCTTGTCCGAGACGTTGATCGAGAGGCTTCGGCCCTTGACGATGATCTGGCGCTCCAAGACTGGGTCCAGCATTGGGTCAATGTCTTCTTCGACGCCCGTAATGACGAGCGCACGGCCTTCGCCCATGCAATACTCGAGCTGGTCCTTTAGCTTTGGATGGTTGAGCGCCGTCGAGCCGTAGCTGGGCATGCGCAGCGCCTCGCGGTTCTTGATCCACGACAGCGCTTGGCCTTGCGGATCCACGAGCAGCGGATAGCGCGACGAGCGCGTGACCATGATACCGTTCTGGATCGAGAGCGAGTCGGTCGGGAGTCCCTGAATGTTCCAGTCGCCGATCGTGCCAATGTCGACAAGGAACGTGATGATGTCGAGGTCCGACGTCACGGGCACGCTGCGGATCTCGCAGTCCGGAATGAACTTGTTCATGACCATGTAGTGCCGGAAGTCTTGGTTGAACGGACCGCAGTAGGAGACGAAGGCACAGGCCACCGCGCAGTCGCCGACCATGCGCCGCTTGAGATCGGCAAAGTTGTTCGAGTCGTCGGTCCAGCGCACACGCTCGCCCGCAAGACCGTTGATCAAGTCGGACGCTTGCTGCATCTTGCGCGCGAGGGCGTTGGCGCCGTCCTCGATGCGCTTCTTCTCGGCCATTTGCGACTCGAACATCTGCTGGAGCTCCGTGAGCCGCTCCTTGCACTTGAGCAAGCGGAGCTCGGCAGCGGCGAGCGCCTTGTTGGCGGCCTCCATTTGGCCTTCCGCAATCATGAGCGCTTCGAGCTTGGGCTTCACGACCTTGGACGCTTCGTGGTAAAACTTCATCGCGCGCACCCACGTACAGAGCCCTTCAGCTGCAAGCGACGCGTTCTTGGCGACCGCCGGTAAGAACCCCTCGAGCTCCATGTACGGACAGAGGAGCTCGATGGTCTCTTCGTTGATCATGTCCTTCCCGACAGCGCCAAACGTTTGGACGTTTTTGAGAAAGTTGCTGTCGCCCATCACTTGCTGCGCAAAGGGCGAGAACGACGTCTCGATAAAGTCAATGTCTTGCTTGGCGACGTTGAGTTTGGCTTGTTTGACAGTGTTGAGTTGACTTTGAAAGAGAATGAGGACGCCGTCGAACACGAGACGGATGATATCGGCGGGCTTGGCGAGCTTCTTGATTTCACCAATGTGCGCGGGCTTGATCGAGTCGATGGCCGTCTCGGCTTCCTCGACAAACGGCTTGGCTTTGGCCAAGTCGGTCTCGCAAGCCGCTTTTTCAGCGCCAATGCGCACGGCGTCTTCTTCGCACTTGGCTTTGATGGCTGCGACCTGCTCGCCTTCCTTGTACGCCTCGGCCGACGACACTTGGAGCGACTGGAGCATCGCGTTCGTCTCTTCTGTCGCTTTTTGGAGCTTGATTTGCTCGTCGGCGAGTACGATCGACATGGCTTTGACGTCTTCGGCGCCTTGAATGAGCTTCTTGAGCCCCAGGTTCACGCGCTGCTCTTTCACTTTGATCTCTTCAATCTTGATACTGTACATCTTCTTGTACGACTCGATGAAGCTCAAGTAGGACTTGGGTGTTTGGTACACGCGCCGGCGCATCTTTTGAAAGTACTCGTCACAGAGGTCGGTGACGATGCGGTGGACCATGCCCATGTGCGTCATCAAGGCGAGGCGCGTCACGTCGTCGCACTCCATTGGGTAGTCGAGGACAAAGCCTTTCGAGACAGCAATGAGTGCGTCTTCGGGCCACGTGAGGAACCAATCGATGGTCGGGCCCGAGATCAAGCCGGGGAACTTGCGCGCGCGATCGGCAAACTTGGCGTTGAGCGGCGACATGCACAGCACGACGTGGAGGTTGTCGCGGACGCCGTCGATAAAGTACTGTTTGAGGTTCGCCTGCGTATCGGGGAGACCTGGTCGATCTTTGACGAACGCGTTCCGGAGGTCGGCGGTCATGGCCATCATCTCATCCTTTGCAAACAAACCGGCCACTTCGCCCGTCATGAGCACCGAGTTGAGAAGCTCGAGGAAGATTTCGTTCTTGATCTCCGAGTCGGTAAAGAGAAACGTCGTCGACTTCTTCAGGTGCCCCGCGCTCTTGTACAACACACGGAGGTCGTCCATGAACGAGTTGGTGTTGTACGTCTTGGTGAGTGTCACCTGGAACGCGGTCGACTGCGCCATGTAGGCTGCAAGCCGCGTCAACGACTGCTTCCCGGACCCGCCGACACCGACGAGGAGCGCAGAGCCGCGTGGCATTTCGAGAAGCCGAGACAGACGCAGTAGATGCCCGAGCGCGTCATCAAAGAGCACGAGGCGCATGACGCGCTGCGGGTACTCGGTGTTGTACTTGGCCAAAAACTGGTTGACGCGGGCCCGAACCTCTTCGAGCGTCCCACCCGGTTCGTACCTACGTCCTCGTTGTAGCCATCAACAGATAGAGAGAGGAGTTATGTACACTTTGGGGACAAAGTCGTCAACAACACCTTCTTCGTTCTCGGCGGGATCCCGCAAAAAGTTGACCATGTAGAAGGGTTGGCGCACCTTGGCTTCCATCTCGTCACCGAAATGGCCTTTGAGGAGCTCACGCATGTACGCTTGGTACACATCCTTGTCCTTGTAGTTGGTCAGCTTGTCGGAGAAGACGCGCTCGCACTCATGCCGCCACACCATCACGATGAGCTGCCCTTGATCGAGCTTGTCCATCTTGCCTTCTTCGACGCGGAAGCCGCCGCCCGACGCAAAAGTCTCGGCCGGCGTCAACAGCACGCCTTGGAAGACGCGGCTGAGTTCGCGCATGTTGAAGATGTAATGAAACTTGGCCGGCGTCGGGAGGAGCTTGGCTTTCATGTAGTTCCAGAGATCGATCGTGGCGCGCGTGAGCTTGCCAGCCATTTCGATCGCATCTTTCGAGTACGAGTCGGGCGTGAAGCGCCCGGCGAGCATTTGGCCGTAAATGTCATCGATGGACGTCAACGACGGCAGCACGAGGTTGAAGAGAAAGAACTGCCGCTTGAGACGGTTGGGAATGTCGTTGCGACCGCCCCCCGGGTGGCCCATCGCGCCGACGTACTGCAGATCTTCACACACCTTGAAGTCGCCGCGCCGGTCTTTTGAGAGGAAGCAGAACCCGCTGCACTCGATGATGAGGCGGACGATCTCGAGCGTCGGCTGGTCACCCCACGCGTTCACGAGTGGCATGCTCAGATCGTCGAGGAAGATCGTCATCTTCTTGCCGTTGGGCGGGCCAAAGCTCTTGCCACCGCGTTTGTCGAGCTCCGATTCGACTGCGGTCTGAAACATAAAGGGCGTCGTCGCACTAGAAAAGTTGACGCGCTTCACGAGCATCGTGTCAGGGTTGAGCTCGTTGAAGTACATGAGCGCGCACGACGTCTTGGCGGTACCGAGGCCGCCGACCATGAGGACCGGCTTCTTTTGCTTGTGGAGGTTCTCAATCAAGTACAGAGTTCGGACCGAGTCCATCGTCGGTACGAGCAAGTTGGAGAAATCGAGTTTGTCGCCTTTTGGGTAGTTCCATTTCGGTGGTCGCCAAACTTTCCACTCGAACGTCGCGGGATCGACAAAGTGCTCGTACACGAGGTTGCCATCGACGACCTTGGGCAGCAAATTCTGGTCGTCGAGGTTGCGCAGCCACTCGTCAAACTTGACGCGGTCTTCTGGCTCGAGCAGCTGCCCGACGCTCCACGCAATGCAGTACAAAAAGAGCTTCTCGAGCTGCTTCTGCAGTGTCCCCGGGTCTTCTGAGAGCGAGTTGCCGTGGTCGCCGAGGAGGAGACCCGTCATGAGGTTGTACAAGCGACTCGCTTGGCCGACGCGCGAGACGGGCATGACACCAGACGTGTTGCGCGCGAGATAGTCGAACGCGATACCAGGGAGCAGCGGCGAGTTCTCGCCCATGTACTTGCTAAAGAGGTTGCGCAAAATCTCTTGGTGCGACGCCGGCCGCTTCCGAATCCACGCTTCGACGACCGGCGCCCAGTCGAGGTCCGTGTCCGAGACAAAGACAATGCCGGCGCGGCTCACCGTGGCCGGCGATGCGTTCACAAGTGTCTCGACCTCAAACATGAGCTTGACGTTGTCCGTCATGGGCATGCGGTCGCCGTTGGCGAGCGTCAGAATCTTGTTGTCGTCAAGGACTGTGTTGAGATCTTCGATCCAAATCGCATCAACCGGCCCGTCGCAGATCATCCACATGATAAACTTGTTGCTCTTCTGGTTGTACTTGCTCCACATGGCCGCAAAGACGCCGGTGGTCCACTCGCCCGACATCGGGTCGACCTCGCCGTACATCTCGGCGGCGCGGATCGCTTTTGGGTTGAGCCGCGACTGCTTGTGGTTGATCGTGGTTGTGAACGTGAGCGCTTGCTGGAGTACCTCAAAGATGCGCGACTTGCCACCGCCCGTGGGACCGACGAGCATGATGCCATGCCGCACGAGCTGCGTCTCGTAGAGCTGGATCACCTTGTTGAGCCAGCCCGGGTGGTTGACAAGCCCAATTTTGTCGATTTCCGTCAGCACCGCGGCTTCGAGCTCGGGGTAGACGCCTTTTGGTGGCGGCGGCACGGTCGGGAACAAGTCTTGCAGGAGCGAGAGGAAGAGCGGGACGTCTTGCGCGACGAGCTTGGAGAGGTTCATATCGCGCAGTGTCTGGAAGAGGAGCTTGGCCTCGAGGTCGTTGCGGTTGTCGCGCTTGATCTTGCCGGCGCTTCGGAGCACGGCGAGAATGTTGCGGAGACCCCAGTCGTAGTGCTTTTGCGCCGAGAGCTGCTCCTTGCACGTCGAGTACAAGATGAAGAATTTCTTGGCGAGCTCTTGGTACTCGAGATAGCCCACCGAACAGAGCTTGACCTTCATGATGATCTCAAAGTCCGGGACCATCATGGCGACGCCGCGGAAGAGCGCCTTGAGGTTCTCTGGCAGTTCTTGCCGACCGGCGTACCCGGGGTTCATCGTGATGAAGAAGCCGCACACGGGCAAAAGCAAGATGTTTTGCGGGTCGCCAGGAAACTGGAAGAACTTGACGCCCGTCTTCTTGCCGTTCTGGATCGCGAGCACTTGCTGCGCCACGACCGACAAGACGGGCAGCTGAATGCGGTTGAACTCGTCAAAGCAACCCCAGAGACCGCCCTGGCACAGTCCCTTGAAGATCTTGGCGCAGTCCGTGTACTTTTGCTGATCGGTGCAGTTGGTCACAACGACATAGATCCCCAGCGTCCGCCCAAGATCTTTGACCGTCTCGGTCTTGCCCGTGCCGGCGGGGCCCGCGGGGGCGCCGCCAAAGTACATGCCGAGTGCTTGGGCGAGCGTAATGTAGCATCGATCCGTGAGCGGCGTCACGACCAGTCGCTCTTTCGAGCCGAGGTACTCGAATTGGTAGTTGAAGTCGACGTCCGTGATTGAGACGACGCACGCGCCATCGGCAGTAAACTCGTCGGCGTTGTTGGGCCGCCAATAGAAGCGAGCTTGTTTCAGCCACTCGAAATCGTTCGGGTCGGAAATCTTCTTTTGCTTGTAGAGCAGCGCCAAGTCGCTCATGACGTCGCGCTGGTGGACGTGGATCGTCACGAGCGTCTCGATCTTGACGCGGTTTTGCTTGGAGCCGAGATCCTGGAGGCACCACGATGAGAGCTCAATGAGCACTTGGAGCTGCTTCTGGCTCATGTCCTTCATCGCGTTCTTCTTGCTGCGGCACTGCTCGAGCGCAGTTTGCACGTCGTTCGTCCACATCATTTGGATACCGAGGAGCGCAAACTGGGCCACGTAGCGATCGACAAAGTCCCGCATGCGCTTGATGTCGGCGCTCATTGCACCAACGTCACTGGCGCAATGGCGGCAAATGTCCTTCATCGTGAGCTGCATGGACCGCAGAAGCGACGCAAGCCAGTCTTCAATGTTGCCTTGCGCTTTCACAATCGACGAAAAGCGCACTTCGTCGACGCCCGAGACCATCGTATGAATGAGCGTCTTGTCCTTCTTGTCGTGGATGACGCGCTCGATCGAGTCAAACACCTTTTCATAGTGCTCGTTCATGCTCAGCGGGTCGGAGCCTTGCGAGAGGATCATGAGAAGACCGGGATTCGATACAAAGTAGAAGCGCGGAAACTTGTTGCGCTTCTGCTCGAGGTAGCCTTCGAGCGACTTTTGGCACTTTTCGAGCTCGCTGTACATGTTGGGGAGGCACGACTTGAGGAGCTCGCTCGCACAGCACTGGACCGCGTTCTTGATCTCGACCGACTTCGTCATGATCTTGGCCCAGTCCTTGTCGATCTTTTGAAACTTCTTGGCTTCGACCGGCATTTGCTTGGCAATGTCGCCGCCCGTGAAGACCGACTCGAGCGAGCACCATAGCATTTGCACTTTGATCCAGCGTTCGAGCGTCTCGCTCGTGTCGCTGAGCTGCTCGAGCTTTTGCTGCGCCACCTCCTTGAACGGCAGCACGTGGCGCATGCTGAGCATCGTCTGGAGGTTCATTTGCGCTTCCTCAAGGGCCTCGACGACCGGCACGACGCCTTTGAGCACCGGTACGTTGCGGTTCTTCCAGTCGTTGAATTGAAACTCTTCGGCGTCCCAGTGCTCGTTGATTTCGGCGAGCGCGATCTCGATCTTGAGCTGCTTGTCGGCGCCGTCCGTGATCTCTTCGATCTCGGTCTTGTAGAGCACAATGTTGGCGTCCATGAGCGCTTGGAGCTTGAAGTCGGCCGCGTTCACATCAAAGGATGTGCTCGTCTTCTCCATGACGGCGTCCCAATGGCGCGGCTTGATGGACGGTTTGCTGAGCTCTTGGAGCAGCGGGAGGATGTCGGTAAAGTCATCAATCATCTTCTTCAAGACCGCGTACGCCTCCCACTCGCGGAGCTTGGCCGGCATCTTCTTGCAGCGGTTCGAGAAGCCGTCGACCTTCTCGGTCATCGACTGCATGTTTTGTGCGACTTGGACCCACGGAATGGTCTTCCACTCTTCGAGCGTGCTAAGGACGTCGACGTACAAGCCAAAGAGCTTGTCTTGGAGCTGGAGCTCCTTCTTGGTCATCTCGAGCTCCGGGTAGCTCGTTTTCGGTAAGCCAAAGAGCTCTTCGCCCGACGTGTAGAGATCTTGCTTGCGCTCGCGAATCTTGTACTCTTCTTTGTACCGGTTCAAGCGCTCGACGGCTTCGGACGCCGAGATGCCAATGACCATGGGTCCGTTGGCCAAAAAGTCTTCTCGAAAGTGCTTGACGTCGACAAGGAACTCCTTGATATCGCGGAGAAGCCCGCGCTTGAAGCCCGCCTGCGTCTTGGAGAGCTCGTCCGTGCGCGTCTCGGCGTGGTGGATGAGCTTGCGCCAGTTGCTCCGCAGCACGGACTTCTGGTCCATCTCTTCCTTCTCCATAAAGCCGTCCGGAAGGTAGTACTCGAGCATCTCGTACATGTCCAAGACCGGGTTGATCTCCATGTTGATGCCGCTCTCGCGCGCGCGGACTTCTTTGAGGAGGTTCATGACGAACCGGAGCGAGTCGAGGTCCACGACCTTGCGGTTGAGCTTGCCCATCATGCTGCGGAAGTACTCGGTGAGCGACTCCATCTTTTTGCGCGCTTGATTGTGTAAATTGTCGCTGTACTTGAGCTTCCACTGCGCGTTCTCGTGCTTGAGCTGGAGCTTGATGTTGCGCGTATTTAGCGAGAGCGCGCCAATGTTGTGCACCGCTATAAGCGTCAAATTCAAGTGTTGAGTTGACGTATTTGAGATATGCAAGTGTACCCGGGATCGCCGTAATGTCTTCGTCAATAATGACAAACGATTTGAGTTTGCGCTCAAAGTCCTGGAGCTCGGGGCTCTTTTTGAGAAAGTCGTCGTACGACACGTCCTTGTTCTCCATCCAGAGCCACTCGTACTGCTTGAAGGACGCGAGGTACTCGGTGACGCTGTTGCGCAAGCCCTGGACGCTGCCCGTCAAGAGCAAGACGACGCGGACGATCTCAATGTCTTTGGTGATGCGCTCGAAAAACGTCGTCTTCTCTTCCTTTGGCACATCGGCTTGGCCCCAGTCGTAGAGCTCTTTGGCGGCTGCGAGGACGGTCTGGGCCGCGCGGTTGATCGCCAACTGGATGTCGTCGAGGCTCGGCGAGAGCTGGACGCGCGGGATACTCAGCTGCACGTCGACTTCAAAGAACGGCCGGTCTGTCGCGAGCGGCGTGGCGCCGGCGCGGGACGCCACGCGCTTCTTGACGCTGTTGAGCGAGTTCTTTGTGCAATGGAGCAGCGCTTGGTACATAAAGTGGTTGTAGTGCTTCTTGAGCTTCATCGCTTCTTCGGTCGAGACGCTCTCGATGTGCGAGTCGAGCGGGTACTGCGTAATGATCTTGAGCAAGTCCTCGACCGCGTTCTCAATCTCAATGTTCTTGCCTTGGAGAAGCGCGCCAGCGCGGCGAATGTTGGAGCCTTGCATCGACACAAACTCGTCGAGCGAGAACGACTGGTCCGTCGGGAGGTCCACGAGCATCGTCTTGGACACGATGCGCAGATTCTTCTCGACGCGGTTCTCGATGATGTCGTTGATGTTGGTCACGAGCTCCTCGAGCCGCTGGAGCCCCGTGTGCACGTGGTTGCGGTACGCTTCAATGTTCATGCTCGTCCACGTGAGCGTGATCATGCCCGGCCGGAGCTTGAACTCCATGTCGTTGAAGTGCGGCCGCAGCAGCATCGCGGTGACGGGAATGACCTTGGTCACGATCCGGTCGTACTCGGAGAGCGCGAATTGGAGTTCGTTGAAGTAGTTTTTGAACTTTTCTTCTTGGAGGAGCACGATTTTCGCCGACTCGGGGATCTCAATGCCCATGCGATCGAGGCACTTGGCTTCGCGGAGGAGCTGGAGGATCTCTGGGTCAAAGTTGACGTACAAAATGTTGTCTTCGGGGTGGCGAATGATGAGCGTGGCTTGGAGCCCGGCTTTCGCCGTGTCGATGTACTGCACCCACGCTTGGTACCAAATGTACTCGAACGCGACGAGCGTCCGCGCGACCTTGTTGTACATGCGGATGATGCGCTTCGCGTCCTTGCTCGCGAGGACGTTCTGGTTGGACTCGAACTTCTTCATTGGCTCCTCAATGCGCTTGAGGAGGTGGCGCGACCACGTAATGTTGCCGGCGACGGGCGGGAGGTTGCGGGGATACGGTGGGTTGTGCTTATGGCGCTCGTACTGCTGCAAGACGTGCTCGAGCTCGAGCCCGTAATTTTGGAAAATGACGTTGAACTTGGAGTCAAGATCGGACTTGAGGTTTTCGCGCTGGAGAATCGTTTGAAATTTGCGCAGCAAGTTGAGCGAGTGCTCGATGCTCGTAATGTTCTCGAACGAGTCGTTGATGAACTTTTGCAGGAGCCCTTCGAGGTCCGAGATGCGCACGTTGAACTCGACGTAATCGCGGTCGAATCGGTTGTTGCGGTAGTCGAGCAGGTCGTGGTTGCGCAGCCGAAACTCGCGGATGACGCCGTTGAACTTGCCAATGAGCTCGTCCATGCCCTCGAGCTTGTGCTGCCCGAGCGACGAGAACTGGTGGATGGTCGTAAACATGTCGATGAGCTTGATGATGCGCCGGCAAAAAAGGTCAAACTTGCCAAAGATCTGCATCTCGTTGAACTCAAACTGCTTGCCTTTCGGCATCGCAAACAGCTTGTCCTTGGTCGCACGGTACTGCTGCTGGTACGCCTCGTTGAGCTTGAGGCACGAGTCGAGGTTCCGCACGAGCTCTTCCGGCTCCTTGCTCCACATGACCTCGAACGTCTCGCCGCCCGTGATGCAGCCCTTGCAGTTGGTGATCATTTGATTCGTAATCTTGGTCAAGAGCGACGCCATGCGCTCGGACGTGTTGTAGTAGCGCGCGATCGAGTGGATCATCTTGATCGAGTTCATGAGCGCGGGCAGCGTGTCGATGATCGTGTTGGGCGTCCCCGAGTAGAGCGGCACAATGAACTTTTCGAGCGTAAACAAGTACTTGACGTTGTCTTTTGCTTCGTTGGTTGCTTCTGTGATGCTAATGTCGGTCTGCTTCCAGCGCCGGAGCAGCGTCTGGATGCGCTGCTTCGTGTCGTCGCTCACGTTCTTGGAGGTCCGCGACAAGACGAAGAAGACGTCCTTGTATTCGTTCGACTTGAGCTGCTCCGTGATCGACGTCAAGCGCTGCATGCGCCGGCGCCAATACTCGAGCTCGCCCATCGGCCCGTCGTCGTCGATCTCGTCGTCCTTGTTCTTGCCGTCGCCTGTCGTGTTGGTCTCGAGGTACGTTGAAATCACGTCGCACCACTCCTTCAAGACGTCTTCATAGTGCGCAATGACCTGCGGCGACTCGCTCACGGCTACGCCGCGCGTGCCCGCGTTCTCGTGTTCGCGATCGGGCCGGCGGAGCTCGAGTCCGCTGTCCATGCTGTGGAGAGCCTCCTGTATCGATATGCAGTATAAGACACTATCATGCAACAACAGCACGAACCTTGAGGTCGTTGGCAAACTTCTCCGACTCGGTCATAAACTCGACGCGAAGGTCCGGGTCGGCCTTGCCCCAGTCTTCGCGCGCTTTGAAGAGCGGCGTGAAGAGCTGCGAGAGCGTCGCTTCGAGGTCGCGAAGGACGTTGGGCGCGAGTTCGCCAAAGAGAAGCGTCCCGTCGCTGGCCTACGGCGAAGGTCAACCTCTGTCGTCGCAATGTACGCGCGTGTACCTTGGTCGTGTCGACGGCTTTTCCATCGGCTGTGACGCGCAGAAAGTAACAACACTTGGACCGGATCGGGATCGTGTTGCCCGCCGACGCCGTAAGCCGCGTGCGCGACGCATCGCCCTTGTCGGCCGGCTACAAGCACGATGGTATGCGAGGCGACAAGATATCAATGACGTACGTCGGCTTGGAAGTGGATGAAGATCTTGCTAACGTCCTTGGCGCCGACGAGATCGTCCCAGAGCTTCTTGGTCGACGGCGCCGATAAGAACTCGTTGACTTCGCTGGTGGACACGAGTGGCTCGAAGCTCTCGACGATGCGCGTCGCGACCCACTGCATGCGCGCGCTGGCCATCGTGACGGCGACGAGTCGGCTTGCTTCGCGTCTCTTGACCAAACGCAGACTGGCACGCCTCCTCAAGATACCGTTTCGCGCTGAAAATGAACACAACATGTTTTGAGTTGAGTTTCATGTCATTCTGTCCGCAACGTCGCAAGTTTTGCAGAGTGCGCGTGAACGCTAAGGGCATGTTGCGCTGCGTATTCGAAACGAGTCATGCGCCGTCGATGCACATCGCCGTATCGCTGCCCGTGCATTGTCGACGAGCAAAGATCGACGGGCTTGTATGTTTTGAGTTTGAGTTTGACTGGGAACCATCACTCTTGCACGTGCGTTTCATGTTTCCACGCCGCTTTGTTCGAAAAACCGCGTTAGAAGAACCCACCTCAACCGTTCGGTTCCAACCGGTTGGAAGGGATCCGCCACGCCGAGATGGACGCCAAGAGCATGGAAGCGTCCGGGACCATGTGCTTCCATGGCATCGAGTACTCGGTCGAGATATGGGTCCAGCGCGATGAGCTCCATGTCCAGGTCGAGGAAGAGAGCCTCAAGGCGACGGCCGACGTCGACCGATGGGGCGGCGCCTTCCCCGCCATGTGTGCGATTCCCGACGACGATAACCATGAGACCTCATCCTCGCCGCGTAGACATTGAAGAGCTCACGAAGAAGACGGGCAACTTCAAGCGCTTCTACACCTTTGTCAACATGCTCGTCTCGGCCTTGAACCACAAGAGCGACTCGGTCTTCATTGACCTCCTCACCTACTCGGACCTGGTATCGACCGACTTCGCCCTCTGTACGACATCATGGCATGTAGGAGCTCTACCGGAAGCGCAAGATGGGCAAGTCCTCGACCGAAGCTCCGCCGGCAGTGGCGCTCCATGCGACCAACAAGCGCTACCTTATCCTGACGTACGCGGTCGAATTTGACCGCGTGCATTACCCGCTGCCGCTCCTGTACATTGAGACGCCGACGGCCGACATTTTGCAGAAAACCATCCTACGTCTCAAGCAGGTGGTTGGACCACTCGATCTGCGATTGATTGGCGTCGTCGTAGGCGCTTACCGAGTCCAAAATGGACGGCGGCGTCCCCGACAAGCAGCTCCATGCGCTGCAAGACGAGAACTCGTCCCTTCGGCTCCAGATCAAGCAGCTGCAAGCCATGCATGACGCAGCAAAGGCTTCGTCGTCCGACGTTCGTTGTCTTGTACATGGATCCATCTCTGATGACGTCGCAGGCGCGGGAGCACAAGGAACTCACGGCCATGTACCAGCAGCTCCGAAAAGACTCGACAAACGAGATCACTGAGCTCAAGGCGCAGATCGAGTTGCTCGAGTACGACCTTCTTTGTATCGATACACCGTACAGAAGCTTCTCGTGCGTAGAAAGCAGCAGTCGCGGGACGACGTGGAGGCACTGGAACAACGCTATGGCCAGCGGATACGTCAGCTCGAGAAAGACGTCGAACGCGAACGGGCCGACCAGCACCGTCTTATGGTAGACTATGAGACACGCGAGTATTGGCATCTCATAGACGATTCGGCTCGTGTAGTTGCAATTGGAGCGCCAGCTCGAGGACGAGCGAGCCAAGGCCTGTGCCGCCGAGACGCTAGTGCGCGAGCTGCAGATGAAGAACCGAGAACTCATGCGCCAGCTCGCCGTGGCACGGACCAAGTCGACGCCGCACCGAGACCGACCGCAGGCCGCGACGACGGCGCCAGCACCGCAGGTACAAACGACACTGAAACAGAAGAACAAACTTTTGTGCAGAAGCGAGCGGCGCCGGCGACCCGTCCGCGCAGCACCACAGCGTCGTCACGCCCATCGAGCGGCCACGACAGTGACGGCGAGCGCAAGCCTCGCTACACGGAGCGCCCACCAGCCACTTCAGCAAGCTTCAAGCGCTTTGATCCCACCGCGTACCATGTCGGTCCCACGATTCGCTGTCGCGCTCTTATCATTCGACCATTTATTTAGCTGGAGCGCCAGGCCAAGCTGCGAGCCCGATCGCAGTCCCCGCAGCCGCCATCGCGGTCGTCGTCGGCGCCACGTCGACCTATCACGTACCGTCGAGTCGAGTGTCTCGTTTGACGCGTTTTTGTGTAGGAGCGGGTACTCGTCCGACTCGTCGGCAGGGTACCAGTCGGGCGGGTCCAACGCCTCTCGACGGCCACGGCCGCGGAGCCGCCAGGGCTCCACCGAGCGCCAGCGCGACGCGGTACTTCTCTCTCGTCTCGAATTTGTGTGCTGACGTTGTCTGAAGGATGCGCGGCTTGCGTCTCCACGGTGGAGTGCGTCCAAGAAGGAGCCACCCGCAGTCTCGAGCCGCCGGTCCCCGTCGCCGACCGTTCCCCGCAAGGCCTCTACGACACCACTGAAAGGGTCGAGCACTCCGCTCAAGTCAGTTTCCAAGCTGCCCGGACGGACCAAGCCCACGGTACTTTCGTTGGACCGCCATATGTACGCTCACGGTTTTAGGTGCTCTCAACCAAGCCCCAGTACCTTTATGACGACGACGAGAGCGACACGGAAGCGCCGTCGACGTTCACCGATATTGACAACCGGCTCAACGCGCTGCAGCAGTTTCTGCGCGATGCCAAGACACACAAGACACTCGACAGGAAATAATTACAGTACGTTGGCTTACAAGTCGGTGTTGGCGTGCGAGCTCGAAAAGCTCCAGCGAATGCTGTCTTGGGGCTCCATGAGTGTGTGGGGCGAGAGGACGCTGCGGGCCACGCGGCGCTTCCCGTTCGGAATCGCCTTGCGGACTCCACCCATGAGGCTCTTCATGCTCGAGGCAAAGCCGAGGTTTTGCGCAAAGTGGTACACCTCGTTGCGCGAGAGCGTGTACTGGTGCGCCAAGCCGAGGTACGACGTCGGGTCCGAGAGCATGATGGGCAGAATCGTCTTGCCCTTGTCTTCGGCAAACGCGAGCTGGTCCTGAATGAGTTCGTTCTGGTTCTTGGCTGACAAGACAATGATGAAGCACGAGCACTTGAGGATCGCCTCTTTAGCCGCATGGATCCGCGTTGTCATGTCGCCGTCCGGGCTCGGGTGGTCGACGTACACGCGGCAATACGGGTTGAGCTCCGTGTACAGCTGCCGCACAAAGTCCTCGTGCATGTCCCCCGACGCGACAAACACAAACGGAGCGTTCTCCGCTTCGCTCGACGTCTTGTTGTTGAGGAACGTGTCGACCATGGTCCAGCCCAAGTTGGCGCCACTCTTGGTGGCCAGCGCTTGGCGCTTCTTCTCGATCTCGTCGCGGACGCCGTCGAGCAGCGACCGAAACTGACGCGCAAACGCCGCCTCGTTGTACTCATACGTAATGTTGCGCGGGTTGCTTTTCTCGACGGCGGTGATCGCCGACTCGAATGGGACAATCTGCCGCGCGTACAAGTAGACCTGGAGCTCTTCGCCAATCTTGACGTTCTCGGTCGAGAGCGCTAGGACGGGCGTGCCCACTTGCTTGGCGAGCGCGAGTTCCTTCAAGCACCACTCCGACTTGGGGTAGTCTTCGGTGAGAATGCTCACAACGCACGACGCGCTCGAGATACCGCGGGCAATCTCTTCGCGCCACACCGACCCGCCACCAATGCCACTCGGGTCCACTAGCCATCGCGACGACGTCAGCAAAGTATGGTGCGAGCACATACGTACTGAGATCGAGCCAGGTCGTAATGTGGTTGTTTTCCAAGCTTGTGCGCAGCTTCTTGGCAAACTCCATGTGCGAATGCGTGTAGCTAATCATGACGTCGCGACTGCCGGCCGCGCGCTTGACGGCAAACTGGAGCTCGGTCGACGTCGTGCAGTCCAGCGGCCGGCACCCGTCGCCGTTGACTTGCATCACGTCGGCGCCCGCCCCCAGGAGCGCGAGCGCTGTCGCCTTCTTCCCGCGCTTCATGGCAATGTGCAGGGCCGCGTCGCCAGAGTCGGCGAGCGCGTCGTTGATGTTGCCGCCGCTCGTCACCATGGCCGAGAGGAGCTCCTGTGACAAGTTGTCGGCGTACGCGCCGGCGAGGATCGGCGTCATGCTCTCGTGGTCGCGGATCGACGGGTTGGCTCCGTACCGCAGCAGGCGCTGGACCGCTTCGACACGGTTGCAACGCGCGGCCCAGTGCAGTGGCGTGCGACCGCCCGCGTCTTGAAAGTTGGGGTTTGCGCCCTTTTCCAAAAGCAAATGCAGCGTGTCGGTGCTGCCGCTCACGGCCGCCCAGTGCAACGGCGTTCGGCGGTTGAAGCCCGAGTAGCCGTACTCACCGAGGCAGTCGGGAATGCAATACTTGAGAATCTTCTTGACCTTGCGGACGTTGTTGAGGCCGGCCGCGAGATGAAGCGGCGTGAGCGCCACGTCACCGCCCCAGTCTTCGAGCACAGCGCCGACCGCATAGTTGCCCCGAAGGTACGCAAGCTCGAGCGCGGTGACCGTGTTCATACCACTATCCAAATAACATGCGGTCGATACATTGATACAAAAAGGGAAAAATGTACCCCGGGTCGGGCACATGGAGGTGGTCGGCGTTGGCCACGAGCAGCATCTCCATGATGGTCGGGTGGTCCACAAAGAAGATGGGCGGCACACGCTCGTGCTTGACGGTCGAGCGCGCCACTTGGTTGACATCGGACCCGTGGTCAATGAGCCACTGGACCGCGTCGACGCGCGACGCCGACACGGCGCAGTGCAATGGCGACACCAGCGTCGTCTTGAAGATCTGCTTGGCCGACTCGTCGGCCGAGATGACGACGCGCTTGACAAACACTTGGGAGAGGTACCAAAAAAAGTCGCCAGTGCTCAAGCGCACGCGGGCCACCTTGTCGAGCGCGTTCACCGAGAAGCCCGCGTCGTACAGCAGCTGCAGCATGACCACGTTGCCGTTCATGGCTGCGACGTGCATGGGATTTTTCTTGGAAAAGTTGAAAAACCTACAAAAATTCAAAATATCAACCTCTCAAAAATCCCAAATGGCTGAAAAACAAGCCTACCAGTGCAGGCGGGCCGAGCCATAGTGCTGCGCCGCAAAGTCGTGCCCGAGGTTGTCTTGCGCAAACACGAGCACTTGACGGAGGTCTTCGACGTTGCCGAGCTCGGCGGCCGTGTACAAGCGCTTCTTGACCTCGGCGACGAGCTTCTTGAGCTTGGTGTTGGCATCCAGCATCGCCGGCTCGGCCTTGGCCTTGCCCGTGAGCTCGCCTTCCTTGAACGCACCGAGCTGCATCTTGAGGTGGTCGCGGAGACGCGTGAAGTACGTGATCTGGACAATCATGACGATGTACGTGACGATGGCGCCGGCGCAAAAGACGATCGCGGGAACCTCGGCGCACATGTGGGCCATAAACTGCGATTGCACGAGCGTAATGACGCCGAGAATGAGGAGCGCGACTTGGTAGAGCATGAGGAACGAGCAGATCATCTCGCACGCCTGGAGGTACCACGTGCGCTGCACTTTCTGGCTAATGCGCTGCATCGCCATGCGGTGTTCCGTGGTCTCTTCGTCTTTGGGCGACGCGCGCTTGAAGAGGTCAAAGCACCGGAAACCCGTGCCCGTGATACCGAGGAAGAGCACAAATGGCGCCGTGCAGTAGACAGTCCAGCCAAACTTGAGCCACTTGGCGCACGAGTCGGAGATGTCGACGACGGGCTCGTACGCGTGCAGAATCTCGTACCACCAGTCGGCATCGACGTGCTGGTACATGTAGTAGCCGTAATAGCCAAAGGCCGCGCCGTCCAAGAGGAAGAGCGTGAGCGTCGTCCACAGAAGCCGCTTGACAAAGAACGAGTTGCGCAAGTAGCCCTTGAGGCCAATGTGGCCGCGCCGGACCGGCATGCTCATGGTGCGGGTCCGGAAGGCGTCGCGCGAAGCTTGGAGCGCGGGCTGCGGGCGCTCGACCGGCGTGGCGCCATGGCCGACGCCGTAGTCGGCCTCGATGTCGACGACCTCGTCCGCGAAGAGCAGCTTCTCCGTCTTGGAGCTGCTCATCCAGTCGTGCGTCGTCGTCGCCGTCAATCTCAAAATGCACGTCGTCGCCGTCGTAATCGCACGTATCCGGATAAAAACAAGCTCCGTTGGGCTCGGTTGGGTCGCCTCCCATCACACATACAAATACCGAGTCATAATTAAAAGCTTCGAAAAAATATTTATCACGCGGTTTGTATACCATAGAAAATGGATGTGAAGTTGTCCGGATAACGTTGTGAACTGGCCTCGGCATATGTGTTACATTCGTCCTGGTGTACTAGTATGCACTTTACTTTGAGCTCGCACCCACACCACGTCCAACGTTCAAAGGTGATCGGCGTGATCGCAAGGCCGAGTGAAGGTGACTTGACTACCTCTACTACCTTAACGTTAGAACAGTTTAACCTTGCGCATTGGCAATCGTAGATCTTAGAGCGTTTTGCTGCCTGCGACATGGCCTCGATCAGTCGCCAAACTGCGTCAACTTGTCCAACGGCAAGTTCGCGGCGCCGTCACAGAGCCCGTCGCAGATACGATGTGATGCGTTCAACGCGGCGACACCGCCAATGGATTCCTTCGTCTACGCATTTCGAAGACCACGCGAACGCTCTGAGCTAGAATGCGTGTCGTCTTCACTGCAGTCTACAGTGTAGTCTGCAGGTATGCGTGCATCAGATCGATTCGCCACGTCGTCAGGCCTCGCGTCCGACCGCGCTTTGATGGTGCGCAAAGAGAGATACCAAAAGTGCTACAGGTATTCGAATACGGAGCCGCACCAATGAGGTTCAGGGTGAACCCGCGAAATCGCGACGTGATCTCGTCATTCCAAGACGTTAGCAAGTGGGATGTGCAGTAGGACAAGGCAGGACGCTCGGTCATATCATTCGGCGCAAGCGGTCTATGATTTCCACATTAAGCTGCAGCCCGCCAGTCTCTGTCCACTCGCACCGCAACGGTGTCGACCGACAGAAAACAATTAACTACTCGGCTGTCCTCGTTGGTCTCTCTGCACTTGCGTAGGAACACCAAGCTGTCGCCGTCACGACCGCGTCTGAATCTCGAACTCTACAAGACGACTTGAACCAGCGCATAAAGAAAAATGGATACTGCTACTTGTTGGTTAGGCTATATCAGTGGTAAAGACTTTGGTCAGCCGCCGCAGCCACCGCAGCCGCCACATCCACCGCAGCCACCACAACCACCGCCGCCACCGCCATCACCACCGCAGCCACCGCCATCACCACCGCCACCGCCATCACCGCCACAGCCCGTCGAGCAGCCGCCCGTTGCACAGCCACCGGCGCCGCAGCCGCCATTGCCGGCGATCGTGCCGCAACCGCCTTCAGCACCGTACGCCGTGCCCGAGACGCCGCAGCCGCCGCTTGACCCGTAATAGCCGAAGCCACCGCAGCCACCGAGGTGGGTGTAGGGCATGTAGTAGTACGGGAGACCGGCATCGTACATCAAGACAGTGTGACGTGAGTACGGCTGGCGCACGCGGCCGTCCATGACTGGCGTGCCAATCACCGTCACGTAGACAGGCAGCGGGTGTTCGTCGGGCTTGGAGGCTTCGTGGACAGCGACCGCATACGGCATGGCTTCGGTCGGGTAGGGCTCGTTGACGCCGTAAAAGCGGTGAGCTTTCGAGGGCACGGCGCCGTGCTTGGCCCACGTCTTGCGCCATGCGCGGCGTGCAAGGAGACCCGTGGGCTTGTCCTTGATCCACGCTTCGTAGCTCGGTGGGAAGCTCGAGTACGCTTCGTTGAACGTCTTCGACCAGAGTACAAACGTGTCGGCGTAGCCTTTGGCGAGGTCGCCACCGCTGATAGTATCGTCGTGGTCAAGCAGTCGCTGGTGCGAATGCAGCGACGCACAGTACGCAGCGTAGATGTTGGGCGTCGTCTGGTGCGTGTGCCAGACCAAATCAATGTCCGACGTCGGCACAAGGATCGTCGCGGGCTCCTTGACGGACCAAAGGTGCATGAACTGCTCGTAGCGGGCAATCGACGCCGTGAGCACGTCCGGGTGTGTCCAGTACTCAAAGTGTGGGCACATCTTGTTGACAAAGTCGAGCTGTCGAAACATGCCTTGGACCAAGTCGAGGTGGAAGCGTCCAAGAACGTTCTGGCGGTACACCCGGACGGCGGCGTCAATCATCGACCGCATGGACCGGACACCACTCGCGCTTGCGGTGATGGCGTTGGCCGCAACGCTGCGCTTGAGCTCCTCGAGAAACGTGACCCACCGGCCGTTGCTCGGGATACCGGGGACGACTACTTTGTACTCGAAGGGCTCGTTGCGCAGCGCGCCGCTTATCGCGAACGACGGGTGTTTGGCGCAAAACGCCGCAATGTTGTACGTCTCGTACCGGATGCCATGGCCGCACGACGGGCACAGGATCGCCTTGTTGAGGATGTGCATTTGGTATGCGAGCGCCAAGGGCAACGCCGCTGCGCACCCTTGGCGGGGACAGTACGTCACGATGCTGCGGAGCGACGGCTCCGGCTTGGTGCCCAATTTGTACTTGACAGGGTGCAATAGGTGCACGGTGTGGGCAAAGTTGCCCTGCTTACGATGGTTGTACTCGTACTCGAGCGCCAAAAAGTGTGCGTAGAGGTCCTCGACATTCGGCATGGTCGCGACCAGGTCGTACAGCGCCTTCATGTTGAGTACGTGCTGGTGCACCTTCTGCACCGAGACGTTGCAGGGGCGGATGCCCAGTGCGTCGTGGCGCGACGGTGCAGCGTTGATGGCGACCGCCACCGAGAGAAAGGTGTCCCACATGTTCTTGGGCTCGACAATCCACGTCTCGGACGCGATCGCCTTGTCCAAATGCGAGAGAACCTCGTCCCGCGCCGATGACGTCGGTGCGTTCAATGTCAACTTGACCTTGCCGTGTTCGAGGAGCTGGAACGGAAAGCAGTGGGTGTCGTCGATCGGGTCGAGCAGCCGCGTCGTGCAGTAGGCCGTGTTGCAGGCAAACTTGAGCTTCTCGCCGTCCAAGACCTCGAGCGTTTGGCCCGTGAGCACGACTTGGCGCTCGACCCACTTGGGCACAAGGAGCACGCGCTCCTTCACGTCGAGGTCCGCGACATACGACGCCACGCAGATCGACTCGGCATGCAGCAGCGTCTGAACGCCCATGCTGCCAATTGAAAACTGCACGTGTACGTGGCAGCGTTCGACACCAGATCGTAATTTCATGGACCAATCAGCGTCGCCGAATCTGCGATTGACACCCAAAAGATTCGAGGGCGATCGATTGACGTGCTCCTCGACGACCACGAAGCAGAATTTTTGTCGGTTGCACCCAAGTCTGTCTTCGTTCGACCAGATAGATGCCCACGCAGTTGGCTTCTTGGCTGGAAGACACCATTGGATTATGTCAAAAATGGGTACACTATGGAAAATTTCGACATAACGGGCGGAAATAGCATGGAATTGGCAAAAAATGTGTCATGATCAAGCGATCTGGGGAGACTAGCAAGGCTATAAATTTTTACGTAAAACCTTGACGAGTGCAGTGCTGCTGTTTGTAGGTACGCACGGGAAATGCATCGACCATCTCGTTGCACCCATGCACTTTGATGCAGTTCCGTGCAGGATTGTGGACAGCTTGCAGCAGCACATACGAGGTGCATCTCTCCAAATAAGAAATGATCTCTCGCCACTTGCGTATTATATATAAGAGGATATCGAAATATACAGTCTTAGAGACCTGGTTCGCTGCGTTTCGAAATCTTTTCCTTTGATGGCACGACGAGGAGCGGCCGCGGTCGCCATCGCCGGCCTCTGGCTGCATGGAGCCGAAGCAATCCTGCCATCCGGCGTGCTCTCGATCTCGCGCTTTGGCGTGAATGCGACGCTGAACATGCTCGTGTCGCCCAGCCACGACACGGGCTGGGGCCCACCGCTGCCGCAGGAACACGACCGCAACGGCTCACAGCGACACGTCTTGGCCGACGCCGGTGACGCGTGCAGCGCCCTCTCGCGCGCACTTTACGTCGACAAGATCGTGGTGGCACACCGGGGCAACTGCTCATTCCTGGAAAAGGCCAAGATTGCGCAGAGCGCCGGGGCAGCGGGGCTCATCGTCCGCAACACGCGCGAGGCGGTGTACCTTCTCGACCGCAATCGCACGACGCCAGCTGGCAACTTCTCAAGTGACGCGCCGATGCCGGCGTTTGCGACCGACTGCTCGCGCGGCGAAGGCTACGTCCCGTATCTCGACCCGATCGCACCGTGGCTCGTGCAAAGCGATGTCTGCTCCAAGCAGCCCGGCTGCACATCGCGCATCTGTCTTCCGACCGGGCACCGAAACGAATCGTCATATCAAGTGTGCTGCATGTGGGACACGCACTTGCTCATGGGCGCCAACTACACGGAGGCCGACGCCGCGCACTTGCAGCTGCCCATCGTCTTTGCCACCGTCACAGAAGGCGAGACGCTCACTGCGCTCCTCGCGACATCCCCGTCTCCGGCCGGAACCCTCTACGCACGGTACATTCCCTTATTTAATCTTGCTTCGATCGCGCTCTGGGCGATCGGCGTCGCCACCGCGATTGGCGGGTCCTACTACGCAGCACGTGCCGACCGCGCGCGCCTCCGCCAGCACAAGCCCCACGCCGACCCGACGCGCAAGGCGTACGACGACGAGGATGATGACGAAGCTGACGTCCTCCATCTCTCGTTCCAGCACGCGATTGGTTTCATCGTCGTCGCTGGTTGCTTTCTCACGTTTCTCTACTTTGTGCACGTCGGGCCTCTGCTGTCGCTCTTCTTCGGCCTCTCGTCCATTAGCACAACAACGCTGCTGCTGACGCTGCCGATGACCAAGCGACTCTGCCCGTGCATGTCGTCCTGGCATCTTCGCCTGCCACTGGTCGGCACCATCACGATCCACGAGGTCCTCGCTCTCAGCGTCAGCACGAGCCTCGTCGTCGCGTGGTTTCTGCATCGCGACGCCCTCTGGAGTCTCCAAGATCTCTTTGGCATTGCGCTCTGCTTTGTGTTCCTCAAGACGATCCGGTTGCCCAACCTCAAGATTGGCGCGCTCCTCCTTCTCCTTGCTTTTGCCTACGACATTTTTTTCGTGTTTGTAAGTCCGCTCCTCTTTGGCCGCAGTGTCATGGTCGACGTGGCCACCGGTGGCCCGCCCGCCGCGGCTCGCGACGGGTACCCCGGGCGCGACTACTGCGAGCGGTACCCAACCTACCCGCGCTGCGTCGACCCGGACCCACTCCCGATGCTGCTCGTCTTCCCGCGCGTCGGCGACTGGCGTGACGGCCGCGCGATGCTCGGTCTTGGAGACATTGTACTTCCGGGCCTGCTCCTGACGTTCGCACTGCGCTTTGACTATACGCGCCGCGTGCACTTGAAGCGCAAGACCAATAGCGCCAATGTCTTCTTTGGCATCGCGGCCACCGGGTACGCATTGGGGCTCGGCATCACGAACGTTGCGGTTGTGCTCATGAACATGGGCCAACCCGCGCTGTTGTACCTCGTGCCATGCACGCTCGGCAGCGTCGCCGTCGCTGCGCATGCCACTGGCGACCTCCCGCACATGTGGCACGACGGCTTGTACGAGGTCGAGCCCATGGCGCCGATCGTGGGCGGGTCGCCGGTCGACTACGAGGCGGGCGACGAGGCGCCGCTCCTTGACGATGCGTAGCCTATATGCGAATGCATCTTCATGATCGATGGTCGTCTTGCCGTCTTCATGGGCTTGGAGCTTGGGAAATATCTTTTGCTTAGAAAAGCCATCATATTTTAGCCAATCACAACGCGCAGAAGCCGAGACGGGTGGATCAGGTGTTTACCTCATCCAACGCCATGAAGCAGAAGCTGCCGTACGTCGGCGCTGGGCTTGGCACCGTGCTCTGCGGCGCCGCAGCCGCCGCCTGCGTCTACTCGCTCGTGACGATCCGTGCGCGGCCCAAGAAGCTGCTCACTGAGAGCGGCAGCCCGCAGGTGCCCGTGGGTCTCTTGCGCTTGAGCCACCCCGGCGACGAGTTTCTGCACCTCTTGCGCAACGACGTGCTCCTCGAGAAGACGATCGACCGCGTGAGCTCGCGCCTCCTCATCTACGTCGAGACGCCGCCGGGCATGGCGACGTCGGCGCGGCTCCAGTTCCTCAGCGACCTCTACAACAATGTGTGGGACCTCGCATGCTACGTCGGCAAGTACGAGCTCGACATTCGCCTCGTGGCCAGCCACGACCGGTCCTGGGACGAGCTACTCGCGACGCCTGAGGTCACGGGCGTCTTTGGCTACCATGGCATGGACGTCTCGGAGCTCAACGCGCAGCGACCAGCGCACTTGCCCCGCGTCGGCTTCTACCCGCTGAAGACGTACGTCGAGCGCCTTGTGAACCCGGCGCAGTTTGCGTACCTCGAAGATCCGTCGACGACGCTGGCGAAGGAAGCTGTAGTCGTCGTCGGTGGGACCTTTGACCACCTCCACAATGGCCACAAGAAGCTGCTGTCGCTCGCCGCCGCGGTCACGTCGTCGCTGCTCATCGTCGGCGTCACGGCACCGCACATGCTCGAGAAGAAGAAGCTCGGCTACCTCATCCAGCCGCTCGACATGCGCAAGCGCAAGGTCACCGAGTACCTCGCATGTATCACGCCGTCACTGCAAGCCGACATCATGACGATCGACGATCCATTTGGACCTGCGATTTCGTCGCCTCAGATCACTGGCATTGTTGTCTCGACCGAGACCGTCCCCGGTGCGGTCAAGATCAATGAGATTCGCGCCGAGCGCGGTCTGAGTCCGCTCAAGATCTACGTGTGTCGGCGGACCGAGTGCAGCACGCTCAGCTCGTCCTTCATCCGAGAGCAAATTGCCCGGCGATAAGACAAGCAAACTCGTCGTTTTTGTTGTACTTCAGATGGGCAACCGGCGTTAATACATAGTCTAATTTTGCGATCTGTCATTCCGAGATGAGATGAGAATCCCAGAGATGAACGCAGCGATGCCACGCTTCAAGCGCGCTCCAGCCACTTGACGAATCCCTCATTCATGGGCTCAAGTTCAACCACCGATGAAGCCTCGCGTTTTCAAACCTCAGCAGCATGACGCTGGCGATAAGCGAGCTTGGCTACATTTCAAGGCATGCATATGTTCTTTAAGATGATCATGGTCTTGCGAGCTGGTGACTGCACCTGGGAGGTCTACGACGTCTCGGCGAAGCGATCAATAGCGTCCTGCGGTTGGTCGTGGCTGCGAGCTCCAACGCGCAGTGTGGGTGCAGCCAGGTACACATGAGGTAGGGTCTGTCCTGGCTGCCTTTGTCGTATCTCGAGCTGAATCAATTATGGGTCAAGAGTCGCCTGGGGCATGAGCCTCAACCAACAAGCCGCAAGACCCCAAACAACGATGTGGATGAACTAGTATTGCGCTTAAGGCTATGGATGATACGAAGTCGCTGGCGCCTTGGGCATTAGGAGCGCCATGATGTCTTCGTCCGACAAGTTCTTGCCCCACGACGGCGCCGGCAGCGAGAGTTGCTGCATGGCCTGTTGAATCGTCGCCACATCGTTGGCCGTCATCTTCTCTGGCTCGCGATTGTTAGTCGCAGGAGCTGCCACCTCTTCATGTGCCTCGGCCTCGTCGTCTTCGTCGTCGCTGTCGGCCATGAGCGGCTCGTAGCCCATTGGCGCCCCTTCGTCTTCCGAGTCGGATCCCAGCATCTCATGCTCGCCGCCGTCGACGCATGCGTCGCCATCTTCCTTCTCCGCTTCCATGTCGCTAAAGTCCATGGCCGGGATGGGTCGCTGGCTCGCGACGACCGCATACTCGCGCTCGAGCGCGTCCAGAGCCGCGCAGCTCTCGGCCATTTTGAAATCTTTGTCTCTTCTCTGGCGTCATTATCCGGACTTCTATTCTATCCGTACTGGATGTCCATTGGCTACAGGAAACGAGGAATTTGCCACCTGTGTAAAACACGTGAAATATGTGTGCTTTAGTCGACTGGTCTTTCAATGGTAGGTGGAAAAAGACGTGTGAAATATGTGTGCTGGGTGATGACAAACGTGGGAAACGCATTTTTCGCGGGACGACGGCGATGGCATCGCACTACGATCTGTTTGGCGTCGCGGCCGACTGCAGCCAGGCAGAGATCAAGCAAGCGTACCATGCTGCGATCCTCATGAGCCATCCCGATAAGCAGAAGGCCGCGGAGGACGTCTCGTCTCTGGACTTTCAGCAAGTCCATGCGGCGTACCAGACGCTGCGGTCGGCCGAGACCCGGCGCGCGTACGACCTGTCGCTGCAAGGTACCGTCGACCGTAGAGGTCCATGTATCGCCCATGCGTTGCCGACGTAGAGGCCAAGCTGCGCGACGAGAAGCGCATTTCCGACGAGGTCGATCTGGACGACATGACGTTTGATGAGGAGAGTGGATGCTACGCCCATGCCTGCCGCTGCGGCGAGCACTACTTTGTAGGATGGCTTGGCTTGCAAACGCCGTCCTCATGGAATCCTTCTGCGTAGATCAGCATCGACGAGCTCGAAGACGGGACCGACGTCGTTCCTTGCGACGGCTGCTCGCTCAACATTCGCGTCTTATATGCGATGGAGTAGAGAGTAGGGATGGCAGCCCTTGGTCAAATAGTATGTATTCCTAGCGCGTGTCGGTTATCATGTAAAGAGCTTATAAAGCCTCGTGGTATGGCGACGCGACGGACGACGACGCTGGCGCGCTTAGTACTCCTTGCCCTTCGGGGGGCCCACGGACGGGTAGTGCAGCGGCGTCTGAATGCCGTCGAGGAGCACGAGGCCGACGTAGACGCAGAAGAGGAAGAAGAAGCCCACAAAGATGGCCGAGAGGATCGTGGGCGTCATGTTGACGTAGTGCGAGAAGCAGAACGGCACGCTGCCCGCCGTGCTTAAGATGTAGCCCTCGGGGCACACAAGGGGCGTCACGACCGCGGCCGCCGCGAGCAGGTTGCGGTGGAACGCCGCAAACACGTCGTGCGCCGCCGACGCCTTGTCGCCCGTGAGGGCAAAGTAGACGCTGTTGCCCGTCGCCTTCTGGAAGAGACCCGTCGCCTGCTTGATCAAGTTGTCGAGCTCGGCCCACGAGTGCGTGTTGCTCGCCTTGACAATGACCACGTCCGTGCCAGACGCACCGAGCGTCGTCGACTGAAGGAACGCCTGCGAGAATACGCGTGAGAAGACCACAAAAGCGTGCGATGAGTACAAACCTCGACGTTTTCAATCGTGGTCTCGTGCGTGGCCTTGACTTGGCGAGTCAACGCATCGTCAGCATCACCGCGCGTCGTGTGGGGGTAGGCCACGCTCGACTTGGCATCACGGACGAGCGACTCGAACGCAGCACCTTCGAAGTGCTCAAGCTCGTCCAAGCGGAGCGAGTCGCGCACAAAGATGGCGATGGCCTTCGGCGCCAAGTACATGACCTCGTAGGGCGTGTGCGCGTTCTATGGCCAGCTAAGTCCCATCACACTACATAGCATTCGAGCGTCCTACCAAGGCGTCGCTGTTGGCGCTGCCTTGGATCGTCGCAATCGTGCTCGCAATCTGGGTCGTCGTGTACGGCGCGTCGGCCTTCTCGGCGAAAACATCCGACGTGGGCTGCTCAAAGATGCTACGGGTCGCCATCATGGCATGAGACCCACCGTTCGGACGACCGCACGAAGCGCGTACCCATTCTGCGACCAGAAGACAAGGGGGACGTAGGTGGAAGGATCCACGGAGGCCGCGACAGACGCGGCCGCAAGCGCCAAGACTCCGCCAAGGGTGAACCGCATGCTGCTACCTCTTCTCTTCTTGGACGATAAACTCAAGACGCCTGAAACGAACACCCACCCTTGGGCGGCCAAGTCCGGTGTTATTAATATTGTCCACCAACCTTGGGATCATACTTTAGTCAAGTCTATTCATCAAATGGGTGCTTGAAAATGTAAATAAATCGACCTGCTGAGGCGGCAAGACACACTATTTAAGAATTTGCAGGGGAAACGCACATGAGAAACACTATTTCACACAACTGACTGCAACCCTACCCTACATAAACCTTTCAAACTCGATACACTAACATGCCGATCCACACCCTTGTCGGGTCAAGCCAATGTCGGCTCGACGCCTCAGCGTCATGTTGCATGGGTTTTTACCTTCGTGTTGGGTATGAAAGAATCGTGCTAATGCCGGCAACGGGAGTACAATAATCGCTCGTCAAATATCGAGGTCAAATATGCCGTTTCAAAAATTTAGCTATTCAGATCGATATATTTGCTCCTGGCGTAGAGACTGCGCCAAATCTACCAGCTGATACAGAGCTGCCGCCGGTTCCTTTTTAACGACATCGTGGCTAGCATTCGTTAAGCGTCGTTATGTGGTCGAGGAGCATTCGCGTTCTAAACTATCAACGATGCCACCAACGATGCCGTAGTTGCGTGCTCGTATCCATATATATTAAACTAAAACCTGTTTATATTGATATACGGCTAAGTATGAGAGGTACAGCTCGCCATGTAATCGTAATATATATGCAATAATTTGAAAACCAAAACAGCGAAATATTTTAGCGCGACAAACATTCAGCGGTGGATGTTGGACACATGTCCGTATTTAATTGCATACAAATGGCAAGACCAAGAAGGTCGTTTTATTTCAGGCCGAGGCCAGAGCTCGCAATCCATTTGGAGATTTCAGGGACGCAGGCAGCATGGGCAACCTCGGCGCCAAGCCAAAGACGCTCAAGGAGCAGCTCCGCGAGAACAAGCGCGAGATCAACCGCGCAATCCGCGACCTCGACCGCGAGCGCACGGGCCTCCAGATGGCAGAGAAGAAGCTCATCATTGAGATCAAGAAGATGGCCAAGGAGAACCAAATCGCATCCGTGAAGATCATGGCCAAGGACCTCGTGCGCACGCGCCAGCACATCACCAAGTTTTACACGATGCGGTCGCAGCTTCAAGCCGTGTCGCTGCGCATGGAGACGGCCAAGTCGGCCGAGGCCATGACGTCGGCGCTCCAGAACACGACCAAGGTCATGAAGTCGATGGCCAAGACGATGAACCTGCCCAAGCTCAACAAGATCATGATGGAGTACACGCAAGAAAGCGAAAAGATGGAGATGCAGCAAGAGATGCTCGGCGATACGATCGACGATGTCATGGACGCCGACCAGGACGAAGAGGAAGAGGACAAGATCGTGTCCCAAGTCCTCGACGAGATTGGCATCGACATGTCTGGCGCGCTCCTCGAAGCGCCGTCGGTGCAAGTCGCTCCGACCGCAGCGCCAGCTACGGCATCGGCGAGTTCTCTTCCGCCGGCCCCCGTGGCCGCCGCTGAAGGCGGTGGCGACACCGCCGTGAGCGAGCTCGAGGCTCGCTTGAACAACCTTCGGCGATCGTAAACGTAGATTAGTGCTAATTAATGCAGAGTGAAAGAACACTCGATATCGACCTCAAACAGCTCGTTTTAGGAGGACGCAGCTGGCTTCCTACATGGCCACGCCCATGGCATTAGGCCATGTCCGGAATGATGAGGAGGTTCTTCGGAATCAAGTTGAATTGGATCGAAAAGTGCACAAAGCGGTGGCAGAGGTACGAGGTTTGCTCAAAGTGCTGGAACGCATCTTGGTGGTGGAAGTACGTGTGCGAGAAGATCCGGTACAATCGCCGGGCGACGCTCTGAAAGTACTGCGTCGCGTCGCGCGTGATGCTGACGCGGGATGGGAAGATGCGAGACGACGTGAGGAGCTGGTTCGCATTGTCGAGGGTGTGCACAATGTAGTCGAAGGCGCAGCACTCCTTCGGTGTCTTGTGGGCCGCACAGAGAAAGACCCAGTCGTCCGTGGCCTTCATGATCGTACACGACCCATTCGTGCACTCGCCATCGAGAAGCGCGACGAGGATGTTGAGCTCCTTCACGACCTGCCGGAGGTGCTCGTACTGCCAAATGTAAATGTCGGTATCCTCGGGCACGTCGTAGATCTTCTTGAGCGCGCGCGGGTTGGCCCGGATCTCGCGCTGGATGCGCTGCTCGACCTGGAACGGACCGTTGAAGACGTTGGCGTCGCTGTCGCCCCATTGAAAGAAGTCGAGGCCGCGCGTCCCGGGGCAGTTCTTCCCGACGAGGGCGTTCATGTCTGTGTCCCGCAGCAAATAAAGAAATGAAGAAATCCGGCCGTGCGCGGCCTTTTGATTGGCCAAAATGATGCGATTCGCGCGATGCCATTGGGCGAGCGCATCCACTTCGCTTTGCGTTACGTCCGGCGGCCAAGCTTGCCGCCGGTGCATCACGGACGGCGGCAAGTGAGCAATGGGCGAGGGCGTGACTGCGGTGGATGGGGCAGAGGAGGTAGCAAAATGAAACACGTATTATCTTGTTTACTATCGAGGAGCGACGGCGAGCTAACGACCAAAGTCCATTCGCACGGCCGTCGCCCGCGTCCATGTTGCGGCGGAATGGAGGGAGGAGCATAATGATAGGCGTGGTTGCGCTTACGCGTCACGCTCCAAGTACTCCTGGTCGAAATGATGTATTCTGACGTAGCCGTCCTCGGCGCCGCTCGTGTAGCTCTTGCCATCCGGGTGGAACGTGATCGAGTTGATAGGACCGAAGTGGCCCTTGACGCGGCCAAATTCTTCTTCGTACACCTGGTGGAAGAAACGCGCTTCGAACTTGCCGGCACGGCCCGCCGTGACCGTGACCGTCATGGCTTCCTGACCACCGCCCAAGACGACGTGCTCCTTGGTCGGCGAGATGCTCGCCGAGTTGACCGGGCGATCCGTCTCGTAGGTCTTGAGCACCTCGAGCGTCTCGACATCCAAAAGCTTGGCCGTGTTGTCCTTCGACGACGTGATCGCAAGCGTCTTGTCCTTGTTGAAGCTCAAGCTCGTGATAGAGCCGTTGTGAACCTTGTGCTCCGAGATCAAGGCACCCGTCTCCGGGTTGAAGAGCTTGACCATGCCATCTTCACCGGTCGTCAAGATACCCTCGTTCAACGGCATCCAGTACGCGCCCGTCACGCGGCCCTTGTGGCCGTGCTTGGTGATCGCGAGCTTGGGCTGCGACGACTCTACAGCATCACGAGACATAAGTGCCTGCTACAATCGTAGACTCTCGTTCACGTACGCTTCTCGCCGTTCTGCGCAAGGTCGTAGACAAAGACCGTCGCCGGGTTCTCAGCAAACTGATCGGCGACCGAGATGAACTGCTTGTCGCCGTGGGCAAAGTTGACGCTACGCGCCGAGCCCGTGTGCGTGAAGCTGAAGAGCTCCTTGCCCGTCTTCAAGTCCCAGAGCTTGACCGTGGCATCGGCGGCCGCCGTGAGGAGGAACTCGGAGTGGTACGAGATATCGCACGCCCAGACCGCACCCTGGTGGCCGTGGAAGGTGCCAATGCGCTCGCCGGTCGACGAGTACCAAAGCGACGGGACGTGGTCCTTGGCGACGGTGACGAGAAGATCACCCTCGCGGTTGTGCTTGATCATCGTGATCGAGCGCGAGTGGCCCTTGAGCAGGATCGGATGCATGTTGCTGCGCTAAGTAGACACGGGAACAAGTATGGGCGACTTGCGACTAAAACGCCAACTTGACTTGGTTGGTTCAGAGTCCCGTTGCTGCAAAAAATAATGTTTTGCCTTTTTCACGTCTTTTTCACGGGCTACATTGTATTTTACACGTATGTACGTATATTAGTACTGAGGTCGAGGCGTGGAAAATACATTTGCACGTGGTTTTCTGGGACAAGCAGCAATAAGCTTTTCAGCATTATTTATTTTAGAGGGATATCAATTGCTGCAGTATGTACCTCGCCCTGGCCACGCGCAACATCTTATTTCGGAGCGCGTGACATTTAATACACCGTGATACAAATACTTCGATAATAATTTAATTGCAATCAATCCACTGGAAAAGCCTCAAAACGCTGTGTGGTGGTGACAACGGAATTCCACGATGCAGCGCGGACGCAGCCACGAGCGCCGGGACCGGTCGCGGGACCGCGGGCGCAACTACGACAAGCCCCGTGACCGCTCCAGAGACCGGCGAGACCGCTCCGGCGAGCGCAGGGACAGAGACCGCTCCGGCGACCGGTCGCGTGCCAACGACCGCTCGCGCGACGACCGACCCCGTGACAACGACCGCCCACGCGATGGGGACCGCCCGCGCGATAGCCGCTCGGGCGATCGTCCTCGGGACCATGATCGGCCTCGTGATGACCGCGCGGGTGACCGGCCGCGTGAGAACGACCGGCCACGCGAGAGCGAGCGACCGCGCGACATGGGCAACCACAGCAAATATGGCTCGTCGCGCGACGACAACGGGTACGAAGAAGACGACTACCAACCACCGCAGGAGTCGACGGGACCGTGGGACTCCAAGGCCGAAGCTGAGAAGGACCCGAACTGGGCTCGCATCTACGTCACGAACTTGCCGGCGGGCACGACCGTCGATGAACTGCAAGGGATCTTTGGCGGTCTCGGCGTCATTGCCAAGGAGAAGCAGAAGCGCGGCTACAAGGACCAATGGGTACTTCTACCGCACCACCTGCGGATGTCAGAGCATCATCGCCGTCGGTCGTGTACGTAGCCCTGGAAGATCAAGATCTACACAAACGACGATGGGACGCAAAAGGGCGATGCTGTCATCACGTACGAAGACAGCAACGCGGCGCGCTCGGCGCCCGGCTTCTTCAACGGTATACCTATCTATCTGCTTGGCTCGACAGGGCTCATATGCTATCCTTGCAGGCAGCGACATTCGTGGTAACACGATCACGGTCGAGCTTGCTGGTAAGCCAGAGCCGCCTGTCGGTGGCTGGATGGGCGGCCCCGGCGGTGGTCGTGGCGGCGGTCGTGGTGGTGGCGGCGGTGGTCGATACGGCGGCGGCGGTGGTGGTGGCAGTCGCTACCGACCGTACTAGTCGCGCCCCGACAACTTCACTACCACAGATGATACGAATAACGCCAATACCCATGTCTCCTATCGTGCCCGTCCTGTGTCTTCTTCCTACGCCCATGAAGGCTCTTGCGCTAGCCACGTCAACGGCTCGGTCAACGTGTTTGACTGGTTCAAAGGCGGATGATTGCAACACTGTTCGAAGCGTATTTAAATTCGTGGTCTGGTGGCATTTTTATAAATAGATGCCGCCTTTTTCTGAAAATAGATAGGACAATGAGTGTGTGGCTCGTATAATAATAATCCACGCGACGCAGAAATACGTGGGGCTTGTGCATTTTATCGGTTTAAAATTGGCCACAGAAACCCACGCTGCTTGCGATGCGGAGAGACAGCCGCCGCCGAGACGAGCCGCGCCGCCGGAGCCGCAGTCGGCCACGCCGGTACCATGACCACCACCGCGAGCGACGTAGCAGCCGTGACTACGGAGATCGTCGGCGCGATGCACGAAGCCGTGATCGCGACTATGATGACCGTCGGCGCGACCACCACCGCAGCCGCAGCCGTGGCCGCCACGCGGACCAGAACCGCCACACAAACTACTCGCGCCGACAAGAGCGACGATCGAACTACAGCCCGCGCCGTAGCCGAAGCCACTCGTCGTCGCGCATGACGCATCGCCACTCGCGAAGGATGCCAAAGGGTGGGCGCAGCGCGAGCACGGACCACGGCCACGAAGGCGTGTGCCGCAGCGACAGTCGCGCGTACAAGGAGAAGAAGCGAAACATGAGTGACGACAGCGCGAGCCATGACGACACGATCGGCAGCTACGAAGGCAAGCCGGGCGACTGCATCGACAACCGGTACAAGATCATCAAGGACGCCGGCCTTGGCACTTTTGGCCGCGTCGTGCTCTGCCGGGACCTCGACCGCAACGACGAAATCGTTGCGCTCAAGGTCGTGCGCAAGGTCGAGCGATACTCGGACTCGGCCAAGATTGAGGCTGCAATCCTCAAGGACGTCAACGAGCGCGACACGAAGAACGCGTCGCTCTGCGTCAAGATGCACCGATGGTACGACCTCGTACCTTCCACTGTGTCCAATAGCTAACGTCACTTAGGTTTGAGTTTCGCGGTCATGTGGTCCTCGTCTTTGAGACGCTCGGGGGCTCGCTCTACGACTACCTCAAGAAGCACGAGTACAAGCCATTTCCAGTTGCCTCTGTGCGCGCGTACGCCTGGCAGCTCCTCACGTCCTTGGTACATCCTCGCTGTTCTACCGTGGATACTACGATCTTCATTAGTCGTACCTCGAGAGCATCTCGCTCATCCATACCGATCTCAAGCCCGAAAACATCTTGCTCTGCGACGACACCGAAGACCCCGCGTTGGCGCCCATGTCGCCCCGGTCGCGCCGCAACCGCCGCTGTATTGTGCCGCCGGCGTCGGACCGCGTCAAGCGTGCGCTTTATCCATATCCAAAGTGCCATCTTATCCATATCTTTTGTAGTGATCGACTTTGGTGGCGCGACGTACCAAGACGAAGCCCGCAGCGGCATCATCAACACGCGCCAGTACCGATCGCCTGAAGTCATGCTGGGCCTCGGGTGGAGCTACCCCTCGGACATTTGGTCCGCGGGCTGCATCATTGCCGAGCTCTACTTGGGCGAACTGCTCTTCTCGACGGTGCGCGATCTCCATTTTTCTTCTGTCCTATCTGTGAGGATCGGTCGTAGCATGAGAACCTCGAGCACTTGGCGCTCATCGAGCGCTGCATTGCGCCGTTCCCCAAGGAGATGGTCGAGCGCGCCGACAAGCAAGCCAAAAAGTACTTTACGTCGACGAGCCAGACGCTGCGCTGGCCCGAGAACGCGGCCTCGCAAGAGAGCATCGACCACGTCCGGAAGATGCGGCCGCTGCGCGAGATCATTGCGCCCGAAGACAAGGGCCTCCTCTCGCTCCTCGAAGGCATGCTCACGATGGACCCGGCGCGCCGGCTCTCGGCGCGCGACGCGCTCCGCCACGACTTCTTCACGGGCATTTCGCTCGACAATTTACATGCGTAAAATGCTGCTTATAAAGAATTCGTCTTCCCATGCTCGGCCATGACCCCTTGGAGATGCTGGACGTCGTGCTTCTGGCGATGCAGCGCGGTCTCGAGACGGCGGAAGCGCGCTTCCATGGCGAGAAAATCGTCAAACTCCTTCTCGAGCATCGCCGCGTCCTTGGCCGTGGCCTTGGCCGTGCTTCGCGTAAAGTCGTACGTGATGACGGCCACTGCGACAGCAAAGATGAAGACCTCGCCAATGAACTCGGTGCCCCGCTGCAGCGCCTGGTCGTCCGGGAGGTCCTTGACCCGTATCGAGACCCTGGTCATACTCGCGACCTGCACATGCGAGACGACGTTCCACCGGTGGATGCGCTGGCCCAGAGATGTGCACGCAGCCTTGAGGCGCGGGTGCGACTTGCCGAGCGTCTTGAGCTCATTCGCGATGGGCTTGGTTAAGAATCGGACGAGCATGCCACCGAGGTTCTCCAGCGGCAGCATGACCATGATCGTCGAGGTTCGGCTTGGATACGCAGGTCGACGGAAACAGAATACTCGCGTCCCATTGGTTAAAATCGAGCACATTGGCTGACGAGCTTGACTTGGCACACGTCCCTTAAGCCATCGAGCAGGCCAGTCGTCAACTGTTATACGCCATTTGCGAGCGTCAGGTACATATTCAGAGCAAACGCAGCTTGATTATATGCACACGCGGTAGAGAGGCAGATGATTCTTTGCAGCAAAAATTGCCGTAGGACACGGGTCGACTCGTAGTTGGGTGATTTTGGACATCGATTTATGGCGAAACCGAGCTTTGGCGAGCGTCCAAAAGCGCACTTTGTCGAGACGTCGTTCAACCAACCAAATGAACGCAAATAAGATCAACCACCAAGGGTAAGTCCATGGCGGCGCTCGCTTCCTGCCGATGGCTCATGGCGCAGTAGGAATCTATACTCGACGGAGCATGAAGCGACCTAGCAACAACTCCAAGAAGGGCGGTGCGAAGGCCAAGGGCGCGCCCGCGGCCAAGAAGGCCAAGGTCAACGACGCGGCGTTCGATTGGGGCGAGAACAACATTGCGTCCGATGCCGAAGACTCGGAAGACGAGGCCAAGGCGCCGGCCGAGGACGAAGAGGATCCATATGCACACGAGACGGCCGACGAGACGCGTGTGCGCCTCGCCAAGGCCTACTTGGGCAAGTTGAAGGACACGATGGACGAAGACGATGGCTCCGACGCCGAGGCCGACGCGCGCGTCTCTTCGCAGCTGGACCGCGACGTCCAAGAGGCATCCGGGAAGCTCTTTACGCAGGTCGCTGCCAAGTTTTCCGCGTTTGAGTTTGACGAAGAGTCGTCCAAGTACCTCTCGGGGCACAAGGCGCCCGTGTCGGCCGTCGCCGCGGCGGAAGACGGCAAGACGATCTACTCGGCGGCCAAGGACGGCTCGCTGCTCAAGTGGTCGCTCTCGGCCGATGGTATCACAAAGGTGCGCATGGAGCTGCCCAAGACCGAGGACGCTGCGAAGGGCAAGAAGGCCGTGCCAGACCACAAGAAGACGGTGTTGGCGCTCGCTGTGAGCTCAGATGGCAAGTTTGTTGCGTCGGGCGGCGTCGACAAGCTCTTGCATGTCTGGGACAGCGAAACGAGCTCGCTGCTCGAGAGCTTCTCGGGCCATCGCGATGCGATTTCTGCGCTTGCGTTCCGGAAGAAGTCGCACATGCTCTTCTCTGGGTCGTTTGACCGTACGGTCAAGCACTGGAACCTCACGGAAATGGGCTATGTCGAGACGCTCTTTGGTCACCAGAACGAAATCACGGGCATCGACTGCCTCCAGAAGGACCGCGTCGTGTCGTGCGGCCGCGACGCCAGCGTCCGCCTCTGGAAGATCCCGGAAGAGACCCAGCTCGTCTTCCACGGCACGGGCTCGATCGACTGCATCGCCATGGTCACGGACGAGTATTATGTGACGGGCGACGACCTCGGTACGTGATGACACATTGTACCGATCGGGGCACTAAGATGGCGCAGGTGCGATTGCGCTCTGGTTCAACGGCAAGAAGAAGGCGGCGCACGTCGTCCACGGCGCCCACGGCAAAAAGTGGGTCAGCGCGGTCGCGGTCCTTCCGCGCACGGACCTCGTCGCAACTGGTTCGTCGGACGGCTTTGTGCGTCTCTGGCGCGCGAACCTCCAGACGCGCAAGCTCGAGCTCGTGGCGTCGATTCCCGTGCCGGGCTTTGTCAACTCGCTCTCGTTCCCCAAGGACGGCCGGTACCTCGTCGCGGGGGTCGGCAAGGAGCACCGCCTCGGGCGGTGGGAAGTGCAGAAGCAAGCCAAGAACGGCGTCGTCATCATTGCGCTGCCGTCGCTCGACGACGACGCGTAAGCTCGACACGAATATGTCGGATTATGTTAGAAAAATAAGAAAGCCCCGCTTTGCATCACCAGTCCCACCCTTCCATAGCTGGCGCACGGCAGTGGACTGACTACACGTCGGCTGCTGCGCCTCTGTCTCGGCGGCAATGGAGGACACCGTGCAAACTCATATCGCGCTACAGCCGTGACCGAAGTACGAGCAGATCGCCCAACAACAACCAAGGTCCTGATCGAAGCGGCTTCAAGCCGCGCTTGGTGCGACCTTGGTGGTCCCGCTAGTTAGTATCGAGTGTCATTCCTTTTGTTTTGCTGCATCCACATGCGACAACAGGAGGACTTACGAGTGTGCACTTGGTGAAAAGTCAATGTACAAGCTTGTACCATCCTAACATGTTGTCCTAGTGTTATAACGTCGACTACATCGGGTTGTCGTCCCAGCACAGCGTTCGCTTGTCGTACGAGGCCGAGAGCGACGACTCGCGGTGGGCGCGACTCGATAGGACGCGGACGTGCGGCGCCTCGTGGATCGAGACGGCGAGCGTCGATGGGTCGACTTGCGGGTGCACGATCTTTGCGATCCGGAACGCGCCGTCGCCGTTGTGCTCGAGAACCACAAACTCGGCGTTGTGGAAGTTTTCGAGCGCTTCGTACTCGGCGATCGTGTACCGAAAGTAGCGCATGAGGAGGATGCGGATCGTGACGCCGTGCGCGACGAGCACGTAGTTTTGCTCGGCCTTGCGCATGAACATGCGATGGAGCGACTCGAGGAAGGACGAGATGCGGTCGTAGACATCTAGTGCACAAGTACTCTGAGCACTCCTCCTTGTGATGATAATGGCAGCATTCTCGTTGTCGTACCGGCCGGCGACTCGCCGCTCGGGAAGCGATAAAAGAAGCCGCCAAACTTGCGGCGCTGGATTTTGCATTCGCGGATCTGGTCGGGATTTTGAAAGTTGCCAAAGTCCTGCTCGCGGATGCGCGGCTCCTCGGTCCATGGGATGTTCGCTGCGGCGTCGCCCCACGCCGCCATGATCTCTTCAAAGGTCTCAATCGTGCGCGTGCACGGCGACACGATGCAGCGCTACGGGTGTAGGATCAGAGACGACGAGCGCAGCCGCCGCTAGGAAGGGTCGTACCATGGACTCGTCGCCGATGATGGCCTTGATGGCCTCGCCCGCAGCCCGCGCCTGGCGCTTCCCGAGGTCCGTCAATGGCATCGCGTTGTCGGGCACGTCGCGGTACAAGACCGGGTTGACGTTGCCTTCGCTCTGGCCATGGCGCACGAGAATGATGCGGTGGGGCAGCTTCTTGCGGTTGCGGCTGCGCGTGCATCTTCGCGAACTCCAGATGCGCGTGAGGAGGAGTGTGATCGCGACGGACGCGGCGACAACAGCAAGGTCCTTGGCGCCCATGGCAAAAAATTAAATACGCGAAAACCGCCGGCTCCATACAAACGCACAAAGAACCGACGGCCACGCATTTATATTTATTTACACGGGTCATTAGGGCACGCCGGAAGCATGGAGGAACATGCAACGCTTGTGGTAGGTTGACGCTTGCGCCATGTACATCACAGACCCATCCCACAGCAAAACATTGCATCGCGTCTTGAAGAGGTTGCTTGAAGCAGAGATCGTCGCCGTCGAGGCCGCAGCGACATGCGGCGTGAGTCGCCTTCAAGCCGAGGACAACAGGATGAGACTGCGAGCTTCTATGCGGGCGGTCCAGTCCACATCGTGGATAGCAAGCCGGCGTCTTTGTGTCTCTTGTTCAAGACGTGGCGAATGGCGCCGCTACAGCCACGACGGCGGGGCTATGATGCCGGTACCTCGTGTCCAGCCTGCTACCTACTACCTTGGCCACTTCATGGGCTCAGCTCACGGTGGTCGTAGCCAACCTCATTCCTTTGGAGGCGACTAGAAGTACTTTACCGCGGTCCACCCGAGCCAAGTATGCAGCCAGCTGCACCGTCAGCTTTCATGTCTTGCGGAGCGGCGGCCAAGATGCACAAGTGCGTGTTGACAAGCGCAGAGCGTGCAGAATGATGACAGTGTTGCTCTTGGGTTATCAAGAATATTCGGTCGTTGAGCATATACCCGGTGCGCTGTGACGCAGCGATCGTCCAGCACGCGTCTTAGAGCTTGGACGCCAACGGCTTTTGGAGTGCGCGCGCGGCCTTGGAGCTTGTCGGGCGGTCGAGCACCGTCGAGATGAAGCTTCCGGCCTCCATGACCTTGGCCAAGTCGACGCCCGTCTCAATGCCGAGACCATGCAGCATGTACACGACGTCTTCGGTCGCCACGTTACCGGATGCGCCCTTTGCGTACGGGCACCCACCGAGGCCCGCGACCGCGCTGTCGACGACGCTCACGCCTTCCTACGACCATGTTCTTCAGGATGCAATCACAAGACAGTCGAGACAGCGAACCTGAAGCGCGACCAAAATGTTGGCCAGCGCCTGGCCGTACGTGTCGTGGAAGTGCACCGCGAGCTGGTCCACCGGCACCACCTCCTTCGTTGCCCGGAGCATCTCCAAGGTCGAGCCCGGCGTGCCAATGCCAATCGTGTCGCCAAGCGAGATCTCGTAACAGCCCATGTCGAGCAAGGTCTTGGCGACCTTGGCCACGACCGCCGGGTCGATCGGCCCTTCGTACGGGCAGCCGAGGACGCACGAGACGTAGCCACGGACACGGATCCCGAGCGACTTAGCCTTCTCGCACACGGGCTGGAAGCGCTCGAGGCTTTCTTCGATCGAGCAGTTGATGTTCTTGCGGCTGAACGACTCAGACGCAGCGCCAAAGATTGCGACCTCCTGCGCGTGGACCTTGACGGCAGCGTCAAAGCCCTACATTTCCAATCAGATCTACGATCCGCTTATTGTCATCGCACCATGAGGTTCGGGGTCAAGACAGGGTAGAAGACGCCTTCCTTGCGCTTGATCTGCTGCATCACATCCGAGTTGTCGCCCATCTACATGGCAGCAGTATGATAATGCAGCGGCTGTGTGTGGTGCTTGTCTACCTGAGGCACCCACTTGGGCGAGACAAACGACGTCGCTTCGACCACAGGCAGACCAGCATCCGAGAGCATGTTGATGAGAGTGACCTTGTCGGCCGTCGAGACGACGGTCTTCTCGTTCTATCGGCGCTCATCCCGTGAGCCTTATGCAGACAATTGCAGGTACGTACTTGGAGCCCATCGCGCGGACCGACTTCGACGATCTTGACGTAGCTCGGGTAGCTCCGCGTCGAGAGCGCGCGGCTTCCTCGGGCAAGGCGGGTGAGCATCCTGCACCAGATGAAAGGCCTCGAAGTGTGGGGCACGAGTGGGCGTTCGAGCACTTGAAGTTCGTGCTTGAAGTACCACCCTACGCGTATCCGGATAAAACAACCGGACGTTTTCCGCTCCACCTTGCACAGGCAGCTTTCACAGCCACGATGCAGTATTCTGTGCATCAGGGATTGAGCCCGGCCACCTCAAGGCGACATTAGCTTCAGACAACGCTGGTTGCAACAGCACAACCTCGTGGCTATTAAAGGGATATCGCCAAGTCAAAGTGCGAGGCTAGCGCTGAAGGACCGCTATCGCAGTGACCGCTTTGATGCAGCGTTTGATCGATCGAGTAAAGACGCAACATTCTAGTTGACGAGCACCTGCATCCCGTCGCCTCAACATGCCTTGCGTAAGCCTTCGATGCCCAACCTGGATGCCTGATGCAATCCTAGATCGCCACGTCACGGGCGCCATGTCAAGTGCTGAACCTGAACCGCGCGCACTTGGCGCGCTCTCTCACACATGATATATTTAATTTTAAAAGGAGGAAGTTTCCAGAGCGCCCTTTCCAGGGTGCAACTGGGTGAAGCATCGCCGCGACAGGGAGAACCCATGCTCTGTCTACGGAGCGGCAGCAAATAGGAGAGACGTGGAGCGTCATGGCCATTTGAATCGTGATCCGGATACTAATCGTTGAGGCGATCGGTCCATGTGCCCCACTTTTCGATTTTCAGACTCTTGCACAAATGGAAGATCGGATCGACGGCATTGAGATTGCCGTTGTCGACTGCTCCAAGTACCTCCACCCGTCCTGCGACGAATATGCATTCTGGGTGTGCATCGGCACCATCGTTGGCATGCTTCTCGTCTCTGCCGTCATGGCCGGCATGCTCATGGGGTACCTCTCCATCGACAAGCTCAACATCCTGATATTGACGATGGAAGGCTCGGACGTCGAGAAGGCCCAAGCCAAGAGGATACTGCCGATCATCAATCAGAGCCACAACGTCCTCGTCTCGGTCTTGCTCGTCAATGCCGGAGCTCTCGAGGCGCTGCCGATTTGGCTCAACCGCGTCGTGCCCGAGACAACCGCGATCCTCATTTCCGTCACCTTTGTGCTCCTCTTTGGCGAAATTCTTCCGTCGGCCATCTTCACAGGCACGTACCAGCTTGCCATTGCGTCGGCGCTGGCGCCGCTCTGCCGCCTCGTCATGCTGCTCATGAGCCCGATCGCGTGGCCGATCGCGCGCGTTCTCGACGCGCTCATCGGCGAAGGCAACGACGTGACGCGCTACAAGCGCAAGGAGCTCAAAGCGCTCATTCGCCTCCAGCAATCGCTGCCGCAAGCGCTCGAGCTGGCCGAGAGCCTCCCCATCACCAACCCTGTGTCGCCCGCCGCGTCAGTGGCGTCGTCATCGGCGTCTGTCTCGCCGGGGACGTGCACGGACCTGCATAAAGAGGAGGTCGCCATCATCCACGGCGCGCTTGACATGTCCAACAAGACTGTAAATGACATTGCGACGCCGTTCGAAGACGTCTTTATGCTGGACTGGGAAGCCCAACTCGACTCGGAGCTTATGGTCGACATCCTCGCATGCGGCTACTCGCGGATTCCTGTCTTCCGTGGCCACCGCGCCAACGTTGTCGGGCTCCTACTCGTCAAGCGGCTCATCGTCATCGACTCGGACGTCAAAAAGCCAATCAAAAACCTCACGCTGCGCAAGCCCATCCTTGTGTCGCCCGACCTTGGCTGCTACGCGCTGCTCAACCAGTTTCAGCGCGGAAAGGGCCACTTTGCGCTCGTGACGGAGCAAGGACCGTACATTGAGGCGTGCTGGAAGGCCAATATTGACGTCGACCGCACGCAAGCGACCATCTCTGGTATCGTCACAATCGAAAACATTCTCGAGGAGCTTCTCCAAGAAGAGATCCAAGACGAGACCGACGTCGTCGACTCGTGCACGGGCCACGGCAACTCGGAGCGCCGCCGGGCACGCCTTCGCGAGGCGGGCATGATCCGCGCCGCCAAGGTCTTCAAGGCCCTCGCGGCGCGCGCTCGTCGCCGCCTCCGCCTCCGCCCGCAAGCGCGCCGAAGCGCGTCGCAGATTGCGCACGAAGCCACGCCGCTCTTGACGCCACGGGCGACCGAGCTCTAAGCCACGTCGACATGTAATCCAACCTTGGCATATCGTCAATATTCCATCTCAGGTCGTGTCAAAGCACGCAAGAGCGGGCGATACCTCACCTACCTACCTGCAGCGCTCACAGGGCAGACGAATAAGACGTTCTGGTTGACAGCTAGAACTTAGTACTCGACATCTCGAGATGTTGTTGCGATCTTCACCCTCTCTGGCATGTAACCGGACCCCACGGAGCATCCGGATAGCGTCCCAAGTTCGCGAGTTCGGGTGGATTCATTTTCAAACTTGACAGCGAAGCATGTTCACGGGCATCATTGAAGAGATTGGGACGTGCGTCGCCCTCGTCGAGAAGCATGACATGGTCATGTGGGATGGCACGGTCTCCAACGGCGTCGAGCTCGTCGTGCATGCCAAGGTGGCCTTTGACGGCGCCTACATTGGCTGCTCGATCGCGATCAACGGCACGTGCCTCACGGTCACGGCCATGGACGAAGCCGCGGGCCACCTCAGCTTTGGCGTCGCGCCCGAGTCGTACGGTCTTATCGCCTCCGCTTAAAGCTTATGGTCCACGTAGGCTGCGCAAGACGAACCTTAAGAACCTCAAGGCCGGCGACAAGGTCAACGTTGAGCGCGCCATGGGTGCCCACGACCGCAACAGCGGCCACTTTGTCCAAGGCCACGTCGATGGCACCGGCGACATTCTTGTACGACTAGGCTGGGCTGGCTAGCTTCTAAGTGTCTCATGCGAGAAATAGGAGATGACCCGTGAAGGCGAGTCGCTCTGGGTCAAGATCAAGGTGGGCGTGCCCAGAGATGACTTTATCTGTACGCGTCTGTACTTGTAGGTCGACCGTGCGCTTCTGAGCTACATCATTCCCAAGGGCTTCATCGCCATCGACGGCACGAGCCTTACCGTGTGCGAAGTACGCTGCGTGTTTCTCTTGTCGCAGCGCATTCACTGATCATGTCATCCAGGTGGATACGGTCGCGGGCTGGTTCAACGTCATGCTCATCACACACACGCAAGCAAGCATCATTTTGCCGACAAAGAAGATTGGCGACGCCGTCAACATCGAGGTATCCTCATCCCGCCTCTTGCAAACGCTCTAGATATGCACACGGCTAGGGCGACGTCATGGGCAAGTACGCGGCCAAGTCGACGGGCGCGCTTCTGACGCGCCTCGAGACGCTCGAGCAGGCGCAAACCAAGTCGCTTCTCGCGGCGGCGATCGTCGGTGGCGCCATTGGCGCATGCGTCGCGCTGGTCGCCACGCAGCGCTAAGAGCTTTATATTACAACATGGCACACATCGTCGTATTCATTCTCAATGCGGCAGCGGCGGTAGCCTTGACTCGTCGTCGTCATGCACCGCGTCGGCGGCGCTGCCGTACGCTTTGCACGTAAAGCTGTTTTGGAGCTTGGGCAGCGGTCCTTGCTTGGTCGGGGACCCGTCGTCCGCGGGCTTTTTCCCGCTCAGCGCCGACTTGTACGGCGCCTTGCGCTTCACGATGAGCATCGACACTTGGTTCTTCTTGTTCAAATTGGCCAAATCGTCCTTGCGCTTGCTGGATATTGTCAACGTCGGCTTCTTCTTCCCTGCTTGCGCTTGGAGGGACGGTGGTGCGGCGGCGGCGATCGCCTTGGACTTGGTCGTCGTCGTGAGCGCTGCCGGGTCCATCGGCTTTGGTCGCTTGACGACACTACCCTTCTTGGCATCTTCTACACAAGGCAATATCATGATGATCAAGCGTAGGAGGTAGGTGGCGTACTGGCTTCGTCGTCGAGCGACGAGGCGCCGAGGTAGCTCTCGAGGGACATGCCTTCAATGTTGGCCGTGTCGTCCTTCTTTGGTTTCTTTGGCTTGTCCTTCTTGGGCGCGCCCGTGAGGTAGTCGCTGAGCGAGAGGCCGGCGACCGCGTTCGTCGCCGCCGGCTCGGTCTCGGTCTCATAGTCATCTTCGTACACGTCGTCGGGCGGGTCGTCGTCGTCGTGCATGGCGCAGATCGGGATCTTCTCGTCCGCATCCAAGGCGTTCTCGTCGTCATCGTCGAGGCGGGTCATGACCATGGCGTTGTCGGCGGGCTTGGTCTTCTCGAGGAGCTCGGACGTCTCCTTCATGGCCTCGACGCTGTAGTCCTTCTTGCTGTTAAAGTATGCGTCGAGCGAGAGCCCTTCGCCCTGGTTGACGTCGGTCGTCGTCGTCGCGTCGTCGGCCTTGGCCTTGGTCTTCTTCCGGAGCCCCATCGCGAAGAGAGACGAGCAGATCAAAATAGCGCGTGAAACTTCCGATATATATTCCTCGAAATACTGGCTAGCCAAAGAGGACGCGCTTAAAGTACTCGCCAAACTGCTGGCCGCCCACGTCGTCCTGGCCCTTGATGACCGCGTGCAGCACCATCGGCGCCTTCTCGACCACCGTCTCGGCGAGGTAGTACTTGCCGAGCGTGTCTTGGGCGTAAAAGAAAAACTTGTACTGCGGCCCGACGTCGCCGGCCGCCATGGTCAGAATGCCGTGGCCGCCAAACGCGCGCTCGATATCCGCCTGCGCTGGAATGCCCGGCATCTGGAGCTGCACCTGCGCCACGACGCGGAGCGTGCCCCAAAGCTGCTGGAAGGTACCAGCGTCCATCGTCGGCGTCGGCAGCAGCTGGAACGGCGCGGGCGCCGGGGCTGCGGCGGCCGCTGGCGCACCAAAGTCGAGCATGCCAAGCAGATCGACGGTCGCCGACTGCGGGCCGCGCGGCTGGGGCGGCGACATCATGGGCGCTTGCTGCGTCGGCGGCGCGTCTTCGTCCGAGTAGCCGCCTTCGTCGTCGTGGTCGTCGTGGTCGTCGTGCTCGTCGTGGACCGTCGCAGCGATCAAATGCGACGGCGCCACAAAGGTTTCACTCGGCTTGTTGTAGACCACCGCGAGCGTATTGAACTCTTTAAAGAGCTTTTCCTGGAGGTCCGTCTCGACCATCTCAGCAAACACCTCGACAACCTCGGGCTGGAACTGGCGCACGATCGTTGCGGCCGAGTTGACGTCCTGCGAGAGGAGCCGGTAGTAAAAGAGCGCGCGGTCGCGCACGTCTTGGTTGGCCGTGTCGTTGACGCCGGCAGTCAAGAGGCGGCCGAGCATCGACTGCATCTCTGGAGGGCGCTTGAAGAAGAGCTTGAGCGACGCAGCGAGAAGCTCGAGGAGCACGACCGGCGCCGGCTCGTCGCCGTAGCTGTCAATGAGCTTCTCGAGCACATACGGGGCGCGGCGGAGGTCTTGGCCAAACTCGCCAAGCATCCAAATGACCGCGCATTTCGCGGCTGCGTCGTCGACCTTGGGGATGATGCGCGGGAGGACGTCGAGGACGTCGTGGACCTTGTGCGGGAACTTGCGCAGGAGGTCCTTCATCACGACCAGCGTCTCGTCGCGGACGTAGTCGAGGTTGAGCTCGAGAAACTCGACCATCGTGTCGACGATCTGGTCGTGCATGGCCTCGAGGCCGTCAACGCCAAACGTGTTGCCGACTGCAATCTGCGAGATGGCGCGCACGGCGCGGCGAGAGAGCTCTTGGTCGACGTCGTTGACGTACTCGGAGAGCTCGGTGACGATGTCGGCCACGCTGTGGCTGTCAGCGATGCTGCTGAGGATGTCGAGCTTGACGTACTTGACGTGCGACGGCTCGTTGTAGCGGATGTAAAACTGGCGAAAGTCGGGCGAGAAGACGCGCGGGTACTTGCCGACCATGAGGAGGATGTGGTGCAGCACGCAATAGTTGAGCTCGTGCGACCCGCCGGCCATGAGCGTCAGCAGCGGCTGGCGCATGCGCTCAAACACTTGGTTGTGCACCTGCGGCATCTTGATCGTGAGGTTCAGAAAGCACTTGGCCGTCCCGAGCACGACCGCCGAGTTGGAGACGCGGAGCGACGGCTCGAGGATGTTCATAATGTTGAAAATCTCTTCTTCCGACGTCGGCTGGTACGTGCTCACGACGTGGAGGATGTTGCACTGGCCCCACTCGTTGAACTCGGAGATGCGCGTAAGCAGATGCATGATGATCTGCTGGTTGACCGCAATGCCGCCTTCGTCGGCCATGATCTCGTTCAGCGCAACCAAGCAGTTGGACACGACCTGCGGGTCGCGGTCGCGGATCATGTTGTAGAGCGTGTCGACCATGTCACTGTCCTTGATGAGGTCCTTGTTGAGCGAAAAGACCTTGAGAATGCCAATGACGCCCGTCTTTCGGACGTATGCGCTCGTGTCCGTGAGCGAATGCTGCATGTCCCGATGAGATGCCAAGAATCTTATAAATCAGGTCTGTACCTGGAGCGGTTCATGAATGTACTCGAGAATCGAGTCCAACCGCAGCGAGCAGAGCGACCGCAGCGCGAGGCCACGCACGAGCGGGTCTTCGTTGCGGCTACGCAAATACCATGGTGAGCAACCGTCCATGCGTCTCATGCCATCATGTACCAATCGTTGAGGAGCGTGTTGATGCACATGATGGCCAGGTCCGAGTTCTTGTTGGCGTAGTTGGTCAGGTAGTAGTATACCATCTTCTTTGTGATAATGTCCTTCGTGTCGACGCACAAGACCATCTCGCTGAAGATGCGCGAGACGTCGATGCCAAGCGTCATGTACGCAATGACCTTCTTGATGATCTCACGCTTCTTCTTCGGGTCGCGCTCGACCGTGACGTCGCGCAGCAGCTACACAGATTCGTGGTTTAGCCCATGATGGCCTCGGGTATGAGGCCGCGCCTACGTTCTTAAGCTCGTTCACTTCGCCCTTCTTGCGGTCCGAGAAGTAGTTGGGGTTGGCGCCCTTGGGCTGTGGTGGCGGGGGCATCGACATGGCAGGCAGCGGCTTCCGTCTTCCGAGGGGGGCTTCAGGCCGAAGATTTTATACTGGCAGTAACACGTAGCCTCGAATCCTCTGAAATGGCATATATTGGCGTCGAAACCCTCTGAAACATGATATTTACCAATTCTATTTCACATGTTAACCTTGGAATTTGTATGTGGAATTGGCTCTCAAAAAAAGGACGTCGGCCACAACACGCGATCTTGCGGCCACGTGGGGCGCGGACAGCGCGACGCCGCCAACCGCGACCTCATGGCCGGCCAACCATGGGCAGGGGCAGACTCGGTCCATGCATGCGATCTACCTGGACGATACCTACATAGACGAGTGCGTGCCAGAATGGCTCTGGGACGAGGTACATGACCTGCGGCGGTACCACCATCGACCTCGAGTAATCCCGTCGATATCGCATGACGATTGGCGCTAGGTAGATGGACGAAGAAGAAGAGCGCAAGGAGAGACAACGATTGCCGTGGCATTTGCGGTTAAAAGATCTAGTGCACAACCAGGCAATGTGATTAGCGTCGTCGGGGCATGCTACCACGGGCAGCCTTGGGGCTACAGCAGCATGGCCTGCATGAGTAAAGAAAGGAAAAGTAGAGTAGGTACCGCATGCCACGGGTCGGGAAGCCCGTGGGGTCTTCACGGATCATCTCGGTCGTGTCTTCGAGCGTCGACGGCAGCGGAAGGTTGCGCTCGACGCGCTTGCGCAGCCACGAGCGGAGCGCATCGAGCTGCTCGTACGAGCGCATCATGTTGTTGATTTCCTCGACGGGCTGACCACACTTTTCCGAGACAATGCGCTTGACCTTGCCGTTGATGAGCTTCGGGTCGTTGCGCACGTTGGGCTCAAACGCCTCCATGATGGTCAAAAAGTTCTTCATCTGCTGGATCTGGGGCTACAGACAGCTCGGCCATGAGCCTTCACGAGGATGATCTATGTGCATGGGTACCATGGACGAGACACCGGGCATCATCGACTTCCAGCCCGAGACACCGCCATCGGCCGCTTGCTTCTACTCGAGCAAGATCGTGGTGAGGAGGTATGCCCTGCAAGGCCATGCGCAGGTACCTTCATCTGGTCGTAGTGGTCTTGCAGCGTGTACGTGGGCGTCGTCGCGAGGTACTTGACCTGGTCCATGTAGGCCTGGGCTACACAGGCGAACGTGCGCTTACTCCACGTCATGCGTCCATGCACATACTCTGCTTCTCGTTCTTGCGCTCCTCAAGCTTCTCGGAGACCTTCTCCTTGAAGCCCTGGAAGATGCTCATCTCGCGGGCAGGCGCATGGAAGCGCGGGCGGAGCACGGACGCGCGGAGGCCGGTGAGTACGTTGCGGAAGGCCATGAGAACGCGAAAAAACCAATCACTGGTCCATGCCTTGATTTTTATACGCCCTCGCATTGGTCCATTAAATTTTATATTTAACCAATCCGATCGAAGAGCGCCACCGTGTCTTTGCGCCAAATTAGCTTCACCACGCTTCGGGCCTCGCGGCACCAAACGGCTCGCAACGAACATGCCGCTCACATGATCGTTGGCGATAGACTAACACGACCAATGTGATATCTTAGGCACCTCAGTATTATAACCACTGACCATGCGAGGTTGCCTGCCGGTACCCCATGCCGGTACCCTAATCCCGGTCGGCGCGCAACAGATGAGCCGATGCGCCAAGAACACGTCGTCCCGCTTGAGAGCAAGCAAGCAAGGTCAACCTTAGGTATCTCTAGTAGAACCCATCCAACAGTGTGTCCACATCGAGCGTTGTTCATTGTACAGGATTAAATATCATAACTTAGCCGATGCTAATGACGTCGCCCATCATGCCCGCCGGCATGAGGTTGCTTGGCGAGTCGTTGGCGCTGCTCGTCGGCGGCTTGGTGACCCACGCGCGGCGGCGCACAAGCGAGAAGATGCGCGAGCACGTGTGGTCCGGGAACCGCGTAAAGTCCGTCGCGTACACCCAGCCTTCTTCGTCGCAGCCGTCGACGCTCATGTCGACCATCATCGTCACGGTCGAGATCTCCTTGCGCGTCGCAAACTTGCCCGACCGGTCGCTCCAATGTCCGCGGTCCGACGGCAGCAAGTGCCCGCCAAAGCCCACGAACGGCTGGTAGCGCTGGTTCTCGTACACAACCGGGTCGCCCGAGCTCAGAATCTCTTGCAAAAACTCCGTGTTCCAGCGCCGGTGCTTGACCTTCTTCGTCAACGGCTGCTTGTGGAAGAGCCAGTTGACGATGGCCGCCGGCTCGTCAAAGGCAAACCCGCGGTACACTGGCTGCTCCTCGGCGACCGTCGCATCGGGCGTCACCGACATACGCGCCACGTCGGCGTGGTTGGGAATCTGATGCAAATGCGGCATGAGCCACTTGACATGCGGAAACTCAATGGCGCCGAGGGTGCTGATCGACGGCTCCGACGCAGGATGTTGCACCGCGGCTTGGACCATGTCGAGCAGCGTCGGCTCAAACGCCCGCTTGTACGCAACGTAAAACACGTCTTTTGCATAGAGCGCAGCGACAATCTACGACCACATATGAGACATGTGGCTTGACAAATTGAAACATTCGACGTACGAGGAGCTGGATGAGCCATGGCGCACCGAGACCAAACATCCACGGGAACGACGACTGCGACGTCGGGTCTTGGAGGCCGACATAGTCGATTGCAATCTCAAACCCGTACAGCATCGCGAGGCTGGCCGCGACCGAGACAAACACAAAGACGTTCCACGAGTTGATGAGGAGGCAGACGCGGACCGTCATGTACAAGCACAGAATCGTCCAGCCGAGATCCCCGAGGTTGAGGACGCTCGACGTTTGGCCGTCCGGCGTGAGCGCGTCGCCCGCCCAAATCAAAAAGTACAAGACGCCGAGCGAGTCGATGAGGCCGAGCAGCATCCACTGCCAAAAGCGACCGTATGAGAAAAGCTCACGGCACTTGCTGTGGTAGAGCTGCGGCACGGCGAGCGCGACTTCAGCCGTCACGTCTTGGTCCCAGATCGCGTAGACGCCAATGGGCAGCGCCGTGAAGAAGAGGTTGTAGCCTTGCTGGATGAACGCCGGGTAGATGAGCGTGCCCGAGAATGCCGTGAGGTTGAGCATGTACCAAAACATGGCGAGGCAGTACACAATGTTCTTGTAGTACGTGTAGTAGATGAGGTTGGAGATGCGCGTGTAGTTCCACCGACCGTGCACGAGGAGGAGGCGCGCGAGGAACCGGAACTGGCCAATCGCAAAGTCGCTCGTGTTGACCGCGTGCCGCCCTTCCTCGCCCGCAATGCCAATGCCGACGTGGGCGGCTTGGATCATCGGCACGTCGTTGGCGCCATCGCCGATTGCAAGCGTCTTGGCCTCGTCGCAGTTGACGTTGACGAGCTCGACCAGCTGCGCCTTTTGGCTCGGCGAACACCGGCACGCAATCACGACGCGGCAGAGAAGCGCGACGCGGAGGAAGTGGAGCGCATCCACGTGCGACGGGTTGTCATGCAAGAGCCACGAGAGCGACGCGCCGTCAATCACGATCGAGAGATCCCGCGTCCCAAACGACGTCTCGAGCACGTGGTGGTAGATCTCATCGAGGTGCCGGAGGAGGCTGCCGCGCGTCGGGCACCGCTTGGCGTTGATGACATAGCGCTCCATGTCGTTCGTCAAAAGCGAGCACGCAAAGCCAATGTTGATGGCCGTTTCTTCCATGTCGCCTGTCAGCACCCAGAGCGCAATGCCGGCTTTCGAGAGGAGCCGGATGGTTTCCGGTACTTCGTCTTGGAGACGGTCTTCGATCGCCGTCGTGCCGAGGAGTGTCAGTCCCGCCTCCATCTCGTTCTGGAGCTTCTCGACCGCACTTGCATGGTCTTCTTGGAGCACTTGGGCTTGCTGGTACGTGTTGTGGAAGGTCTCCCACTCGTCCTTTGGAATCGACTTGGCCGCAATCACGAGCGTACGGAGACCTTCGGTCGCAAACGCTTCCAGTTGGCGCTCCGTGACCGCCTTGCACTTGAGGTTGGATGGCGCGAGGCGAGGAAACACCGTGCTGTCGGCGCCTTTTGTCAAGAGCACAATCTCTTCCCGGTCCATGCGGCGCACGACCACCGACATGCGCTTGCGCGTGCTATTGAATTCAAACACTTCGAGGATCTCGTAGCGCTCGGGCGCGTCGTCGAACGGCGTCTTGATCGCAATCATACCCGGCGTCCGCTCGATAAACTCAAAGCCAAAGTACTTGGCGCCGCTCACGAGCGCTTGTTCGTCCGGCGACGACGCAACGTACGGGCTCTTGGTCGCGTCGTCGTGCTTGAGCTCTAGCAGCACACTGTGGCAGAGCGCAAGGTGCCGGAAAAAGTTGCACACGGCCTCTTGCTGCTCGACGCCGCTCGCGCCATAAATGTCTTGGACGAGCTGCGGGTCGGTAAAGTTGACGTGCGGGATCGACGGCGTCGCCATCTCGTCGGCCGGTGGGTCGTCGAGAACGACCACGTCAACACCACCCCGACCGGCTGCAATCGCGGCGCGGCCGATGGCGGTCGTGCCTTGGCCATACGTCACACCGCGAATCGAGCACTTGCGAAACTCCATTTGGTTGCAGGTAATGGTGCCCGTTTTGTCTGAGAAGATGTGGGTAATGTGGCTACTCGGAGCATGAGCACAGAAGACATGGCACATGAAGATGCGTACCCGAGCTGCTCGTTGAGACCCTTATTGCGGGGCTGCATGCGCATGTCCCGCTCGGCATCGTACATGTGCATGTCGCGCGCCATGAAGTAGCCCTGGAGCGCCTTGACCGTCGTGATCGAGACATAGAGCGTGATGGGCACGACGGTCGCGAGCGTCGTGAGAAAGTAGAAGAAGGCCGTCACGAACGGGTTGTCGACACTGTTGCCGAGGTACTCGGGAAGGAACGGACTCGACCACTTGGTGTACGAGATCGCCCCCGAGAGGCAGAGCACGAGGAGACCGAGCACGATCACAAACACTTGGTTGTTGCTACACACCATTTGAGCTCCTGTATGGTGGAAAATGGCGTACGTCATGGTGTCGAGCGTCGACTCCTTGTCGCTGTTGGGCTTGAGACCTTGCATGATCTTGGTGTCAAAGCCCGCCTAGGATTGCACTGAGTGGGCTCATTCGAATGAAGCAAAAGAGCGCACGTGAAGGACAAAGGCGAGGACGCGGTCTGTGTTGCGGACCTTGCAGCCGCGCCAGAGCATGTTGTGGACAGAGATCGGCAGCGTAGCGTCTTCGTCGTCTGGATCTATACCCGCATTCCCAATGAGATTCCCGTCGTACGTCAGCGCATACCGTCGGCGATATGGACAGCGCCGTGGTACTTGTGGATGTCGGCGTTTGGCTCTTCGTTTTCAAACTTGAGGCTTTGGAGTCGCTGGCCGTACTGATGCGTCTCGACGGCGAAGCGCTCTTGGAGCACGGCTTCACGGAGCTTGAGGTTTGTCTCGCCGTCCAAGCTCTTGGTCTCAATGTAGCACACGCCGTCGTTGCCCGTCGCAAGGATCACGAGGTCGGCGGGCGCGACTTCCTTGTCACGGACCTCGACGCAGTCGCCAACGCAGAGATCCTTCCATGCTATGCATTCGAACGTGCCCGTTTCGCTCTGGTACCGGCGGCACGGCGCGCCGTTGGTTTCGTCGTCGGCTTGATGGCGCTGGTGGTCTTCGACGGCGGCAAAGATGCCATCGATCACGACGACAATCGCGAGGGGCAGAAACTGCAGCGGGACGCCTTTCGTGGGTGAAATCGCCGGAATCATCTGCAGCACGCCAATCATGAGAAAGTAAAAGTTGGCCATCTTCCGGAACGTGCGATACAAGAAGACGGGCATGAAGCTCCACCACGTGTAGTACGACGTCTTGATCGCGTTCGACGTGCCGGGAACTGGGCCCCCGCCGGCGATCGTGTTGTGGATGATGCTCGTGTCGGCGTCGCTGGACGCCTTCTCGAGCGTGAAGCGCGCCTCGAGGAGCTTCATCTCGAGCGCGACGCTCGCGCTGACCGAGCGCGCCTTGGCCATGACGTTGCTGCTCATGGTCCGGACGCGCGCTGGGACGCTTGTCGTGCGCGCGAGGCCCGGCGTCTCGGGGATCCTCCGGTACGACTCGTCGCCGGCCGCAGACAAGGACGACGTTGATCGGAGCATCGAAGTTGAGGAATGTTCGAAGCGTGGATAATTAAATTGAAATTCGATGATTTTATTCGCCAATCCTTCGGTGAAGCGGCGTGTCGCAGAGATTGCTGCGACCGGGATAACCGTCGTCATGCCGCCTTGCGATAGCGTGATCATATTGGCCGCGCCGCATAATAATATTCCGATTGTGCAATATTAATATTCAAGTTCTCACTTCTCATTGGCGCCGCCACCCGGTTTCACAAGCGTTTCGGCGTTTTGAATTCGACCGATCTCAGTATCCGGATATGCACCGGATACAGCACCGGACACACGGTTGACGCAATGGCCACGACCCACGAACTCGGCGGGTACCCATAGACAGGGCGTGAAGAGCCGGAGTCGGTGGAGAGCGACACTTTGGAGAAGTGCATGTCGTGCCGGCGAACGCGGCCGAAGCCGGATCTAACGCCGTGCGTCGTGTTATAATACGTTGAACCATCGGATTTTGTGTCATAATACAGTTACAACGGCCGACGTGGTACACTTCTTCTGATGCGGCCTTCCATAATCAGCAAACAGCGTGCCGTAGGGGGTTGAGAGACGCGTCAACTATATTCTGGCAGCGGCTAATCAGCTACGACACGAGGCTACTCGATGACCAGATTGACGATGGGCACCTGCATGCGCGCGCAATCCCTTGACATGGACGCTCGAGAGTGGGAGGAGCACGATTTGAATTAGTGACTGGTTTACTGCTTCTTGATCTGGATGAGCTCGACGTCAAAGATCAGGTCCGAGTTGGGCGGAATGACCGGCGGCGCACCCTGGCGACCGTACGCCTTCTCCGCCGGGATGTACAGGCGCGAGCGCTCGCCCTTGGACATGAGGATCATGCCTTCGTCCCAGCCCTTGATGACCTATGCAAACCGCGCGTGAGAACCAAGTGGCGGTCGCGACACACAACGTACGTGGCCGACGCCGACGCGAAACTCAAACGGCTGCCCACGAGCGCGCGACGAGTCAAAGACCTTGCCGTTCGTGAGCTTGCCTTCGTAGTGGACAGCCAGCGTGTCGCCTGCACAAATCATATATATATCGGTGAGCCAGGTATGCTCGTCGGTCGATGATGGGTACATACCCTTCTCGGGGTAGTTTTCATCATCACCCGACGTGATGACTTGAGGAATCACGAGGCGCTCGCTCGCCTGTTGACGCTCAATCGGAATGTGGTCAACAAGCTCGATCGTCAAGTGCACGGTCTTCCCCGCGAGCTACGTCCATGCATAGCGTCATCGTGGGTGCACAAGTAGTGAAGACACGCGCGTGTGCAGGGACATACCTCGTGGCTCATGTCGACAACGATCGAGTCGTCGTCGATCTCGACGATCTTGGCCGCGTCGCCCTCTTCGTCGTCAAGGCCCAAGTACGAGCCGATCTCGAGCATCTTCTCTTCGCTCGGGCTACAAGCGCATTAGAGAGGGTCGTGCATGTACAAGCGTAAACGTACAGAAGGTTGAGCTCCGAACGCGGAATGCGCACACGGTTGTCCTCGTCGTCGGCCGCGCCAAACGCCATCTCCGGCGGGATGACGACGGTCTTCGTCTCGCCCTTCTTCATGCCAAGCAAGGCTTCTTCGAGGCCCACAATCATATCACCGTCGCCGACCGTGAACTTTTGGGGCGTGTCGTCGCGCTCGTCAAAGATTTCGCCGTTGTCCAGCTTGCCTTCAATGCACACAAAGACTTGGTCACCAAGACCGACCGTCGGCGTCGCGCTCGAGAAGGCGCGGACCGCCGAGGCCTTCGTGGCCGTGCGCATAAAGGGCGCCATGGCGGCGACGTGCGTCGGCTTGGCGATCGCATGGAAGGCCGCCGAGAGGCACGTCGTGGAGCGCTGCATCTGAGCACGCTTGGAGGCTAGAGCAAGCATAAGAACTCATCTTCACAAGCAGAGGATGCGTACCCGCGGAGCGGCAGGTCGAGCGCAGGGCGCGGCGGAACATGATGCGCACAGATGCGAGCAAAAGGTGTGGTGGCTGGATGAAATGCAACCGTATAGCGTATCCGGACAAAGATTTGCAGCTGCCTTCTATTGGTCGCTTGCAGTAGCCATACAAAACGGGCAGCTAAAGAAACGCAACTTATAGCCGGCAAAATGGCCGCACCAGCAATGACGCCGTCACAAGGGCTGTGCAAACGAGCTGATTGACGCGCATATGTACCACACTCGTGCTTGCGTGATGACGTGGGAAGCAGCTGCGCTCGGCGGCCGTTCCTTGCTACGGCGGGTGCGTGTTTTTAGCGCTGCGATGTCCGGATAATGTGTAGCATCCTTCCGGTCCAATTCTCCGTCGACAAAGGAAGAGCGATGGCGCTGCCGTGGGAAGCGATCGTCGGGATCGTGCTCTTGCTCATTTTCTATGTGCTCTGCCGCATCCTCCAGAACTACGTCATGTACACGCGTCGCGGGTACGAGCCAATCCCGGACGCCGAGAAGCCGGGCTTGTCCGCCCACCTCATCACGCATTCCAAGGACTCGGTCGAGATCCTCATTGAGAAGGACCGTCAAGGCCGCTCATGATAGACACATTGTGGCCCATAATAATGCATGTCGTTGGTTGATGAGGTTGTGAGTTTACTTGGGCAAGAATGCAATGATTTCTTGCACTACACACAGCCAAATCAGAGACTCGTAGAGGTGCCAATGGCCATGTACCCGAGCGATTTTGGGGCGCTGGCAGAATTGACCACTCCTTGCCGACGTAGAGGGTCGTCTTCTCCACGCGCGGAGCGATTGGCACAGTGGGGACCGGCGCTGGTCGAGCTGGCGGCGCGGTTGGTGTTGGGCGGTGCGATGGCTGACGAGGCGCTGCACTTCCTTGGGATTCTGCAGGCATGTTCGTGTGCTGCTTCTTCGTCGGCGGCTCATTCGAGGGCTGTGCGGCAGGCACTAGGTGGCGTCGTCCGCCTCCGAGCGCTGGTGTGCTTCCACTGGGTCGGGCCAGCGCATTCTGCTTGGAGCGACTGAAGGCGGCCGTGAAGGCGTTTGCCTCTGCGCTTGGTGTCGCCGTGGGTGCCACCTCAGCTTCGTCCATCTTTCGCTTGGGTGGCCGGAAGCCGCCTCGCGGAGGCTGAAATTTCGCTGCGCCGCCGGGTGGTGCTGGCGTGCGGCCCGAGACAAACGACGAAGGAGGAGATGGTGCGATGGCCGCAGCGCCAGGTGTGTTAAGCGTCGATGTCGATGAGGCCATCACACACGCTTCGATCTCGACGAGGAACCTATGCAGAGCTCAATTGCATTCCATGCTGAGGATCATAGTTGTCGCGGTACTTGGGAAACTCAAAGTTGGGAAACTGAGCATTCCACTCGTGCGGTAGATATGGCTTCGAGTCGAGGCTCTTGCCGTCTTCGTCGTAGAGCATGAGCTTGGTCGAGAGCTTTACAAGCTTCCCGTCATGGTACGTCTTGGCCTTCTGCGTCTTGTGCTTGGTGTAGAGACACGGGATCCCGTCGCTGCTCATCGGTCCTTCCTCCTTCGCTGCTCGCGGTGGAATTTGGCGGAAATTCGAGCCACATCCGGAATTTCCGGAAAAACAACCGCGAAAGATCCAAACGATGGCGCAAGATCGACGCCCAGGCAGCGAGAATGCATTGAAGCATGCTAACCGCAGCCCCAGGAATACAATGAGTAGCATGCACGCTCCTAGACCTCGGCAAATGACCGCCGGCTGCCCGCCATGACGGTTGGTAGACCACATCTGCTTGACCTCGAGGACCTTCCAGCATTACACTGCACTCCACTAGCACATGAAATACACTGACGAGCAATGACGAGATTGAGTTGGCACATTAACTGGTGATGAAGGAAATGGTTTACTTTTTCTCGAGGAGCTTGGCCAAGACGGCCATGACGGTCCACATGCGGTTTTCGGCTTCGTCCCAGACCTTGGAGCGTTCGCCATAAAAGACTTCATCGTCGACCTCTTCCTTGTGGCGGGGAAGGCAGTGGAGGAAGATATGGTCGGACGCTGCATGTGCGAGCATCTTCTTGGTCACTTGGTAGCCATCAAAGTCCGCAATGCGCTGTTTTGCCTCTTCTTCTTGGCCCATGCTACGAGAACGTACAATGCTTGAGTGGCGGGCTCAAGTGGGATGTAGTGGACGAACCTGACCCACGTGTCGGTGGCAATGACATGGGCGCCCTTCACGGCTTCGACCGGGTCGGTTGTGAGGAACACCGAGGTGCCAGCTGCCTTGGCGAGCTTCTGGCACTTGGCAATCACATCGGGCGCTGCGTCATACCCCGACGGCGTAGCGATTCGAATATTGGCTCCCATGAGCGGCGCGGCGAGCATGTAATCGTGCAAGACGTTGTTGCCGTCGCCGACCCACGCTAGTGTGAGTCCCTTGACCGATCCAAAGTGCTCCTACACATCCATCATCATGAGATCACAAGAAAAGCCAAGGCAAGACATACCTGCACGGTGAGGTAGTCGGCGAGAGCCTGGAGCGGATGGTACTTGTCCGAGAGCGCATTGATGACGGGCACGCTCGCTTCCTTTGCGAGCTCCACGACGCTGGCGTGGCCATAGACGCGCGCAAGGAGCGCCGAGCCAAACCGGCTCATGACGTGCGCTGAGTCTTTGAGCGACTCGTTGACGCCGAGCTGGATGTCATCGCTGGAGAGGAAGAGCGCGCGGCCACCGAGGCGCTGCATGCCAATCTCTGTGCTAAGGCGCGTGCGCGTCGAGCGCTTCTGGAAGATCATAAGCAACGTCTCGTTCGTGAGGAGGTCCGTGTTGATGTTGTGCTTCTTGAACTCGGCGGCCGTGTTGATGAGGCCCTGGAACTGCGCGGGCGTGAGCTGGTCCGTCGAGAGGAAGTGCTTGGGGAACGTGGACATGGCACGCGAGGTATGGCGAAAGGCGCGGAAGGGCTGCATGATGATGGGTTCCTGGCTGCTGGAATGAAGGAGGCGACTTGGATTCTGTGGCGATCCGCGGAAAGATTTGGTCGGCGCCGATTGGTCCACAGCATTTTCCTGTGGATCTTGCTCAAGTGGGTGCACTTGAAGTTTGTAGCCGTCGTTTCAGGAGGACCCCCTACGTCACAAACCCAATGTAGTGCAATCAAACACACCCCTACACACATGAAGCCCTGCGGCGTTCGATGCTGTGGTGGTTCTCGGCCTCAGCCATTTGCAGCACCCCTCTTCTTTGGCTTTCTCGAAGACGAGATCATCTCGATGCAAGATCGCTAGATGACAATGCACCAATCAGCATAGCGCCTTATTTTTAACCAATGGAAATGCGCAATGTTTTTGTCCAATCAGTGATGAGATATTGAAGATTGTGCTGCCACCGCAGAAACGAGAAGAATGAGCTCCAAAGCCCCTGCCGCGACCCCCGCGCCTGCGCCGACGGCCGCCTCATCCGAGCCCAAGAAGATGATTCACATCGTTGAGGAAGACGACGAGTTCGAAGAGTTCGAGGAGCAGAACTGGGGCGCCAAGATGGAAGAGAAGGAGAGCCACATCAAGCTCCAGTGGCAGGACGACTGGGACGTCGACCAGGCCGACGACGACTTCTGCAACCAGTTGCGCCGCGAGCTTGAAAAGAACGCGTAAGTCATGAACAGCGTATCGCTGCCCGCGCTCCTCTATAATACATATTCGCTCGTGCGTCTGCCTCGCTCCTCTAGCGTGTACTGCTCTAGCGTGTACTGCCTTCTCGCTGGCTAGGCTTCCGATCCGCAGCAAGCACGGCCCCGCTCTGGCGCACCAATAGTTACTGCCAGTACCTCTGGATACGTGGCAGGCTCGAGTCGCAGGCAAAGACGAACCCGAAGGCTAGGCCTCAAGACTACTACAAGCCCAAATGTGCCTGACACGATGGAAGAATCTGTGAGCTGCGCAGCGACTTCCTTGCAGCCTAGGCGCTACTCAGCACACGCAAAGCAACACCATGGAGTCCATCTGACCGCCCACGTCCTCGACTGCGAGCGATCGATACGATCATCGGGGCGGTTGATGCAATGCACTAGTAGCAACTTGAGGCAACCGTCTTCCTTCGGCGCGCCACGCATATTGAGCAACATCCACTCCAGTAAGATAACTTGTAGCGAAGCATGAACCAGCGCAAAGACCGATGGGTCAAGCCGACATGAGCGGCCGGCAGTTGTCCGGAGCGAACTTGCATGTGGATCTCAGAACTGGCGAGGTGAGCGACTAGCTTCGAAATACGATAACACGTAGTTCGAAGATACTGATTGGAGCAGGCGCGGCAAATTTGGCTCATGAGCGGGTGCCAAGGGTGCTCGACGCGGCCGTGCCATGTCTGCCGCAAGTGTATCTTTCGTCATTGCCAGTGCGGCCTCAAACGCGCACCAGTCTGCGTCGAATCACAGGCGTGTCAGTGCGTGACGCTCTCCCGTTGCCGGCGCTGCCATGGGTGCACAGGACGCGCCGCGAGCCATTGCCGCTGCGACGCACACGCCAAGCACGAGTGCCTCTGCGAAGAGCTACGTGCGATGGAGACAGACGAGAGAGCTGACGAAGACGAAGCCGAACGGCAGCGCGTCAATTGGCGCCATGCGCTTCCGACCGTCGCGTCGCACTTGAGCGATCGGAGTGCCACCATGGACTCGCGGCTGTTGTACAAGATGGTGCTGCGCCCAGGTGCAGGCCCGCGCGAGATCCTACCACCATCCGGCCGTCGCGGCACGCAGCAAGACACGTATCTTGCGTCCGTCGACCTCGACCCCACGACCGTCCCCCCGACCGTGGCGCTCCGCTCGCACGCCGATACGATCTTTGCGCGAGGCATGGACAATTTTCAGTACGCTAGCGCCCAGGAGGCGGCCATGCCGTCCGAAGATCTCGTCGATTACGTTGTGCACACGGCGAGTCTCAAGGCCGTCGACGTCCCCGAGCTCTGGGGATCGCTCGACGCGTCCGCGGCCATCGTCGCGGCCATTGTCGCCGACGAGTACACGCGACAGCTCGTCGACGAATACGTGGCAGCAGACCAAACCTTTCCGTTAACGAGTCAGGACGCGCTCGTCGAGTGCATATACGAACTGCTCAATGGCGCCGAGGGCAGTCCAGATGCATGGGCCGACCTGGCGAGTGGCATCGAGTCGGAGGTGCGTGCCATCTTTGGAGACGACCAGCTCGCGCCGTACGATGTTCCGCAGCTCATTGCCACCGCGATGCAGCCACTCAAAGACGCGTCGAGCACCGACGCCGACGACGCCGCCTGGGTAGCGTGGAAGGACGAGCGGGTGCGCGCTGGCCTCGAGGCGCTGCAAAATGGCGCCATCATGTCGCCCGACGGCATCCACGTCGATACGACCCGCCGGACGCCGTCGTACTGGTTCTGCGTCGCCGTGCCCCACGGGAAGACGACCGAGAGCCTCTCGTCGGCGCGGTACCCGAGCTACCGTCTCGCGTTTGAAACCAAGCTCGGCCTCGAGCAGCGCATTCGCCTTGTCGAAGACGCTCAACAGTTGGATGGATCGGCAAGGCCGCCGATGGCGCCAACGCCGACGCTGCCGAGCTCGACCGAGCACCCGTGGCCCGCTGTGCTAAGCCCCGTGCCCATGCCATCGACCGCCGACGTCGACCCGTTCCCGCATGTCAAGCAAGTGCTCGCTAAAGTGGCGCTCACAAGGAGGCGCTTGACGCCTGACCAAGCCATGGCGATCGCCGCGCAGAAAGAACTCGCCCAGCGCAACGCGCGCGAGCAGCCCGATCCGTCACTGTACATACCTCAAACGCAGAATAAGCGCAAAGCAGCGCCAAAGCGACCCGCCCCCAAGCGGCCCAAACGACCCAAGCCGGTTGTAGCGTCGCCCAACGCGGAGGTGAACCAAGACAACGACGACGCAACGGCTGGCAGCGACGATGTCACCAATGCCACGGACAACCATGAACCAGACGACGGCGCTCACTTAGAGCAACCGAACACGGAAGCCGTCACTGTGAACACCGAGATACCAGCTGCGGTCCCAGACCTGGACGCGGCCGCGCGGCGAGAAGCACTGGCCGACGTAGCGAGCCCACAGAGCGATAGCACCGCGCCAAACACGTCTTCAGTGGTAGCTTTGCTCGTCTTACCAGACGCCAAAGAGCCCACCGATGTCGCGGCCATGGACAACGACAGCGACGATGACGACGAGGAAGACGACGATGCGACCGTCGAATTTTGGTGTCCCAAGTGCAGCAACGATGTGCTGCATCGGACCAAGGCGTCGCGGCGCTGCGAGTACTTTGTGCGATGGCGGATGCGGAAAATCCAAAACGGTAGCGCGCCGCAACTGCTCACGACGATGCACGATTCGCCCGAGACCTTTTTGGCGATCGTCGAAGGCCTGCCGTCGGCGTCGGGCCTCATTTACATCTAATGACGAGCCAATACACGCTGTGGCAACAAAGCGAGGTGGAGACGTATGACGCAATAGGACGGACGTGCTGCTTAACGATCATCGCATGCATTGCTTCATCTTGTTCTTCCTGCCTCTATAGATACACACCGTCGCCCAAGTTTACTGGCCCGTCTTCTTGCGCTGGAAGATCTGGTGGATGATCGTGCCGAGCTCGCGGTTGACGTGGCGGATGTCCGACTCGGCCTTCTTGCGAATGCGGCGCTGCCACTTCTTCTCGTGGAACTGGCGCTGGTTGAGCTCCTTGAAGATGCCATCCTCTTCCTGGATCGAGTTCATCTCGCGCAGGACGCGGGCGACGCCCTTGCCTTCCACGTTGAACCACAGGCTGCGGGTCTGCATCTTCATGAGGGACGGCGCGACGCGGCCGACCACGCTCTTGGCTCCGATGTTCATGCTGCGCGAGGTTTGTTTTCCACCAGTGAACTGCCTTCGCCGCGCGATGGTCATCCGGATAGAATGCCATTTTGTACGGATAACACCGCGCGGCGCGTGCCACTGCACCGAGTGTGCCGAATTTAAAGCCATGCGTGCAGTCACAGTAGCCGACGCACGGTCTCGCCTTACGTCCGATTGCTGCTCGGCATTCCAAGCCTGTACACACAGACCATGACGCTCGGATTCAATTACCCTTTGTCGCCGCCATATCGGTATTCAATACACGCGGGATGAACTACAATGTGGCAGATGCCACGGAAGGATGCCACACTTGGCGGGTCGCGTATCCGGATGAAACGGCGGTCGAGGGTTGAAGCGTCGCGACGGTTGGTGCGATCTACGTCATTTCGCCGGCCGAACCCAAGCCCGAAGACGACGAAGACGGGGCATGGCCGACGCGGCTCCAGGAGAGGGCGGCAACAACAAGAAGGAGGTCCAGCCGGCCAAGTTCATCGAGGCCCGGGTCGCGACGGCCTTTGGCGGCGGCCCCAAGTTCCTCGCCAAGTACGCGACCGAGCCCAACGAGTATGCTGCTTCCTCGACCTTCGCCATCTCATCCGCGCATTAGGATCTGCATCAAGGAGTTCATCGAGAATGAGGACCTCACGTGCCTCCTCTTCTCGGGCGACAATGTGATTGCGTCGACCAAGATGCCAGCGACGCTGCCGCGCGGCAAGACGATCGCGTTTGCCAAGATGCACAAGTGCGTTCTCTCAGGGAAGAACATCTTGACAGACGTGCTCGTGAGTGAGTTGGGCACAAGCTCGATCGAGCACTTGGAGAAGCTCGTCTCGGAAGTCTACCTCCCGCTCTTCTCCAACCCGAGCAACCAAGAGGGCTGGGGCGAGGTCGCGTCCAAAGAAGTCGTCGACAAGTTCCACTCGTACATGGCGACTGTCTCGATCATTGCGGGCGCGACCAAGGGCGAGACGTGCCTCCCGCTACCGCCCGTCGATGGGAACGCAGCCAATCTCAAGAACAAGATCTCGCTCCTCGAAGGCTCGATCGTGACGTGGACCAAGCAGATCAAGAACGTCCTCAAGCAAGACCCGGAAGAGCTCTTGAAGCAAGGCATGAACCCGACGCCGGACGCCGAAATTGAGTTTTGGAAGCTCAAGGCCGCGAATCTCAACTCGATTTTTGAGCAGCTCCAGAGCAAGCGCGTGCGCAAGATTTTGACGGCGCTCGACCGGTCCAAGAGCACGTACTGCACCCCGTTCGCGCGGCTCTGCAAGGAGGTGTTCACCGCGCGCATTGAGGCCAACGACAACACCAAGTACCTCCGGACGCTCGAGGAGTGGTTCCATCACCTCAACAACGACGACGACTTTCTCAACTTGACCGAGCTCTTCAAGCCGATGCTGCACATCATTTTGCTAATTTGGAAAAACTCCAAGCACTACAACACACCGGCGCGGCTCGTTGTGCTCATTCGCGAGATCTGCAACTCGCTCATCAACCAAGCGCGCGTGTACCTGAGCGGCGAGATGATCTTCGGCCTCATCGACCAAGACTTGGCGGGCCAGGCCGTCGAGCAGCTCAAGACGACGCTGCAAGTGTGCTCGACGTTCAAAAGCACGTACTTTGACTACAAGGCGACCGCGAACGCCGAGTGTCCCTCGAACCCGTGGCGCATCCAGAACAACGCGCTCTTTGTGCGGCTGGACTCGTTTCTCGAGCGCTGCCACGACATTCTCGACTTGACGCAGACAATCGTGCAGTTTACAAAGCTCTCCAAGATGGAGGTCGGCGGTACAAAAGGCAAGACGCTGACCATGAGCGTCCAGCAGATCCACCACGACTTTACCGAGGCCGTCAACACGTTCAAGCGTGTCTCGAGTGACATCATGGACGTGGGGGCGACGAAGTTCGACGACAATTTTTACGAGTTTCGGTGCAAAATCAAGGAGCTCGAGCGCCGCCTCGGGTCGGTGCTCACCCAGGGCTTTGACGACTGCTCGACGGTCTTTGGTCGCTTCAAGCTCCTCGACTCGTTTGAAGGGCTTCTGAACCGACCGATTATCCAAGATGAGCTCGAGAAGAAGCACGTGGCGCTCGTCCAGGCGTACGGAATGGACCTCAAGCACGTACAGGAGCTCTTTTTGCACAGCCGGGACGCGCCACCGATTTCGTGGAACTTGCCGCCGATTGCCGGCGCGCTCACATGGTGCCGCGGCCTCATCGAACGCATCGAGCACCCGATGAAGAAACTCAAGGAGCTCAACCACAACGTCATGGACCGCGAAGAAGCCAAAGAAGTCTACAAGGTCTACGGCACCGTCCTCGCGTCGCTCCAAGAGTACGAGAACCAAAAGGTGGAAGAGTGGAGTCGGGACGTTGAGGCGTCGTCGCAGGCCAAGCTCAAGCTCCCGATCCTCGTGCGCAACCCCCACACGCGCATCCTTCGCGTCAATTTCGACCCGGCGCTCGAGAAGCTTTTGCGGGAAGTCAAGTACCTCCGGTGCCTCGGCTTGGACGTGCCGCAGTCGGCGCTCTCGATCTCGCAAAAGGAGGAGACGTTCCGCAAGTACCGCGGCGACCTCATGTACATTGTCGAGCCATACAACTCGATGATCGAGGGCTTACACGCCGTCGAAGAGCCGTTGGTGCGCAAACACATTACCAACATTGACGCGAGCGTCGGGCGCGGCATCGAAGATCTCAACTGGAAGAGCAACGGCATCGAGACGTTCATCGAAGACTGCCGCCGCTCCGTCGAAAGTGCCAACGAGGTGGTTACGAACCTCAAGGAGAGCCTCAGTACGATCGAGCTGACGCTCACAAGCTGGAACCAGCCGCTTCTCGAGCGCCAAGCCAAGCCGATCGCCGCCAACGAGCACGAGCGGTTGCACAAGAGCTCGATTGCGCAGCGCACGCTCAAGATCCGCGAAGGCGCGGCAGAGATCCACAAGCGACTCAAGGCATCAAATGCGGGTATTGTGGGCGTCAACTCGGCGCACTGGAAGGCATATGTCGACTACGTCAACAACATTGTCGTCGGCGGCGTCGCCAAAGTCATTTGCTCGAGCTTGGAGTTTTTGGCCAAGCAGCTCGAACCGAATCAGACGCCCGCGACGCAGATTGTGAAAGAAGATGAGAAGAAGGGCGCGAAAGAAGGCAAGGACAGCAAGGACAGCACTGCGTCGCGGCTCCCGATGCTCGAGATCAAGCTCGACTTGATTTCAAACCGCGTCCAGTTCAACCCGTGTCTGACGGAGAACAACGGCAAGGGTCTCCGCGACACGATTCAAATGTGGATCAACTCGTTCTTCAACGTCGCGACCGCCGTGAAGCGCCTCGACTCGGACGGCGGCGGCACGTACCTCAAGGAGATGCACTCGGACATGAACATTTGCATGCAGCTCGCGATCATTTCCGAGTACCTCACCGAGAATGAGAACCAGCTCAACGCGTTCAAGAAGAAGTACGACAACTACGCGTACCTCTGGGAGTCGAGCATGGACGACGTGTTTGCGGCGTTCCTCGAAGGCGCGCAGTACGTCTCGGCGCATGGCGCGACGATGCTCAACCTCGAAAAGTTCAACGAAGAAATCACCAAGTACTCGCGCGTCGCCAACGAGATTGCAAACCTCGCGACGCCGACCGACGTGGGCTGGCTGCGCGTCAACTCGCAGCCGATCAAAACCGCCATGGTCACGTGGGTGAGCAAGTGGGTCTACCAGTACACGACGTACCTCTACAAGCACGTCGTGACGAAGCTCAGCTCGCTGCACAAGTTTATGGAGGTTGTGCTCAAGGGCCTCGAGGAGGAAGTCGTCGATAAGAACAAGGAGGCGCTCATGCGCGTCATGACGCACATTCGCGACGTGCGCAAGCAGATCGACGCGACCAACGAGATGTTTGACCCGCTCCGGCAAGCAGTGCACCTTCTCAAGACCCACGGCGTCAACATTGACGACACCAAGATCGCGGACCAGACGATCCAAGACTACCTCGAGGCTGCGCCATTGCAGTGGGAAGGCATTGTCAACAAGACGTTCAAGAAGAAGGAGGAGATCATGCCGCTCCAGATCTCCGAGTGCGACAGCATCAAGGTCGCGCTCGACGAGTTTTACAAGGACATGCGCAAGTTCCGCAACGATTTTCGCGCGAACGCGCCGTTTACGTTTGCGGGTCAGCCCGAAGAGGCGTACAAGATGGTGGACGACTACGCCGTGCGCCTCGCCGAGCGTATCAAGCAAGCCAAGCAGTTCAACGAGCTGGAGGAGCTCTTTGAGCTCCAAGTGTCCAAGTACCAAGAGACGACCGACACGCTGTATGAGCTCCAGCAGCTCAAAAAGGTCTGGGACATGAAGGACATGGTGCTGCACACGTTCTCCGAGTGGAAGAAGGCGCTGTGGGTCAAGATCGACACCGAGTCGATGGAAGCGTACACGCGCAACGTCACAAAGCAGATGAAGGCCGAGAGCAACGAGAACCAAATCATCAAGCAGTGGCAGACGTACAAGGACACGGAGCAAATGGTCAAGAACATGGCGACGATTCTGCCGCTCATCAACGATTTGCACTCGGAAGCGATGCAAGATCGGCACTGGAAAGCGCTCTCGTCGCTCTGCAAGGTCAAGGCGATTGACCCCAAGGACCCAAAGTTCAGCTTTGCCGACTTGCTCAAGCTCGAGCTGCATTTGCACGTCGACGACGTCGGGGAGATTGTCGAGACGGCCAACAAGGAGCAAAAGATCGAGAAGAAACTCACGCTCATCGAAGACCTCTGGCGCCGCCTCACGCTCGACTACGTGCCGCACAAGGACTCGGGCACGTTTGTCATCAAGCCGTCCGAAGAGGTGGTCGAAAGCCTCGAGAGCAACCAGCTCGAGCTGCAGACGATGGTGGGCATGGGCAAATTCGTCGACTTCTTCAAAGACCGCGTCTTGACGAGCCAGAAGAGCCTCGGCCACGTCGAAGAAGTCTTGAAGGAGTGGGTGAGCGTCTCCAAGCAGTGGGCGTCACTCGAAAGCATCTTCTTGAGCTCGCCTGATATCCGCAACCAGCTCCCAGACGACACGCGGACGTTCGAGTCGATCGACTCAAACTTCAAGGACCTCATGAAGAATGCGATTCTCGAACCCAACGTCGTGAACGCGTGCTCGGTCGAGAACCGGCTCGAGAGCTTAAAGGAGATGACGGCGATGCTCGAGAAGTGCCAAAAGTCGCTCAACGAGTACCTCGACAAGAAGAAGAAGATCTACCCGCGCTTCTACTTTGTGTCCAACGTTGCGCTCCTCGACATTTTATCCAACGGCAACAACCCCAAGAAGATCATGCCGTTCTTGGGCGACTGCTACGACTCGCTCAACAACCTCATCTTTGAGGATGGCAGCCAAAACACGGCCCATACAATGATCGCCAAGGACAAGGAGCACGTCAAACTGCCCAAGATCTTTGTCATGGCGGGTGCCGTCGAGAGCTGGCTCAACGAACTCACGGAAGCCATGCGCTACTGCATCAAGAAGGAAATGCACGATTCGATCGAGACGGCGGCCAATTGGGACGTCGAGAAGCCCCGGCACCTCTGGCTTTTCGACTACTCGGCTCAAGTCGTGCTCAACTCGACGCAAATTTACTGGACGGAAGAAACCGAGATGGCGCTCGAAGAGTTTGAGAACGGCCAAGAAGACTCGGTGAAGCGGTACCTCGCCCTGTGCAACCAGCGCCTGGAACAGCTCATCAATTTGGTGCTGGGCGAGCTCACGAAAAGCGATCGGTGCAAGATCATTGCACTCATTACGCTCGACGTGCACTCGCGCGACGTGGTGAAAAAGCTCGTGGATGAAAAAGTCGAGGGGCCGCTGAGTTTCCTCTGGCAGCAGCAACTGCGCTTCATTTGGCGCCAAGAGACCATGGACGTCGACATTCGCATCACCGACTTCCGCTCGAAATACTCGTACGAGTGGATTGGGAACACGGGTCGCCTCGTCATTACACCGCTCACGGATCGGTGCTACATTACGTTGACGATGGCGCTGCGGCTCTTCCTCGGGGGGGCGCCCGCGGGCCCCGCCGGGACGGGCAAAACGGAGACGACAAAGGATCTCGCGCGCGCCATGGCGCTCTGCTGCTACGTCTTCAACTGCTCAGACCAGATGAACTACCAAACAATGGCCGACATCTTTCGGGGTCTATGTCAAACGGGCACGTGGGGCTGCTTTGACGAGTTCAACCGCATCAACATTGAAGTGCTCTCCGTCGTCGCGACCCAAGTCAAGTGCGTGCAGGACGCGATCGTTCTCAACGCCGTACCCGCGAACCGTGAAGAAAAGTACCGGCACATTGCCGCGGGGACGCCGCCCGTCGTCGTCGGCGAGTTTGAGTTTATGGGCGCGTCCGACCGCATTACGCTCATTCCTACGTGCGGCTTCTTCATCACGATGAACCCGGGGTACGCCGGCCGCACCGAGCTGCCCGAGAACCTCAAGGTGCTCTTCCGGTCGTGCGCCATGATTCGCCCCGATCTGCGCCCGATTTGCGAAAACATGCTCATGTCGGAAGGCTTTCAGCAAGCGCGGACGCTCGCAATCAAGTTTGTGACACTCTACCAGCTCAGTTCCGAACTTCTCTCCAAGCAGTTTCACTACGATTGGGGGCTTCGCGCAGTCAAGTCGGTCTTGCGTGTCGCCGGTATCCTCAAGCGTGCCGAGCCCGAGGTCGAAGAAGACAAGGTGCTCATGCGCGCACTCCGTGATTTCAACACGCCCAAGATTCCGCAGCTCGACACGCCGATTTTCCTGCGTCTTATCAACGATCTCTTTATCGGCGTCGAAGTCAACCCGAAAGTGAACCTCGAGCTCCGTGACAAGACGGTCGTTGTCTGCAAGGCCAACAACCTCCAGCACGACGAGTCGTTCATTCTCAAAGTCTGCCAGCTCCAAGAACTCATTGACGTCCGGCACTCGGTGATGCTTCTCGGCAGCGCGGGCTCGGCGAAAACAACGACTTGGCAAACGCTTGCCAAGTGCTGGAACCTCAACAAGGAAAAGAAGGTCTGCGTCTACGAGACGCTCAACCCAAAGGCCGTCACGTCCGACGAGCTCTACGGCTACATGACGCTCTCGAAAGACTGGAAGGACGGTGTCATCTCGATCATCATGCGCGGTATGTCGAAAAACTACGCCGAGCAAGGGTTTTACGAGAGCCAAATGTACAAGTGGGTCGTCCTCGACGGCGACATTGATGCCGTCTGGATCGAGAGCATGAACACAGTCATGGACGACAACAAGGTGCTCACGCTCGTCTCGAACGAGCGCATTCCGCTCTCGGAGGCGATGCGCATGTTTTTCGAGATCAACTCGCTCAAGAACGCGACGCCCGCGACCGTCTCCCGCGCCGGTATCCTCTTCATCAACGAGTACGACATTGGGTGGCGGCCGTTCATGGAGTCGTGGGTCGCCCGGCGCGACGAAGAGATCGAGCGCACGTACCTCCCGGGCATGTTTGACAAGTACATTGAGGCGACGCTCGAGATGACACGCAAAGGCTTCAAGCAAGTGTCGTCGGTCCGTATCATCAACCAAGTGAGCACGATCTGCTACCTCCTCGAAGGCCTCTTTGCGGAAATCCCGGCCGAGAAGAAGACGCAAGAGGTCATCGAGTGCATCTTTGTGTTTTGCGCGACGTGGGCGTTTGGCGGTCCGTTCATCGTCGACAAGAGCGTCGACTACCGCAAGAACTTTAACGAGCTCTGGAACGCGACGTTCACTGCGGTCAAGTACCCGAAAGAAGGCACGTGCTTCGACTACTTTTACAACATTGAGACCAACGAGTTTGAGCACTGGAGCAGCCGCGTACCCAAGTATGCGCCGACGCCGATCGGCAACGCAATCTCGGACACGCCGTTCTCGACGATCGTCATCAGCACCATCGACTCGGTGCGGCTCACGCGCCTCGTGGAGATTCTCGTCAACCGGCAGCGACCCGTGCTGCTTGTGGGCGGCGCCGGCACGGGCAAGACCACGATTCTCAAGACGTTTTGCCGCAGCCTCGACGAAGACATGCTGCACGCGTGCATCAACATGAACTACTACACGGACTCGTTCAAGCTCCAGCAACAGCTCGAGCAAGTGATCGACAAGCGGTCGGGGCGCATGTTTGGTCCGCCCGCGACCAAGAAGCTCATCTACTTTATCGACGATCTCAACTTGCCGTACATTGAGACGTACGGTACGCAGAACGCACTGGCGCTTATGCGCCAGCACATGGACTACCGCACGATCTTTGACCGGATCGACCTCGGGTTCCGAAAGGAGATTGTTGACGTCCAGTACCTCTCGGCGATGAACCCGACGGCCGGGTCGTTCATCATCGACGAGCGTCTCCAGCGCCATTACGCGCTCTTTGCGTGCATGATGCCGAGCAAGGAAGACCTCAAGACGATCTACAATTCAATTCTCAAGGGGCATCTCGGCTTTGGCTTTTCAAACGCTGTCGTGAACGCGAGCGAGGTCTTTGTCGCGCTGAGTATTGCGGCCCACGAAGACATTGCCAACAAGTTTTTGCCGTCCGCGACCAAGTTTGTCTACAACTGGAACATGCGCGAGCTCAGCAACGTCGTGCAAGGCCTCACGCGGTCAAAAGGCGACTTTTACCCGACCGTCGAGTCGTTTGCGCGCCTTTGGATCCACGAAACCACGCGCGTCTTTTGCGATCGCATGATCAACAACGAAGACGTCGACAAGTTTACCGATCGGATGCGCGAAATCTCCAAGAAATTTCTGCCCGATGTCGACCAAGAAAAACTCTTCCCCAAGCCGTCCACTGGCGAAGACGAAGAGCCCGGCACGATTGTCAATATCTACACGACGTTTGCGGTGCCAGTCGCCGGCGCCGACTCGGTGTATTTGCCTGTCGCGGGCATGAAGCAGCTCAACAAGGTACTCACGGACCAGCTCGACGACTACAACTCCAAGTACTCGATGATGAACCTCGAGCTTTTCGGAAACGCGATGGAGCACGTGACGCGCATCTGCCGCATCATTGGCAACCCCGGCGGTAACGCCATGCTCATCGGTGTCGGCGGGTCCGGGAAGCAGTCGCTCTCGCGCCTCGCGTCGCACATTTGCGGCTTTGACGTGCGCCAGCTCAGCGTCACGAGCAACTTCAAGATTGACGATTTGAAAGAAAGCCTTCAAGAGATGTTCAAGACGTCGGGCGTCCAAGGCATTCCGCTCGTGTTTTTGATCACAGACTCGCAAATTGTCAACGAGCGCTTCCTCGTCTTCATCAACGACATGCTGAGCTCGGGCTGGATCCCCGATTTGTTTGCAAAAGAAGACGTCGACGTGCTCTTGGCCGGTCTCCGAAACGAAGCCAAGGCCCAAGGTGTGCCCGACACGCCCGATACGCTCATGGACTTTTTGCTGCTGCGGATTCGCTCCAACTTTCGCATCATCATGTGCTTCTCGCCGGTCGGCGCCGTCTTCCGAGTCCGCGCCCGGCGCTTCCCCGGTCTCGTCAACTGCACGGTCATTGATTGGTTCCACCCGTGGCCCCGGGACGCGCTCGTGCGCGTGGCCACGAGCTTCTTGGAGAAGGTCGAGGACCTCGGCGACAAGGCGCTCAAGAAGAGCCTCGCCAACCACATGGCCGACGTGCACATTTCCGTGACCGACATGAGTAAAAAGTACTTTGAGACGCAGCGCCGGTTCAACTACGTGACGCCCAAGAGTTTTCTCGAGCTCATTTCGTTCTACGAAGTGCTTCTTGGCCAAAAGAAGGCCGAGATCCAGCGCCAAATCACACGCCTCGACGACGGGCTGAGTACGCTGCGCAAGACGTCGGCGGACGTGGCCGAGCTCCAAATCGACTTAAAGAATACGATGCAAGTCGTGGCCGAGAAGCAAGCGTCAACCGACGTCCTTCTCGAACAAATGGGCCGCGAGAAGGCAGGCGCCGAAGTCCAGCAAGAGAACGCCAACAAGGAAAAAGCCAAGGCCGAGAAGGCGTCCGCGTCGGCGCAGGAGCTCGCGCAAGAGGCGGAGAAGGAGCTGTCGCAGGCCAAGCCGGCCATGGACGCTGCGGCCGCTGCCGTCGACTGTCTCTCCAAGGCAGCGATCACGGAACTCAAGTCGCTGCCCAAGCCGCCGGCCGGTGTCGATCTCGTCACCAAGGCGTGTCTCATTCTCGTTGAGAAAGAGTACAAAAACCATAAGTGGGACCGCGCCAAGAAGATGATGAACAACGTCGGTCAGTTTCTCGACTCGCTCAAGGTGTTTCGCGGCGAAGACATTCCGGAAGCGGACGTTGCGCGTCTCGAGCCCCTCATTGCCGACCCCGAGTTTACGACCGAGAAGATGCTTTCCAAGTCGGCGGCCGCGGCCAACCTCTGCTCGTGGGTCGTCAATATCTACACGTTCAACCGCATTTACGTGCGCGTCAAGCCGCTCATGGACTCGCTCGAAGCGTCGAAAAAGAAGAAAGAAGAGGCCGAAGAGACACTCGCCAAGGCCATGGCGCAGGTCGCCGAAGTCCAAAAGCGCCTCGAGCAACTCGAAGACACGCTGCGCTTGGCGACCGAAGAGAAGCTGCGCGTCGAGCAAATGAAGCAAAACTGCGAGAACCGACTGCAACTCGCGGGGAAGCTCGTGAACGGCCTCGCAAGTGAAAACGAGCGCTGGGGCATTGAGATTGAGCAGCTCAAAGCCAACGGCGTCATGGTCGTCGGCAACTCGCTTCTCGCGGCGGCGTTCGTCTCGTACATTGGCGCGTTTGACCAGCAGTTTCGACGCGAGCTGTGGCAGACCCTCTGGGTGCCCGATCTGATCGCCAAAGCCATCCCGATCACGGACGGCATTGACCCGCTCCAGATGCTGACGACCGAAGGCAAGAACGCCAAAATGCTCAGCGAGGGCCTCCCCGCCGATCGCATTTCGATTGAGAACGGGTCCATTATCACCAACTGCACGCGCTGGCCGCTCATCATCGACCCGCAGCTGCAAGGCATCAAGTGGCTGCGTGAAAAGGAGAAGGCGCGCGAGCTGGTCGTGATCCAGCTGACGCAGAACCAATGGCTGCGCAAGATGGAGACAGCGATCGTCAACGGCCACGTCGTGATTGTCGAAAACATTGGCGAAGAAATCGACGCGACGCTCGACCCGGTGCTGGCGCGCGCTGTGTACAAGAAAGGCTCGAGCGCGTCACTGTACCTAAAGTTCTCGGGCGAAGAAGTGCAGTACGACCCGAGTTTCTTTATGTACCTCCAGACGAAGCTATCCAACCCGCACTACAAGCCCGAGATTGCGGCGCAGTGTACGCTCATCAACTTTATTGCGACCGAGTCGGGCTTGGAAGACCAGCTACTGGAGAAAGCTGTCAACAAGGAGCAGCCCGAGCTCGAGAAGCAAAAGCAAGAGCTCGTCTTGGCCTTTCAGAAATTCAAAATCGATTTGGTCGAGCTTGAGGACCAGCTGCTCGAACGCTTGGCGAATGCGCCGGACGATATCTTGTCGGACGTGCCCCTCATCGAGTCGCTCGAAGAGACCAAGAAGAAGGCGACCGACATTGCGATTTCTGTCAAGAAGAACCAAGAGACGGAGATCATCATCAACAACACGCGTGAACTCTACCGACCCGTGGCGGCCGAAGGCGCGATGCTCTACTTCTTGCTCACGACGCTTAGCGCCATCGACCACATGTACCGTTATTCGCTCGACTCGTTCATCACGTTCTTCTACGCGTCGATTGATCGCGCGCCGAGCGCCGAGAAGCAAGCCGAGCGCGTGCTGAATTTGCGCGAGTCGCTTCGGATCACGGTCTTTACGTGGGTCTCGCGCGGCCTCTTCGAGTCGCACAAGCTCATCTTCCTCTCGCAGCTCACGTTCAACCTCATGAAGCGCGGCATTCTCGGCGAAGACGTCCGCATCGCCGACACGTACATGCAATTCCTGCTTCGAGGGCCGAAGAAGACGGCGTCCGGCGACGCCGATGCCAACCCCATCGATTGGCTACCCAACGCGCAGTGGTACGCGATCCAAGCGCTCTCGACGCTCGAGGAGTTCAACAAGATGCCCCAAGACCTCCGAGAGGCGTCGTCGCGCTTCCGTGAATGGTACAACCACGTGACGCCCGAGAGTGAAAAGCTGCCGCTGGACTGGGCCGGCCTCGACCGCACGCCGTTCCTCAAGCTCCTAGTCGTGCGGTGCCTCCGACCCGATCGCATGACGGTCGCCGTGTCGGAGTTTATTCGGCACGTCTTGCCCAATGGCGCCATGTACTGCGACTGCGACTCGGCGCTCAACTCGACGCAGGTCATGGACAACTCGTACTTGGACTCGACGCCGACAACACCGCTCTACTTTATCTTGTCGCCCGGCGCCGACGTTGTCGCGGGCCTTGACAAGCTCGCAATCAAGTATGGCTTTGAGCGCGGTGTCTCGTACCACAACGTGTCCATGGGCCAAGGCCAAGATGTGTTTGCGATGGACCGCCTCGAAGTCGCGCACCGCAACGGGCACTGGGTCATCCTCAACAACATCCACCTCATGCCGCGCTGGCTCATTACGCTCGAGAAGAAGCTCGACGAGTTTGCGTTGGAGGGTTCGCACAAGAACTTTCGGCTCTTTCTGACGTCCGACCCGTCGAATGCGATTCCGATTGGCGTTCTCAACCGCTGCATCAAGCTCACAAACGAGCCCCCGAGCGGCTTGAAAGCGAATTTGAAGCGGGCGTTTGTGAGCTTTCCGAAAGAGTACATTGAAGAAGCCGAAGGCAAAGTCAAGTCAATTCTCTTTGGCTTGTGCCACTTTCATGCTGTCATGATGGAGCGCAAGATGTACGGCCCGCTCGGCTTCAACATGATGTACCCGTTCTCGCTCGGCGATCTCCGCGACTCGGCCATTTGCCTCAACAACTACCTCGAGAATTCGGGCGGCGGCAAGATTCCGTGGGCCGATCTCAAGTACATTTTCGGCGAAATCATGTACGGCGGCCACATTGTCAACGACTTTGACCGGCTCCTCGCCAACACGTACCTCGACTTTTACATGCGCGACGAGCTCCTCGATGAAATGGAGATGTTCCCGTTCGTCGGCGACGAGAAGGGCCCGTCGTTCATGTCGATTGCGCCGTCGTCGTACGACAAGTACCTCGAGCACATTGAGACCGAGCTCAAGTCGGACTCGCCGCTCGCGTTTGGCTTGCACCCGAACGCCGAGATCGACTTTCGTACGACCCAGTCGGAGAGTCTCTTTCGAACGCTCATGGAGCTCCAGCCGCGCGACGCAGCCTCGGGCGACGCGGCCTCGAGCCCGATGGAGATTGCGCGGTTGGCGCTCGAGACGATCATGGGCCGCATTGGCGAAAAGAAGTTTGAAGTCGACGACATTGCCCGGTCGCTCGAAGAGATTGGGCCGTACCAAAACGTGTTTATCCAAGAGTGCGACGCGATCAACGTGCTTTTGCAGGAGATCGCGCGGTCGCTCAACGAGCTCCAGCTCGGGTTCCTTGGTGAACTCACCATGTCGGATGCCATGGAAGCGGTCCAAGAAGCCCTCTTCCTCGACCGCGTGCCAAAAACGTGGGAAAAGCTCGCGTTCCCGAGCGCGCGCATGCTCGCGAGCTGGCTCCTCAACCTCGAACAGCGATTGGCACAGCTCGACGAGTGGACGCAAAACCCGAGTGACATTCCGCGCGTCACGTGGCTTTCGGGCATGATCAACCCGCAGTCGTTCTTGACGGCCATCATGCAAGTGACGGCGCAGCGCAGCCAACTGGAGCTCGATAAGCTCGTGATCCAAACCGACGTGCTCAAGCGCAAGTTCAACGAAGTCGACGCGCCGTCGCGCGATGGCGCGTACATCCACGGGCTCTTCCTCATGGGCGCGCGCTGGGACTCGAACAACTCGACCGTCGACAAGAGTATGCCGAAGGAGATGTTTTGCTCGATGCCAGTCATCAACTGCAAGGCGATCCAGTCCGACAAGCTCGATCTCAAGGGCTCGTTCATTTGTCCGTGCTACAAGACCGAATTCCGAGGACCCACGTACGTCTTCTCGGCGCAGCTCAAGACCAAGTCGCCGCCCGCGCGCTGGGTCTTGGCCGGTGTCGCCCTCATCATGGACGTCCCCGTCGTATGAGCGTCTTTCTCTATATGCAATAGTGCTAGAGTAACTACAGAAACAACCCGTGTACAAACACTCGTGTTTCTATGTTTCAACAAGTAGACGAGCTACGCCGTGCTGTATCCAAAAGCATGGCGACGTCGACGTGGCCGTTGGCGATGGCGGCCGTGTGGGCAATCTCAACATCCAAGACGGTATCGGAGGCGTCGAGGAGGAGGGCGACGACGTCGGCATGGCCGTGGGCAGCCGCCGCCCGGAGTGCGGACGACGACGCAATAGCACCACGGTCCAAGAGACGCTGCAGCACGGGTACATGGCTGCGCGACGCGGCACGGTCCACGGCACGTGGCGTCGGGACGAGCTTGCACGTTTGCAGGAGAAAGTCGACAATGTCGAGATGCCCGCCCGCGCTCGCCCCTTCGAGCGCAAGCGACGAGCCGGGAAAACGGTGAGCGTGCAAGAGCTGCACCATTTCCAAGTGGCCGCGGGACGCCGCACCGTCGATGGCCACGGAGCCGCGGTCGCTGACGTGGTGCAATAGATGGGTGACGAGCGAGATGGACCCGGCGGCGGCCGCGGCGTTGAGCGCGGTCTGGAGCTGGATCGGCGAGTGCTCATGGAACGACAACAAGTAGGCGCCAATCGCGTCGGCGGCGCACTTGGCGGCCCACACAAGGCTCCACGGCGCGCACGGAGCTCCGTGGCCATGCTCACAGAGATATCGCACAAGATCCAAGCGGTGCGAGGCGATTGCTGCATGTAGCGCACGCTCCGAGCACCCTTCGTGCCGATGTGTTTGGAGCCAGACGACGACATCGAAGTGGCCGTTGTGCACGGCACCGTCCATCGCGGTCACCGAACCGCCTTCGGACCGGTGGCGGTGCAACCATTGAAGGACGTGCAAATGGCCGTTGGTCGCAGCGCCATCAAAGGCGTGGATTGAGCACCCTTCGGTGCGGTTGGCATGCAGCCACTGGACGATGTGAAGCGCACCGGTCGTGGAGGCTCCGTCCATCGCGGCCGCCGTTGCGCTAGCGCACCCGTGCGAGTGAAGCCATTGCACGACATCGAGGTGGCCGTTGCCGGCGGCGGCGTCCATGGCGCGGTGTGTGCAGCCTTCGCGGCGATGCGTGAGCAGCCAGCATACGAGAGTCAAATGACCCGACGACGCGGCGTTGTCGATAGCCCAGGTCGTCGCCCCATCGTTGCGGTGAGCGTGGAGCCACTGGACGACGCCCAAGTGTCCGTTGGCGGCGGCCCAGTCGATCGCGTCTTCCGTTGCGGCGGCGCCCGCAGCGTGCAAGCGACGAACGAGGTGGAGGAACCCGGCGCCAGCAGCCTCGTCGAGGCTCCACTCGAGCGTTGTGTCGAGATAGCTGCTCACATATTGAAGCAGCGCCGTGTCGACGAGGCGCTCAGCACACGCGAGATGGACAGACGTGAGCGGTGCCGGCAGGTGCATGGCCACTTGGCATGTGGGAAAGAATGAGCGACGGCCGTCGTCTCTGGTGTCTGCCTCTACCGCGGGTCGAGCCCGCGTGTTTTAAACGGCCAAATGGTAGCCTAGACAGATGTTGTGTACACGTGACAATACTGTACACTGCGGTCATGTGGTGACCACTGTGTGTGTGAAATATCATTTCACATGGTGTAAAAGTGTGTAAAATGATTTGTCATGCACTTTTACACCATAGCACACCCTGTCGTGTAGCCAATGGACATCCAGTACGGATAGAATTGAAGTCCGGATAATGACGTTAGAGACAAAGATTTCAAAATGGCCGAGAGCTGCGCGGCCCTGGACGCGCTCGAGCGCGAGTATGCGGTCATCGCGAGCCAGCGACCGATCCCGGCCATGGACTTTAGCGACATGGAAGCGAAGAAGGAAGACGGCGACACATGCGTCGACAGCAGCGAGCATGAGATGCTGGGATCCGACTCGGAAGTCGAAGGGGCACCGATGGGCTACGAGCCGCTTATGGCCGACAGCGACGACGAAGACGACGAGGCGCATGAAGAGGTGGTGGCTCCTGCGGCCAGCAGCTGCGAGCCAGAGAAGATGACGGCCAACGATGTGGCGACGATTCAACAGGCCATGCAGCAACTCTCGCTGCCGGCGCCGTCGTGGGGCAAGAACTTGTCGGACAAAGACATCATGGCGCTCCTAATGCCCAAGGCGCCAGCGACTTTGCATCATCCATAGCCTTAAGCGCAATACTAGTCAGGCCACTTCGTCCTATGAGGTATTGCGGCTAGTTGGAGTGTCATGTCCCTGGCGTATTGGCCCATGCAATTCTACACTTTGCATGGGCAGCTGCAAATTAATACATAACATCTCATACACTGTCATTCTCGTTGTGGCGAAGCTGCCGGCAACCCTTGAAGACTAGCTCGAAGCGATCCAACACATGCGAGTACATATGTCCAGTGCTTTTCAGCACGTAGCCGCGATGCAGCAGTCAGCAGTGTGACGAATATGTCCATTGCTTCCTCAAGGAACTCGAGGCCGTTGCGGACGCGCTGGTACAAACAATGTTGTAGCTCTGCTAGAAACCCTAATTCAGGCTGTTGGGCCTGCGAGCCGAATGAAAAACTTGCAGCGTCGACGACGCACCACGGTCTCCACTAGGTGCGTGTATTGAGCAAGTATCGACGGTATATGATACAGCTAGTATGTGAAGAGGTACTCAAGGCGTCGCCGTCCTTCTCGCCACTGGCGCGACGCCGATCGTCGAGCAACTTCAACGTACGCGAGATCATCGCTTCTGATTGGCTGTTTTCTTTTGCAAGCGCGCTTCTGAGTGGTTGGATGGCACGTGCCGATGCCATTGGGCGAAATATTTCTATTGTCCCGAACCATGGAGCGCCTGGTGCCCACCGAGGTCAAGCGCGCGGTCGTCGCACTGCAGCAGTTCCAGCAAAAGCAAGCGCCGCCGGCCAAGAAGAAGCACAAGACGCACGCAGTCATCAGCCTCATCGTGACGCGGAAGAAGGTACCGGCGACCGTGGCGCCGAAGCCGGTCCCGATCGCGCTGCCCCACTCGCTGCGCCTCGACGGCGACGCGATCTTGCTGGTCAAGGACATTGACCTCAAACGCATCAAGGACGCGCTGGCGAAAGAGCCGGTCCCTGGCGTCGCCAAGGTCATGGGCCTCAAGCAGCTCAAGACGCAGCTCAAGGAACCCCGCGAGTTCCGAGCACTTTACACGACCTTCCTCGCCGACGACCGCGTCCTCAACGTCATCAAAGCCACGCTCGGGAAGAAGTTTTTTGAGGCGACGCCGCTCGTCGAGCTCGTGCCCGTGCTCGTCGCCAAGCGTGATGTTGCCGACTACGTCCGGCGCGCGCTCGACGGCACGACCATGGTGCCGTCGCCGGGCCCGTGCATCAACGTCAAGGTCGCAATCGACCTCATGCCGGCCGAGGTCATCATGGAGAACATTGCGGCCGCGACTGCCGTCATCGTCGACAACATTGGGCGCAAGTGGAAGAACGTCAAGTCCATTAGCATCAAGACGACCGAGTCGATCGCGCTGCCCATCTACCACGCGCCGGTCGACGCCGTCAAGAAGCCCGAGAATACGAGCAAGAAGCGCAAGGCAAACGACAGCGCCACGCCTGTGACGAAGAAGGCGAAGCGCGGCTAAGAGTATGGGGTAATAAATAGATCTACTAGAGTACAGTAGTCGTGTACGACGGCGTGGTTTATGCACTATCGGATCTTAGTATCGCGCGCTACGTCGATGGCAACAGCATGGGATCTGGTGACCCGATAGCACGCTCGCAGAGGCATGCGAGCGGTCATTGTCGTCGCTACGGTGCTTCGATGCTTGCAAGATGACGTTGTCGGCGTGACGCAGGTCGTCTCGTGGATCTGCCAGCAGTTCCTTGCAGCGCTGCTGGCGCCGTACATACCGGTAGTCGTAGAGCTCCCATCGACCTTGGTCGCATGCCACCGTCTATCGTTGCCAGAGGCCTGGACACACCCAACGTCTTCATTACTGCGGGCGACGGCGTGTTTATGCACCAATGGCATTGCGTTGTGGTGGGCTTTTTGACCAATGAAATCGCGGAACACATTGCGCGACGGACGTCATTTCCGAATTTGCCGCCAGCCATGCGTAGTGTCACTTGCTCGACGCCGACCAACATTGCAGTCATCAAGTACTGGGGCAAGGACAGCGTTGCGCTCAACACGCCCATCAACTCGTCCGTGAGCGTGACGCTCAACCAGAAGCAGCTCAAGACCGTCACGTCCATCGTGGCCTCGACGACCTTTGCCGCCGACCGCATCTGGCTCAACGGCGCCGAGCAGGACATCAACAACAAGCGCATCCAGGTCGTGCTCAAGGAGATGCGCCGCCTTGCGACGAGCAAGGCTCTCGACGCCGATGGCAAGCCCATCCGCAAGGAGGACTGGCCCGCGTACAAGGTTCACATCGTGTCGATCAACACGTTCCCGACCGCGGCGGGCCTCGCGTCGTCGGCGGCTGGCTACGCGTGCCTTGGTACCAATGAATCTTTCTGGCGGAATATCATGTGTGACTAGTTGCGGCGCTCATTGAGCTCTTTGCGGCCGAGGAAGAGTACCCTGGTCAGTTCTCGGCGGTCGCGCGCCAAGGCTCGGGCAGCGCGTGCCGGTCGCTCGACGGCGGCTTTGTGCGCTGGGAAAAGGGCACCAAGGCTGATGGCTCGGACAGCTTGGCTGTGCAGGTCGCGGACCACCTCCACTGGCCCGAGCTCGAAGCCATCATCTGCGTCGTCAACGACAAGGAGAAGGACACGAGCTCGACGAGCGGCATGATGACGTCCAAGGACACGAGTGAGCTCCTCGGCTTCCGCGCGCGCGAAGGTACTTGCGCCAATTCTCTCTCCGTTCTTAGAGCGATCACCCCTGTTTCTAGTCGTCGACAAGCGCCTCCATGCGATCGAAGCTGCGTACAAGGCCAAGGACTTTGAAACGTTTGGCAAGATCACGATGATGGACAGCAACCAGTTCCACGCCACGTGCTTGGACACGTACCCGCCGATCTTCTACATGAACGAGGTCTCGCGCAGCATCATCCACATGGTGCACAAGTACAACGAGGCGGCGGGGCGCGTCCAGGCCGCGTACACGTTTGACGCAGGTCCGAACGCCGTCATTTTCGTCGAGAAGAAGCACACGGCCGAGGTCATGGGACTCCTGCTTCACCACTTTGACCGCGACGCGACGCTCGAGGTCCGCGGTGACTTTAAAAAGACGGACGTCGTCGCGCCGGCTGCGAGCCTCCTCAGCGCGGTCAAGGTCAACGCGGCCCCCGGCTCGCTCAAGATGATTTACCACACGACGGTATTCTTCCTCCTCGAACACTCGGTGCTCATGCAGGCATGGTGTTAGGTCGGTGAAGGCCGCAAGGTGCTCCCGGCGTCCGAGTCGCTCATTGACCTTGCGACGTGCTTGCCGCGCCAGTAGGTCTCCTTGGTGAGACGCCACTTTAGTCGGTACCTGGCACTGCTCGAGTACACTCCCTCTTTATGCGTGAACCTGATGACATGGACGCTGCGGGTGGATGGAGATGACAAGTGAAAACATAGCATTCTCAGTGTGGGTCCAGCTTCTAGATTTGTGAAAGTGTAGTCGTAGTAGTAGTCGTGTCGTAGAATTTCGCCACTAAGTTTACAAGTCGAGGAGGAGACGCTCCGGGTCGGCAATCTTGTCGGCAATCGACTTGAGACACGTGACCGCCTCCCGGCCGTCGACGAGGCGGTGGTCGTACGTGAGCGCGAGATACATCATCGGGCGCGCGACGATCTCGCCGTTGGCGAGCACGACCGGGCGCATCTTGGTCGCATGCATGCCGAGGATGCCCGACTGCGGCACGTTGATGATGGGCGTGCCCATGAGCGAGCCAAAGACGCCGCCGTTCGAGATGGTAAAGGTGCCGCCGGCCATGTCTTCCATCGTAATGGCGCCGGCACGGGCCTTTTCGGCGAGGTGCGCGAGCGACTTTTCAATGTCGGCAAAGCCCATCGACTCCGTGTTGCGCAAGACGGGCGTCACGAGGCCCTTGGGCGTCGCGACGGCCACCGAGATGTCGACAAAGTCGCGGTACACAATCTCCGAGTGCGCTTCGTCAATGCTGGCGTTGACACCCGGGACTTCGAGGAGCGCGTTGGCCGACGCCTTGATGAACGCCGACATAAAGCCGAGCTTGACGTTGTGCTTGGCTTCGAACGCATCCTTGTACGTCTTGCGCATGGCCATGAGCTTCGACATGTCGACCTCCTGGAACGTCGTCAACGACGCGCTCGTGTTCTGCGACTCCTTGAGGCGCTCGGCGATGCGGAGACGCATGCGGTTCATCTTCTCGCGACGGACCTCACGCGACGCGCCGCCGAGCATGACGGGCGACGCAATGTTCTCGGCCACCTTGGGCGTCGCTGCCTTGGCAGCGGGGGCCGCAGCCTTGGGCTCAGCAGCCGGCGCCGCGGCCACAGGCGTCGCGACAGGCTTCGGGGCCGCAGCCGGCGCAGCACCGGGGACCATGTGGAAGAGAGGCGCACCAATTTCGACAACATCATCGACGTTGACAAGCGTCTTCTGGATGACACCCGCCTGGGGCGCACGGACATCGACCGAGACCTTGTCCGTCTCGAGGACGAGGACAACTTCATCGACATCGACGTGGTCGCCGGCACCCTTGGTCCAGCTGACGACTGTGCCTTCCGAGATCGAGTCGCCCATCGACGGGACGTTGACCGTGATGGGTTCGCCAGAAACAGCCGCGGCCGGGGCAGCAGCAGGCGCCGCAGTGGCCGGCGCGGGGGTCGAGGCGACCGGCGCCGGCGTCGAAGCAGCACCCGCAGCACCTTCGGTCAAGCGGAAGAGCGGAGCACCAACCAACACGGTGGCGTCGACAATGGCCAAGTGCTCGGCAACGACACCGGCCTGCGGCGAGCGCACGTCGACCGAGACCTTGTCCGTCTCGAGCACAACGACAACGTCGTCGGCCTCGACGCGGTCGCCAACCGCCTTGACCCACTCGACGACCGTACCTTCCGAGATGGAATCACCCATCGAGGGCACGGGGATGTCGATCGTGCTGAACATGCGACGCGCCATGTTGGGCGCGCCGACCTGGACGCGGCCCATCGAGGTCATCGAGATGGCGCGGCTGGCGCCGTTGAAGGACGCGGCCGAGAGCGCAGGGACGCGGCGACCGGCGACGAAGCGCGGCAGCGCGCGGACGGCCTTGAGCTTGTGGAGCTGGCGGAGCATAATCGAGTTTGTGGTTCGAGGGTCCAGTCCGGTTGCCTTCAACTATCCGTAGTGACGTTTATCCGGATTCCAATGAACCAGTGCGTCGAATCAGCTAGGTAGCCTTTTTAATGTACATGTACTTGGTTGTAGTAACGATCATTAAATATAGGTATTAAATGACGCGGTTGAAGTTGGTGGAGGTGTATAAACCCGTTGCGCAACTGGCGCGCCAAGAGCCAAAGACCCGCCGACGCCGTCGCTGTCGACGCAACCGCAGCGTCTGAGTCCGTGGCGTCCAGTGGTCTGCGATTCCACAGTCCGGCAAGGTCCGCAAGACAGGTCGCGGGCGGTCGTCGCGGCGCGTCCGGACGTGCCCCTTGCTCACGACCAAGGTAATCACCAAAGCGCGATCACCAGGATCGCATCTTGAGCCTCTTCAGCGCTATTTATGCAAGCGGGTAGTGATCAGACCATGTTTTTCCTATGTGACGTTGCCGTAGAGATAGCCATCGGGTGGTAGTGGCGCCTGGCACGATGGGCTCAGTTTAGCGACGTTCCACTACAGCGCTTAGCGACCCCAAGCGACCCTTGTTTTGCTTCCGAAAAAACCCCACTTCACGGCCCACATGCGCATTCCAGTTTGCCCAGCCGTGTATTTTCTACGGGCAATGGGCAAGAAAACTCAGTCTGGCTTATGCCGGTTACTGTCAGCGGGCTTTGGCAACGTGGTCGCATTGAGCTTGCCTCCCCTGATCCCTGGCAACACACACAGGAAGCGTAGATCAAGCCATGCGGAACTATTCTTAGGGAATAAGAAGATCTCCGCGCTGCACGTCTTAAAGGTTACGTTAAAGGTTACCTCGTGGCGCCACACAACCAAGCAAACGGTACATTTATGTCATACAACTGGCCCGGTGGCTACGCAGCGGCATCGCTTCCGTCCTTTGTCGAAACCTCTGGCGCCAAGACAAAGAGGGGCCCGCCGACGTGGACAACATCATTGACGTTGGCCAGCCCACGCCGGATGACGCCGGCAACCGGTGCGCAGACGTCGACCGACACCTTGTCAGTCTCGAGCACAAGAACAACGTCATCGGCAAGAACGCGGTCGCCTTCGTACTTGACCCACTCGACAATGGTGGCGTTAGCAACAGTCTCGCCCAGGTGCGGCACGGGCACGGTGAGGCAGGCAGCAAGCGCCTCGGGTGACGTCGTGTGGGGCAACCCTTGCGTCAGACGAAAGAGCGGCGACCCAATTGGCACGCGGACGTTGGTCTCGACGAGGTGCTTGGCAATCACACCGGCTTGCGGCGATCGCAAGTCGATGGTGACCTTGTCAGTCTCAAAGACAGCGACGACGTCGTCGGCAGCCACGGCGTCACCGACCTGCTTGGCCCACTTGAGCACGAGCCCATGGTGGATCGAAGGACCCATGGACGGGATCGGAATGTCGATCGTCGTGATGTACGCCCGCGTCCAGCGGGGGCCGGCGAAGTGGCGCAGGACGCCAGGAAGGTTCGGAACGCGTCGGAGCATCTTGGTTTGTGGCGTTTTGCGTCAACGGCACCAACTTGTGATTGGTCAACAAAAATCGAAGCCACCAATCACATGACGAGAATCTTGGCGACAAAAACAAGCTGACACATGGCTGCTGTGGTGATTTGGCGCCAACCTGCGATCTGCTTCAACTTGCCTTACCACAGCGTTACTCTGTACGCACTGGGCCTTTAGCAAACTTGCTACTGACGTTAGAGTCGAAACTTGCGAACAGCTAGTCGTACCGTACATGCGGCCATTGAAATCTCCTGCAAGACTAGGGTACGGGTTATGCCATCCCATCAAATCTGCGGGGCTGTTTGTCCATGCGCCGCAAGGGCGAGCGACTCCCAGGGCATGTGAATTTTGTTAGTTGTCGACTAGTACGATACTACGTAATGTACGAGAGCTCCATCTTTTTTGGCAGCGGCGCGACAGGCACTTCGGGGACGTGTCCAAAGACGGCTTGGTTCAAGACGGCGGCGACAGCGTCAATGTCGTGCAGGATCGAGAGAAGCGCGGTCGTAAAGTCTGCGTCGCCAGTGAGCGCGACGAGACGGTCGTCGTCGTCAAAGCACCAGTGCATTGTCGAATATACCGTCATGACTTGACCGACCTAAAATACACACATCAATAAGTTCTTGGATCCACAAGAGATCGTCTTTATACCAGCCGGGACTTGAGGTGGTCGGGGCAGTGGGGGAAGAAGGTGCTAATGGAGCTGCGGCTGATCTTGAGGAAGGACTTGACGACGCCCTTGACGATCGCACCATCGTCCGTCTTCGTAACGACGCAATTGTGCATCTCCAACGACACCTGCATCGACGGTTGTTAGAGCTCGTGCACTACTACAAGAAGACGAGGTACCGAAGAAAAGGACGAGGTGTAGCGTTGCCAGTTGTCCAAAATGCACTGGATCCCGACGCCATGGTTGTATCGGACTTCAGGCACCGCGATGGCGGATAGGAAATTGGCTTGCTTGACGCTCAGCTTGCGCCTCGACGCGTTGTACCCCTAATGCATCACGCTCGTCGATCGTATTTAGCTACTCGAGGTCGGTCGTACTTGCTTGAAGAGGGTAATGTATTGGCGGGCCGTCTTGGCCGTAGGCCCGCCATCAAAGTCGGGCTGGATGCGAAGCACGTGAACGAGTGGCACTTGGCGCACGAGGCTCACCGCGCGCTGCTGCAGCGCCGCGACCTCGTCCTGGAGCGCGGTCACGGACGTGATGATGGCTTCGTGCTCCTTCTTCTTGCGATCGCGAAAGGACTTTTGGCTCTTGCGGCATTGCAGCCGCCGGTGCTGCTGCGCGTCGTAGCTCATCGCCTCCTGGTGCGCATCCATCGTGGCGACGGCGTCGATGAGGCGGCGGTCCGCAACGCTCAAGCAGTTCATCATCATCCTTCGCCAGCTTCTCTGAAATGCGCAGCCAAAATGGAAGAAGTCCACTTCTCACCTCTGTCCCATGTAGATTGTAATCGCGGGTTGGACGACTTTGCGCCAATGAAATTGCACCAAATCGAGCAACCGCTGTTTGATTGGATGTAGAATATCATTGCACCCGACGCACGGTGGAGCTTGCGATGAGAAGCGACGGCGGTTCCGACGTCGAAACGGCTCCAGTTCAAAACTTCCACAACACGCCGCGCGAACACTACGCTCGCGCATCCAGACACCACCGATGACACGCCAACGACTGCCTCCTCATGACGTTGACAAGCAGCGGCAACAAACAAAAGTCGCAACGCGAAGCAGTGTGTGGTAGGTCGCTGTCCAGGCGGCGGCCTGACCACACACTCAGTCACGGAAACTTCGCACCCGTGCAATGATTACGGACACAGCAAACGGCATGCACCCAGCGCATCGCGATCTTGGGCCCAATGGTCGGGTGCCTTTTCATTCGACAAACGCTGGACCCAAACCCAAACGAACGTGTGCGGGAGCGGCGGGGCGGCAGGGCGGCAGCGCGACAGAGGGCGATATGTCAACGACGAAGATTCTTGATGGCACTGCACCGACGCAAGATGACGCAGTTGCGAGACAGCTGCTCCAAGTCGAGATGATTTGGGTGCAGGCTCCGAGATCAAAAATATAGAACCGGATGGGCAACGCAGCGGGAAGAGCTGTAGCGGTGACGAACGGGCGCTTATATCTTTTGAAATAAAAAAGGCTTACCTCGATATTCTTTGACGCTCTTGTCGCCAGCACCGGGCTGCCATCCAATGTATCCTCAGCGGATCGAGCACCGGCAAGTGCTGAGCTTATTGCGTGACCATGCCTACTGGACCTATTACGGCGGCGTCATGCACAAAGAGCCCACTGGCGCTCTCGAGCGCCAACGGCTCTTGTCCACTCAACGGCTTTCGGTAGCTCGATTTCTTGATGACATCACTGGCGTGCGTGCGTACCACGGTACAGTTGATTGCATCATCCACACCGATCAATTTTGTGACGTGTGGTGGCAGCAGACGGTTTGCCGTCGGGCGCTATATCACCAAGGACTGCTTTCATGGGCGGGATTTTAGTCGGGCGGCCAAACACCGATCGGTAAACTTAGCATACTACAGTCTTATTGGTCCAAGACTTTAATGCGAAATATTCGACGATCCAAAATCTCAGTAGTTGAACTGGGAGAGCGCGATGGAAAACGCCTGAAACGGCGTCATCGGGTGCCGGAAATCGAGGTGGAAGAGCTTGTCCGAGACCTTGCCAAACTGCAAAATCACGCCTTGCTTGGTGCCCCGGAGCACGAGCTGAAAGTTCTTGACGGATGGCACCGAGACGCGGCCGTTAAAGTTGAGGCGATAGCAGCCCTTCTCATACTCGGGATCTTTGTTGTCGAGGATCACAAGGTCCGATGTGCGGCCCAGCTTGACTTGCTCCGCGAGCGAGCTGAACGCATCACCTTTCGATGGCACCGACTTGGCCTCGCCGCTGCTCGTAAGACCCGGGCAGATTACTGTGAGCTTGCGTGGCTACCACATTCCAAGTACCGCAACCCATCGCCGTGATTACGAGGCTCACCTTGGAGTGAGACGTCTTGGTCTCGAATAGAATCGCGCCAAGCTCCCGCTTCTCCGCCTGGGCGCTGATCATAACGTTCTCTTGGCGACCAAAGCTCGAGCGAAGCTTCCCAATGTAGTTGCCGCTCTTCTTGCTCAGCTTGTATGACGCAGCGCCCCGCGACATGTCGAAAATGTGGTAGTTGGACGTGCGGTTGTTGAGCTGCTTCTGGGCGAGCAGAACCAATTTGTTCTAGAAATATGTTGTGAGCTCGTGTCAACCTTGGATTTGTCGACCTTGATGAAGAATTGATACTGCGGTGTTAGTCGGTTCGCCCCGTGGTTGCAGCGCACAATCGAGCCCTAAGGTCATTCCTCATTCCACCTCTGTCTCTACAATAAAGTTCAAATGTACCTCGGTCAAATGCAGGGCCGTAGCACTGCCGGGGAGAACGCTGAGTGGCAAGAAGGGGGTTGCGTCGAACCGGCCTTCGCCGCTCTGGTTGCCTGCCAAACTGCACTGGTCGAGCTTTGTTTCGATGTGCGGCACGCGCGTCTTTTCGTAGCGACTTTCAATTTTCGCTTCGGCAATCTTACTCGGCTCCCTCGTGTCTCCGGCGGCGCTGAGCCACTCGGAGCATGCGACCGAGACGTTCTTTGGATCGTCCTAACCCATCAAAAACGCGTCAGACTGAGGTTACATGAGTCGAATCGAGGGACTTACGCCGTCTTCGCTGTCCTCGGCCTCGCTGTCTTTTCCGTCGTGTCCATCGCTATCGTCGTCCTCGTCGGCCTCGTACCGAATCACTTGATTGCTCTCCTCTTTGGCCTCCACGTCCAGGTCCCACGCGCGCGACGCTACGCCAGAGACTATCAGATCGTAGTCGCAGCACAAGGTTGAGAGTATCCCACGCTTGACCGGTGCGCGGTTCTGGTTGTTGTTGCTGCTCTTGCTGCTCGCCGTCGACATGGTCGATTGCACTTTGAAAAGCTCGACGCCGTTGGCTGGAATTCTCGCTTCTCATTGGCCACGTCAAATCTATTTTTAGATGCAAGTTGCGTGAATCAAGATTGGATATGACGTGGCGCCACGGACGAGCATCAAGTGGCCATAAATAGCAATCATCCAGCATCGCTAGTATTTGGTCCATAACCCGCGCTCCCGTGCTCGTATGCCACGTACTTAGAGCAAAGAAGATAGTGCTCACATCGGTTGTGACCATGTACTAGCACGTAGTCGAATTCCGCAACGTTAAAAAGGGGTGCACTCGACCCAATCGGGTGTTAAGCAACGCACGGCTTCTCCACCGAGCAGGAAAAAAAATGCAACAAAACGAAACTCCCGAGAAAGCATGTCGCGCCAGCACATCTCGGAGGACGAAGCGCTGCTGCTGCGCAAGGAGAAGTTTCGCCTTGCGCAGAGCAAGACCGTCGAAGGCGGTATCGAGAGCTCATTTGAGAGTCGATTTTCGCAGCTCGAGGCGCCGTTCTGGAAAGCTTTCTATGCGGCGTGTGCCGCTGGCGCCGAGTGGGTCAACTACCGATCGCTGCTCATTTCGTACTCGCTGCCGCAGACCATCAATAGCACCGACGCTTACGTAAGTAACACGTTCGGCCTCACAAGCGATGTAGCACGTACGATGCGATACATAGGGGGAAACCATGATGACGCTGGCCGCGCAGCACAATCGCGTTCACGTTCTCACCGTGCTACTTGGCATCAAGGGCGATCCGTGGCGCACCAATCAAAAGGTGCGACTTAACATGGAGCACGAAGCGGGCAAACTTGTGAAATTAGGGCTGGAGCGCCGTGACAGTTGCCGCTGTCCAAAACCACGATGCAGTCATCCAGATTTTTGCTGCGAACCGCGTCAAGTACGTTGCGGTCGGCCTCACCAACCCATCCATGATGTGATATGGTCACTAGATTAGACTTGCCCGACAAGCGACTTGTATGCGTGCCGGAGCAAAATGGTATCTCTCATGATGTAGGGCTACACACCTGCGCACTTTGTGGTGCAAGTTCACAACGACAAGATGCTTCGGTTGCTGCACGACTTACACGCTGACCTGCGGACAGCTGCCAAGAACGTACGACACATATCATATACTACAATACAACCAAGTGATGGTTACCCTAGGGCTACACACTGCTCCACACGGCGGCCGAAGCCGCAGCCGACGATTGTTTGGTGTACCTTGTCAAAATGAAGCTTATACCGGTGGACGCCCGTGACACCAACGTATTTAACGCACCTGCTTGGCATCGCTACACGATATATGTAGAACGAAACTGCGTGCCACAAGGCGGCGCGCCACAACCACAATCGCGCACTTGAGATTCTCTTGGCCCACGGTGCGTCCTTCTCGCTTCAAAACCGAGAGGTGATACAACTAGAAGATGAACTAACTCTGCTCTTTTGGATGGTTAAATGTATGAAATGCAATAGAAAGACGGCGTCGCCA